GACTTTAGAAAATTAAAAATGCCACTAAAGTTATATACAAGTATATTAATAGTTAATTATCAAAGTATATTACAATAAATTTATATTATTTTAATACCAAAATGAATTGATTTTTCGGTTAAGTATAAAATCGGTTATTTGAAAATTCTATCTAATAATTCAAGTAAATGAAAATTTTTCTAAATAAAAATTTTACATAAAAATTCATTAAAATATCTATTCGAGCAAATAAAAATAAAAATTCTGTATATATTCGGATATATAAAATTTCTCTAATATCACTGCAAAAAGTAGTGTCTTAATATAAGATGTTTTGGTAGTAACTTTTTAGTTATTTTATTATTTATTTATTTTATTTTACATAATGTAATTAAAGGCGCATTGCCTCCTTTACATGAGGGTTATGTCCTTAAAAAACTATTCACATAAACAGAAAGCCCTAATCTTAACTAAATTGCTAATAAAATAAAAAAGACTTTTCGCGGTTTCAATTTTATCCACTTTCAATATGTTCGTAAGCGAAATTCTATTAATATTTTCTCTACAACATTCCTTATACGCAGGACAATCAATAAGAACATGTTTTAAATTTTCATTTCTACGCATATTGCACATCAGACACTTATCATTGTCACTGAAATTATATACATATCCAGGTTTTAAATTTATTTTCCACTCTGATCTTCCTGCTAATCTTAATTGAGCTAAAGTTCTTGTAATTTTCAAAGGTATCTTCCAATTAATATATGTCTCCGTGTTTGGTTTTTTCAACTCTTTTATATATTCTTTTTAGTTATTTAAAGTGTCTTATTTTAAGATGTTATAATGGGAATAAAGCATCTAAATATTAAAATTAACATCTTATTCTAAGATGGAAGCGAATGGAAGTTACCATTTCCGTCTTAACATCTTGTTTTAAGATACCAAGAAGATACCAACTTTTTGCAGTGATAGAAAATCGGTTTAATGAAATCTGAATAATTCACAAAAAAAAAAAAAAATTATCAAACGGAAATAAATAACTAATATGAAAAAAAGAAGAATTCCATTAAAGACAATGGAGATGCCTATGAGGGTGTAGTTTAATTTATCAGCAAATGCACAATATTGTGCCTGAGTCCTCAATTTCCCAGGATCTGAAAGCGGTAATCGAGCAAAGAAGCTGGAAGGCATCTCTTGACTCACTGAAAATTAGTTCGAAATATACAGAGCTATTCTAACTGTAGTTTTGTCGAATTAGATTAACTTGCGACGAGGTAGGTTTTAGTCAGATGGGACTGACAATTCGCTGTCTCTTGGTAGTACTGTCCCAAGTACAGTTAACAACCCATGAGACTATCCTCGAACATGTATATATAGATATATGTTTCCTTTCAAGCTCTCAGAAAATGTATTATTTAAAAGTCCTTCTGTGTGCATTTTCACACACATAAACGAAACGACACGAAAAAAAAACTCATACAAAAAAAAAAAAAACCACCACTACTATATACTTTATTCCTAAAGGGAGGAATATTATTTTTTCAACACAACGACGACGACGACGACAAAAGTCCTTTGAAAAGGACAAAATTCAATTGAAAAATCCGATGAAAAATAAATGAAAAACGTACAAAATCTAATAATGAAAAAAATAATATTACAGAAATTTAAAAAAAAAAAATATTTTAATAATTTAAATTATTTAAGTTACCATTAAATTCGCATAATTGAAATTAAGTGAATTGACATGACATGACATGAAATTAAAATTCCTTTGATCAAGACAAACAATTATATTGATATACCTAATATTTCCAAAAAGGAATATAATGATACTAAATATTCTACATGTCATATATACAATCACATTTTCACATCACTCAATGTTCCATTTTGAGATCAAAATGACAACCAAAGGGCAAAGTTCAAACTTGTAATTATTTTAAAAACTAAATCTAATTTAATAAATATTTTATCAAATTAATTTTATTTATATTTTTATATTTATTATAACGCAATATAAATAAATTTAAATTTTCTATCTGCTAAAGTTAATTTTTTTTTTATTTTATATTATATGAGAATATATAATATTAACAAAATAACATAAAAAAAATAAAATAGTAAAATCGTCACAAATTAGTGACATGAAAATATAAGTATCAGAAACACAAAATCTAAGAAATGATAAAAAAAAACTATATACACTGAAGATAAACATTACAGATAATGAGTTCTTGCATTTTTCAATATTTAACACGAAGATATATATATATATATATATATATATATATATATATATATATATATATATATATATATGAACATGCAATAGTGCAGTACAAATTATAAGAGTAAAGAAAGCATCTAACCAGAAAAAAAATAGGGTAAGTGTACCAATTACGGCGAGTGCATCAATTACGGCGCATTCATAAAAAATAACTATTATTACTATTATATTTAATATATAACTGTTGCAAAATGATTTTAAAAAATTATTTTAATCTTTTTTTGATACAATTACTTATAAACATGCACATTTAAACAATTATTAATTTAATTATTTGCGAGATCAAATTTTTTTCCTCGCCGCAATTGAAACATTTTTATGATTTTCATTGGATCCAATTTCGGCGGGCGAAAATATCTTAAAAATACACGTAATTTTGGTCACCGAAATTGATACAAACGCCCCGCAATAGAAAATTTACGGTATAAGTTTTAATTTCTCATATTTGTTTAAATAATCGATTTTTATAGAGTTAAACATTTTTTTTAACATCTAAATAACATAACATTTTAGTTTAATAAGTCTTAAATTGACTTCATGCAATGGAAATGTCAAATTTTCTATTTCAAAGGTGTTTTGACTCGAATAGCGCCGCAATTAGTGCATTTACCCTATTTAAATGCGCGAATTTTATATTTTAGTTTTGCACAAACTCTAGGAAAATATTTTATATAATTAAAAATAGGTTCTATATGAAACCATGACTCGCGTAGAAAATAATTTATAAAGAGTTTTTCTAACAGAGAATAAATTATATATATATATATATGTTACCGTAATTAAGTATAATATTTTTTATTAATTCTCCAGACTTGCGTGCATTTTATATATGTAATCTCTACACCACTCCATTACATATTTATTAATTAAAAATGTGAACAAATATGATGGAATTAATTAATTAAACAAGAAATACTTATTTAATAGTTAAATAAAAAAACAGTGAATCTCACTAATTCTATATACTAATTTTTAGTCATTTTTCACTAAAAATTTTGGTCAAAAAAATATTAATAAATGAAATAGTAATATTTTACTGAAAATTAGTTAAAATTTCTTCTATACATATAATATTTAGTAATTTTCCACTAAAACCTTATTTAAAAAAATATTACTAAAAAAATAATATTTTTTTTTAATTAGTAAAAATTTCCACTAATTCTTAGTTATAAAAATGTAGTTATTACTATTACTAAATTCTACTAATTAGTAATTTTTCACTAAAACTGTAGTAAAAATTATTACTAAATAGAATAGTAATATTTAACTAGAAATTAGTTTGAAAATTTCTACTATTTTGAATTAGTGAATGAACCCAACCAAAAATTTCAGTATTATACCAGAGTTAACTACTGGCGCAGTACTGGTTCAGTATTGGCTGCCGAGGCTGAGCAGTCTCTACTAAAGCAGTACTGGTATTTTCATTGCGAACCAGTACTGAGCTGATATTGAGCCAGAACTAGCTCAAATAGATTTTCTTTTTAATTAATACTAGTTTACAAAAAGTTCTATAGAGTGAACCTGATGAATTATTTTGTTATTTTTTTTTTTTCATTATTTTATTATTTAAATATTTTGTTTATAAAAATTTTTTCACTTTGATTTTATTTTTTGAAAATTTAAAGGTATTTTATTTTGCTTTTCTGTGGGTAAAATTATTTAAACAAAAAGTTTCCTGAGACTAATTCCAAAACATTTTGCAAGTTTTTTTTTATTGTTTTCAGATATGCAATAAACAAAAAAAAAAATTTTAACTATCAAATTAAAAATAAATAAGTTTATAAAAAAATTAATAATTTTTAAAATAAAAATTTAAAAAAATTTTCTTGACAACACACTTGTTAAAAATTAAAAAAAAACTTTTATTTTCTTCAAAAAGTTTTTCAAAAATTTATTTTGATGCGCAAATAATTAAAGTGAATAATAAAATAATTAAATAGCTAATTGTATAATTATATACATTATAATCATCCCAAAATTACGCCAACTGTGGCGCCAATACTGGGTGCCAGTACTGCGCCAGTACTGCGCTATTAGTAAATTTTTGATTGGGAATTTTTATTCAAACTAATAAATATTGTTCAGTTTAAAAAAATTTTCACTGATTTTGAATATGAAATTTGATGAGAATAAAGAACAATGAAAAGAACGAGACAGAGAGTAAAATAATGAATTTCATTTTAAGAGACGTGTGGTTAAAAGTAGTTGAATGTTATGCGGCGTGCTTGAGTAATAGCGCATATTCTGTGGTTAAAATAAGAAGGTAAGAAATTATTGTTACGGAGGCTTTGGAATATAGCCCTGACCTTACACACTTCATTTTCTCATATATATATATATATATATATATATATATATACAGTGAATGGATATTTCTCTTTTACCACGCCATAGGCACCATTCACACAGTCTCATCTTGTAATATATATCTCTTTTTATTATGTTATCTGACTCACTTCTACCACTTGATACTCCCATCATTTCCTCGCCACTTCGACACCCTTATTATATTTAGTTTTAGTGCGTGCAAGAACTCACGCAGACGATTATAATCACGCGATCAAACAAAAAACTCGTTCGGCCTCGATGCAGAACGATGACATTTATGAACCTATTTTTATACCCTTTCTTTTATTTTCTTTTTGCTAAAAATAATTTTTCTTTTATACCCATCATCGTGCGAAAAAAAACAAATCCTGTAATTAAAATTTATAAAAACAAACAATACCTGATAAATTCTGCAAAGCATTCACTGATGATGATCCACGGATAGACAAACCTGGAAAAAAAAATTCAATTTTAAATTATTTTTTATTATTATTAATTTTATAAATTATAATTTTATTAAAGAGAAATCCTTATTCAATTTTTCAAACTATTTTTGCAAAATCTATTTCAACATTTTTTTTTTTTTTTTTTTTTTATGTTTACTCTTTCTACAGCCCTACAAGCAAACTATAAAGACCATCCTTATTTCAATTAAATATTATCTTGGAAGATGAAATTGAATTTCAGAGAGTTTTCAACTTTATAAAAAACAAAAATCGAAATTACTTTTTAAACTTCGATATTTCTCGTCAGGAAAATTATGTATAAAATTTTTAATAAATAAATGAAATACCGCAATAAATATTAAAATAATTTTTTTTTGCTATTTATAAAAAAAAGTGTAGTACTATTAAAAAAAAAAGTTGACACTCTAGAAGGCAATAAAAAAAAAGTTGATGTAAAAAAACGAGTTTGTGACAACTGGCTAGTGCGATAACGTCCTCAACAAAAAAAGAAGAAGAAAAAAAATGTCGACCACAAGTAGAGTGCTAAAAAAAAAGGAAGTGAATAGAGACACTTCGCGCAGGGCTCAGATTAACCCTCGACCTCCGGTTTTTTTCAATCTAGTTTTTTAACATTCTTTACTAGTGTTTTCCTGTTTTTTTTTTTTTTTTTTTTTTTTGCAAATATCAATAATGTACCGAGGGAGTTATATATAAAAAAAAGTCATTTCTAAAAGGTCACCGCGCTGACTAAAATGCACAAATATGAAATATATTTTTCTTTCAATTTCTATACTAAAAGTCCAATATATAAAATGTTTCGTCAAAGAAGAGGATTTAAAGGTATCTCGAGCGTGCAGCAATTCGTAATACTGCGGCAAAGCCATTGAGAAAAAATAGACGCTCGCTTACAAGAAAAGAGAGCTTTATCAACCTATACGGCTAATAAGAGGAAATTGAGGGGAACGTTTGATTTATGTCAAAAAAAAAAAAAAAAGAAAAGAAAAGCATTATTCTTGCACATAAAACTTTTGTTCCATGAGAGAGGAATAATAAAGCGAACCAAAAATTCCCAGTAAACATTATTTAGGATTTTTTTTTTATTTTATTCGAAAATATTTTTATTTGAATCAAAATGAATTTCTTTTTGCTTTGTGCCAGATGAATATAAAAACTACTGATTACCAAAAAGAAGAGATCAAAACCATACATTAAAAGAGAGAGAGAGAGAGAGAGAGAGAAGATAAACTTTCTGCTACTTAGTTTAATAATCTAATTTAGTAATCTTCGGTAACAGTTATATAACTTACCGCGCGCGAAAAGTCGATATGACGAGATAATCTCTCTGGAGGAAGTTGAAGAGGACTTTTTTTTTTTTTTTTTTTAAAAAAAAGGGTTACGCCCCTTTGCAATCACTTCCCTTCGCGACTCTTTATATGGCATAGAATTTGTTACACGTTGAGAACTTTAATGACTGTCGCCTCTCACGAATAGTTACTTGTTTTACGACCAAGTCGTAACTTTAAGGCAATGTCAGGGAGCATCTCAAGAAGAATCTGATGGTGATTCTTCAAACCAAGAAAACGACTATGTATATAATTAAATTATTTTCGATTAGGAATTTAATTCTAATAATCAATTAAAACTGGAACAACTTTAGATCAATTTTTATTAAAAATTATCTTAAATAAATATTATTATTATTAAATAGTACATCTCTAAATCTGAATTAGTAAAAAAATTTACTAATTTGAATTAGTAACTCACTTTTTGCTACTCAATTAGTAAAATTTTACTAATTTTTAGTAACTTTTACTAACAATTAGTAAAATTTAACTAATTCTAAAGCAAATAGTGAGTCACTAATTTAAATTAGTAAACATTATTATTACATTATTATTACATTTTTACTAATTCAGATTTAGAGAGTAATTATTATAAGTTATTATAAGTAACTATTATTATTTATTAATAATTAATAATAAAATTATTTATAAACAATAAAATCTACTTTTTTTAATTTGCGTATAGAAAAGAATGTTTTTTGTGATTTAAATTTCTATATTATAGATTATTTTTAAACCAAAAACATGAATTTTTAACAAATTTCCACAATGTGAACAACTCATAGAAGAGTGAGCGAGAGAAAGAAGGAATTATGAAATACTTTAATGCCCTCGTGAGTCTCACTTCTCCAGTGCAGTAAACTGAATACTTAAATGCGAACGCTGAAATGATCAAAGTGTGGCCGCAAAGAACGCTTTTTCGCGAGAGTCTGTGTATGGTAGAACATTTATATCGAAGGACGCGTATGCGCGCGCTAAAAATGTGTTCCGTTTCTGTAAAAAAAAAAATTTTACCAGCCAATTCACTCCTCACTCTCTAAATTTGAATTAGTAAAAATTTTAACTAATTCGAATCAGTGACTCACTTTTTGCTTTTGAATTAGTTTTTTACTAATTTTGTAATTAATATTAATTACAATCAATTAGTAATTAATTTACTAATTTCGTAATTAGTATTAATTACTACTAATTAGCAATTAATTTAATAATTATAGTATTAACTATGTACTACTAATTAGTAACTAATTTGCTAATTAGTACGAAAAGGCGTTTTTAATTTTGTAAACCCGCGTGTACATGACAAATAAATAATATATACTAATTTACTAACAAAAGCAAAAAGTGAGTCACTAGTTGAAATTAGTTAAAACTTTTCTCAATTTATAAAAAAAAATAATCTTCACAGAAATTATTCTATTAAAATAATTATATACACTATATATAATCTGCGATCTGCTCTCTATTTGCAAAACCAGAAACAAAATAATTACGTAAAAATGCTAATGAATTAAATAAGCGATAAATTTGAATAATATTTTTGTTGCCATATTTATATTGTACAAAATCAATTATAGTAGAAAAAGACAAAAGAAGTTCTTTATAATTTTATGTATCACGTTTCCGGATTACGAAATTTAACTTTTATCGTAAAGGGACTAAATATAATTTTTTTTATTTCATGTATTACAGATTGCAAAAAAAAAAACCGGAAGTATGATTTCATTTTTTTTATTTTTTGATAAAAATGATCGTTTTTCAGTATAAAAAAGTTGAAAAAAAAATTCCAGTGAATATTTATATTCTTTTTTTAATTTTTTTTTTTTTCTAATACAAACAGAAAAAATGTAAAAAAAAATCTCTTTATCAGCGCTGATTGGAGCGACAGTCCTGATAGTCAGAGCCATATTTTAAACACCAATGGTGAGAGCATTCCTGATGCATAGTGACAAATTACTGTTACCGTTACTGGCAGACAACTATTATGTAAGCGTGTGTATATGCAGATGACGGTCATTTTCCATTTGCGTAAAACGTAGTGGCCCCCAACTAGAACCGCACGAATCCCGAGACAATTCCGATATTTGATGGAGCAATGAATAACGCAAATCACAAAATCTATGCGCGCACAAATCTGTACCAACATTAAAATTCGTAGGCCCATATATAGTGAAATATTATATTATAAATTAATGTCATATAAAATATTATAAAAAATATTAAAGTTATAAAAAAAAAAATTATAATTAAAAAAAAGAAGTATAAAAATGTCACGTTTCTAAGTTCAAAATAGTTTTAAACATTATTATTAAAAAATATTGAAAAAATAAAAGTAGAGCTATAAATAGCTATATAAGCCGATCAGTCTTGCAATCGGGATTACTATGCGGCTTCAAATTAAATTAATCAATTATTATAGTTACTGGTGCGTTTTAAAGCCGGATTATTATTAGTCCGAATTGTTTTGACCATTATTTAAAGATATCGAATAATTTTCATGAAAATACATATTATTTATAATATAAATATATATATATATAGGAGACAAAAACTGAGTAATTTAGAGAAAGTAATTAAAAATTTAATTAATGTTGAAAATATACTGCAATGTTTGTGAGAGTGTATAATATACAAATATTTATTTGAAACACACATCACGTTCATGATTCTGAATGAGACTAATTCAATGAGATTTGAGCTATGTAATCATATTACGCGCGAGTCTCAATTACGCACGAAAACCGAAAAACCACGTTGTAAATTTTCCACCGCAATTTAATTTTAAAAATAATTGTAACTTTAAACTTTATGTTTGAATTTCTGTCAATATTAATAAATAAATTACAATCAATAATAGTCAAAATTGGTAATAAATAATTTTTTTTTTTTATATTAAAAATTGGTTCAACCAAAAGTTTGGTTTGTATAAAAATTTAAATCAAAATTAAGAGTTATTTCGACAAAATTTTTTCTGATTCTTAACGAAATTATTATAAACGAGAAATATCAACAAAAAAAAAATTGTACCCTGATGAAACACGATTTTCACTGATCGATCTATTGTAGGATTTGTTGTATTGTTGAAAAACTACACAAATCAGTTCAAGGAAAATACAATTGTAAATAACGTCTATTATATACATATAGATGACTGCGAAAAAAAAATTGGTTTTTCCGCTCTTGAAAAAAATAATGATTATTGAACGTTACGATTTCTGATTAATTTAAAAGCAGGAATTTTTTCATAAATTCGATAATATTTTCTTTATTTCTCAATAAATATTATTAATATAATAATATAAATTATAAATAATTTCATAAAAAATTAAATTAACTTTTTTTTAAAAAATTTAAATAGTATAAATTTATTAAAACTATATATAAATATTAAACTCGTATTTTCCCCGATATTCCCTCTTTCTACAAAACGTCATGAAATAGAGTTTCATTTTGGTTAGCGATAATCACGCGATTGAAGTTCTAATTTCGCGTGATTCGTAATCTGACGGAAATCCGTCTGGTGCGGCTTTTCTGTTGAGTGCTTTTCAAAGTGAAGTGAAATATATTTCTATAAAATTTAATAATCGCGCACACATTCGTCAATTGAAAATTAAAAACAGAAAGAATTTTAACGTAATTTTTCAATATTCTAAAGGGAGCGCGAAAAAAAAGAATCTATCATATATATCTATATATATATATATATATTAAATCCGCTAAAACAAAGGGAGCCGTGAATTTACTTTTTATATATGCATTTTTAACAAAAAAAAAAAAAAAAAAAAAAAGATGTCAAGCACACAAAAATATACTGAACCGATTGAATAATTTTTGTTCAAAACAATAAATATTTAATTTCAAAAATATAATTCAAAATAAAATACACATGTCAAAAAAAAATTTTCCTTTGATAAAATAAATAAAAAATATTCAATTTTATTATTTTTTTAAAAAAGAAAATTTTTTTTATTAAATGTATATTATAATATTAATTAGAAAATAATTATAATATTAATTAGTAAATCAATATTACATTAATTAGTTAATCAATATAATGTTAATTAGTAAATCAACATAATAATAATTAGTAAATTAATATTAAGTAATTAAATTTCAATAAAGAACCGTTTTTATAATTTTAATATATCTTTTTATGATCTAGAATGAACGATTTTTCATTTTTTTTTTATTCCTCTTTTAAAATGTCACTGCTGCAAATTTGAAAGCAAACAATTATCATTTATAATAGCAGACTTTACATAATTTAAAAAAAATTACTATTTTTACATCATCAGTGACCGCAAATACTGCAATATTAAGTTCATTCGTGTCAAACAAAACCATCAGAAATATAGAAACTGGGTCAATCTATATGGATACAAATAAAATATGAGAATCCTTTTTTTAAATAAACAAAATTTTTCAAAATAATAAAAAAAAAAAAATGTACCATAACTACTATTCAACAGATTTTATATAATAGTGTACGTACAGTAGCGAATATACTTTATTAAATCCCTGCTTTAGTAATTACGCAGCAATTGACTAATTCACTATAATCACCACACAATTTTGTACGTTATATACAAGGCCATAGAAATATTTCACACGTTATAATAATAATATAATGGTATTAAAATAAAGTGTATTAAATTAGTTTTTTGCGAAAAACCTTTTTTTTTCATTTCCACGTTAATGTATAGCAATAATTATTATTATTAATTAATCAACAACATTAAATAATTTAATTAATTTAATTCTTTTGCAGAACACTATATATTGTCAACATTCCCCTCTCATAATTTATAATCCCGAGAGAAAAATTATTAGTCTTTTTTAATTGAAACACTATAAGTAATTAAAATCACCCACATAGTTATATCATAAAAAAAACTTCTGTAACTTAAATTCCTTACTTTCTGATATCAAATAATCTATTTTTTTATTTTACTCAAATAATTTTAACAGATATAAATATACGTATTACATTTACTAAAATTAACAATTAAATTCTAGAAATAAAATGTGAAAATTTTTTAAAATTCACCACTAAATCCCTTCAACTTTCTATTGCTGTATTTTTAAAGGACTCTTGGGATTTCCACGCTACATGAAGCTCTCATTTAATTTTAACCATTTGCGTGATAACTCGATAGTAAAATTCACGAAATCCGATTAATTTATTCAATATTTATTAACTACGTAGATGTGAAATTTACCAATCGAACAAAAATCTATAATTAAATAATGGATTGTTATAGTTTTTTAATTTTTACAGTAATATATATAGTAAATGCGACTATATTTTATAGGACAATTTTAATTGTGACTCTGTAATTTTTAAGAACCATAAAATGTGTCTATCATAAAATGTGACTGTCATAAAATTACTACCAAAAATATGACCATCAAAAATGAGACTATCATAAAATTTATATACAATCAAAAATAAAAATACTATCAATTTTAACCAATTACAGTAACTACCATTAATTTACATTAACTATCACCATAAAATGTATAACTTCGATCAATTTTAATTACTACAATATGTAACTATCAAAATTTATATCTGTTATAAAATATGTTATTACTTTCGATTAAAAATACAAATATAATTGCAACTACCATTATTTATAATAACCACCGATTGTTACACCACCTAACTTTAATTTTTAATTCTTCACAAGTTCCATCAGATTCACAGAATACCAAAAAATTTATTCAATAGCCAAATTTTGCACTAAATTTATTTCTAAATATTTAAAAATAAATTTTATTACTCTAAATATTATTAAATAAATATAATTAAATAATAAATATTATTATTAAACTAACATACTAATACTTAGTAAAAAAAAATGTAATATTTAGAAATAAATTTAGGCTAAATTCTGTATATTAAAAAATTAAAATATAAATGATGCAATCATTAATTAATTTTTGAATAGTCATTCTAAAAAAGAAGAATGACACCAATGTACATATATATATATATATACCGACCTCGACAAATTATCTGGATTTATTTTATTGTTGGTCGGGATAATTGACACAAAGTCAGCTGATTGTCTGCCTCTCGTTTGTGCGTGATATTCTTGTCTCGCGAAATCTAACAATTTGCAAACTTATACTGTCTGTTATCAATCAACGACACTGCTTGTTTTGACACGTAACATGCTTCACAATATTATATATATACATAACATAAATATATATATTGTCAAGGCAGATGCAATCTGATATACAATTTTTTTTTTTTTTTTTTTATTCAAACTTGATGAACGTAAATTGTAGATATTTTAAATCCCTTTGTTTACACTATTTTTTTTACACATTAGAAATTTTTATATTTTTTTCTTACGGAATTCTATAATAATAATTATTATTGTTTTATATTATATTTGCAATTCGGGAGAAAATTTAACATTGAAACACTTCTAGGTCCAAACACAATTTCTATATGAATAATAATTCCGTTTATAAAATTATTAAATAAACTTTAAATTTCTCCGCGAACTAATAATGAATTTAAAAATGTTCAAAATCAATATGTCCTATTGAAAAAAATACCGTTCTCAATAGAGAGAGAGAGAGAGAGAGATAGAGAAGTAAAGATGAAATTAACTGAAAAACCAGAAAACACGTGTTTCATTCGAAACATGAAATGTAACGAATAAAATTCAAATGTATCATATCGGTATGGAGCCTCAACTCAGACTATTTCGTTATTAGTCGAGTGAACTCGAACGCGCCTTTCGTAACTCCCTCTCTTTCTCTCTCTCTCTCTCTCTCTCTCTCTCTCTCTCTCTCTCTCTCTCTCTCTCTCTCTCTCTCTCTCTCTCTCTCTCTCTCTCTCTCTCTTTTATCTGCACGCGCGCGCCCTTCTCACAAAGTGTGATTGGATCAGATGCAGCCAGTAAGCATTTTCTATTGGTTCCACGATTTTTTGCAAAAAATGTTTTATCACTGAATAAATAAATAAAATATTTTTCAATAACCCCAAAAATACTGATTTGCAAAAACAAACAAAATTTGAAAGTATTTTTAATTTTTTAAACATTACACGCGGAAAAAAGTAAGTAATTATAATTATAAAATATATATATATATAGATTGGACACATTATAAATTGACACACAATTATAATTATTGTCATCTCGAAGACTCGAAATGAAAGTGAAGTTGAACAATAAATTAAATTTCGACATTGATTACATTTCGATATGCAAAACGAAGGCAAGGAAATACGCTTGAAAAATTCGACCCAAATTAAACACTGAAAGTGCGTATATATGCATTTTAATTAATTTTAACGGGTGCAAAAAAATGCGCACTTCCTGTTTTACATGAATTCATCCCGTATTTCGGCAACATTAAATCAGTGAAACTCTAAAAAAAAAAAAAATGCGTGTATGTACTTACCTCATTTTCACTTCGTCCATAAAGCCCGCACATTCAGTAAAATGATAAATCCATTCTGCAAAAGAGAAAAAAAAAATACTTGTTATTAAATAAGAATTTAAATTCTCATTCTATTTATATTATATACTTTTTACGAGATATAATAATAATAATTGTAATTATTATTTCTATTACTATAATAAAATGCCTTTTAATATACGCAGATTCAGTTCTATTTAAAAATAATAATTTCAAAGCATTTCTGATAATTTATTATAAAAGTATTTATAATGACGCTATTAATAATAATTTTATGCTTTCTTTATTATTATGTATTGATCGTATATACATCTTACGACCTATCAAGGATATTGAATTATCAACCCACGCGACTCACATGCTGAGAACGTCAGGATATCCGGTGTATTTAAAAAATTCAATTTTTTTTTGTAAATTAAATATTTGACGCTCTAGAAGAAAAGGGACCTTAAAGGCCCCAAAAAAATTTAGATTACGTTTTTATAGTCAGTTTTAGCTTGATTAAACGTTAATTTTTAATTATAAATAAAAATCAGTTTCTATTTTTGATCTAATGACAATAAATTCCTTAAACATTGCACTGTTGAAACCATGAAATGAAGCTTTTCGAATGTCCAAAACTTTAAATGGTTACATAGAGAGAGAGACAGAAACTACTTTTTATTGAGAATGACAACCTGACCTGAATAAGAATGAACCCATCACTATATATGCTACAACCGTCAGCATTTGCTCCTAAAGTGGAGGTTGAATTTTGACTTGAATGAAAGTCAGTTCAGAATAATATCGAGAAAAAAGGGCATACAGAAGAAACAACATTCAGAGAGTTTCGTGATTTTCAATCCTTCCACATTCCACACATTATTTGAACCAAGAACCAAACATTTATTCCAACAATTTTCCAACCAAAATAATTAGAAGCAATTTCTCGTTTCAATGTTCTTATAATACAGCAAAAAGAACAAGTAGAAGAAGAAGAAGATTGACAATGGATATTGCAGATTTTCTCAAAGATATTCACCTCTCGCCTCATCTCTGAATTCATGACAGCTACTTACAAATTGGCGTATGTCAGAATGTATTATTTGCCTGGGCAACACAAACATCAACTCTAATGCATCCTTGTGCTTCTAAGATGGAACTTAAAGGCACGGTCATACATAATATATAACTCACATGTCTGGTCCGCTTTCCAACCCTCTAAGAGACTCTTGGAAAATAGCGTTCCTCATGAAAATTAAGACGCTTCAGTAACAGACTGAATTAACTCGGAAAGTACTTTCAACACCTGATGCTGATGATCAACTCCCTTGAGAATCATCTCACTCTCTCTCTCTCTCTCTCTATTTAGAAGATTTATCCAGTCGTTGAAATAATTTTCAATTATATACCTTCACATGACGGGAATTGAAATTTGATCACCCCTAATTCACCCTTAATATTCTAACCTTACCTTCAAAATTATAATGTGGTTCCTAAGTGTTTGATGTGATGTATATTTGAGTTTGCCAAATTGCCTTCAAAATATCCCACATAGCACGGCTTCTTGCTGTGAGGTTATTGTAAAAATATCTGTAGGGTTTGTAAGGTTACCGCGTGTACTCTCTAAATCTGAATCTGTAGAAATTTTACTAATTCAATCAGTACTTTTTTATTTTAACTGAAGTTTCAGTTATTTTTTGAAAATTACTAACATAATTAGTGTATACAAGCAAACTTATGTAAAAAAGTAATTTGTATATAACATAACCTTTAAAATTAACTATTAAATCAGTAGATTTTGTGGCCGCTGCCATATATTTATATTACTGATTCAATCAGTAATTGATATTTTACTAATTGAATCAGTAAATTTCTACTAATTGTCAGTTGCTCAATTCTCGCTATGGCAATTAGTAGATTTCTAATGCTAATCAGTAAAATATGACTGATTCAGATTTAGAGAGTAAGCTTACAGTAAACTTGAGGTCATCTTAAAACTTCCGCCATTACAGTAAGCTTTCACAGTAAAGTTGAGGTAAGCTTACACAGTAAAGCTGAGGTAAGCTTACACAGTAAGCTCACGGAAAAAAAGAAAAAGTAATTTTTACTACTTTCATAGTAAAATTAGACCTGTCCGAAGTTTCTGCGCATCTCTGGCAACTTTTACTCAAAAAATAGTAAAATTTACTATTTTTGTAATAATTTTTACTATTTCTGGAGTAAATTTTACTATTTCTGGAGTAAATTTTACTATTTTTGGAGTAAAAGTTGCCATAGATGCGCAGAAACTTCGGACAGATCCCATTTTACTATGAAAGTAGTAAAAATTACTTTTTCTTTTTTTCCGTGCAGGTCGTGGTAACACAGAAATTTAAAAGGCATTAAAATAAGCTGCAACGCTTATTATTTTAATCCAATTTTGCTTATTTTAATACCAAAATGGATTAAAATAAGCAAAATTGGATTAAAATAAGAAGCGTTGCAGCTTATTTTAATGCCTTTTAATTTTCTGTGAAGTACTTTACCAAATATATAATTTTTTATAAAAAAAAATTTATAATATAATATATCACAGAAAATTAAAGGGCATTAAAATAAGCTGCAACGCTTATTATTTTAATCCAATTTTGCTTATTTTAATACTAAAATGGATTAAAATAAGAAAAATTGGATTAAAATAATAAGCGTTGCAGCTTATTTTAATGCCTTTTAATTTTCTGTGATATTATGATATAATTATTTTTAATATATTTTTATATTACTCTATGTTTACAGTAACCTTGCGGGAAGCTTACAACAACCTTGCCGTGGAAGCTTACCACAACCTTACCATGTAAACTTACCACGACCTTACTGTGTAAGCTTACCTTAGTCTTTACTGTGTAAGCTTACTGTAATGGATAAATTTTTAAGATGACCACAAGTTTACTGTAGGCTTACACGATAATCTTACAAACCCTACAGATATTCTTATAGTAACCTCACAGCAAGAAGTTGTGCTATGTGGGATCGGATCGTTAGTAGAGAAACGTTGAGCATGTATCACGAAACGAAAGATAAGAGTACTGAATGAAAATGGAAATATATTTTTCCTTGCACCATTTCTCAAAGCTCCTATGATCTATGCATATATGTATTTTTAAAATGACGTTCGTAAATATTTTCTATAGCTTTGTCGCATGAAACCCACTATTTTTCAATATTCTTTATTTTACTAGTGGCATTGAATGCTACATACAACTCTAATTGTTCTATATAAGAATTAGTCCATCAAACAATTTTGTCCAATCAAATTTTCTAAAACTGAAGAACAAGTAAAATTATTCTACGAAATTTGCATGTGGAGCAATATAAAAAGCAGTTTGGCAAATATATTCCAAAAATATATGTATAGGAAGCACTTTTCATTTCTAAATTGCTGACTAAGATTCCTTTTGGAAACAGGCCAATTTTCATTCTTTTGTTTAACAAAAAAATAAGAAATCGAAATTGTATATTTTCAATTGAATCAAAACAATATGAAATAATTGCGCCTATGAAATTTTAATTTCTTTTTGGGAACCAAATTGTTTTTATATACAAAATTGATTGAAGACAGAAATAATCTTTGGCAACATTGTGTTGCATTGCACTGCCCAATCTGCTATTTACGGTCACAAATAACGGAACTATTGCCACCGCAATGTGCGCGTGTGTTGTGGAACCTAGAATCAACGATTATGGCTGGTGCCATTTACCGCAAATGCGCGCGAGTGGCGTAAACCCAGAATCAACGATCGGCTGACATAATGGCTATAGCAGCTACCTGTACACTTATAATTTATATCACATTTTGCGCCAGCTTGCTGAAACAGCACCCATTAAAGGAAACTGCAGAATCTCAAGTTTTAATAACGCATATCTATCGATTTCTTACATTATTATCAAAAATTAGTTATGATTCCGATCTCCAATGGAGAATTAATTTTATTTTATTTAAATATTAATAAATAAATTTATTCTTTCACTTTTGCAATTTTAGTTTGTATAAGCAGTTACCTAAATTGTCTATGTAGTCTACAATTTATGATTATATATTTAATGTTGGAGCACACATTAATATACAAATAAATTAACAAGCGGTTTTGTGCCTGGAAGTAATTCCCTCTGATAATGACTGTTATTCTGGAGAATAGACAGGAACCTAGTCACCGAAACCACTTGGACGAATAGTTATTTAATTGCTCACTATAGAACGAGCAATCTCGCTGGTCATTTGACTCAGATTGAGTGTGTGCATACCGAAAGAGGCGGGTTCCACTCACGCATGTGATATCATTTTCTGCCCATTTGTGTATATCATCGCGCATATGAACACTATTTCCGGATTATTATTCCCCTAATTCCCTAAAAAAGAAATAACTATAAACTGTAACCAAATTTTCATTGTTTAATTTATTATAGAGTTTCAAATAAATTATTTATTTCAAATTTCTTTTTTTTAATTTGTCTCTAATTAACTGAGTTTTACTCTGGATCGTTGCATACGTTTGTGTGTAGTAATTAGTTTTCCCCCAAAAAACGTTGTTTCTGTGGGATAACAACAATTTTCGGCAAGTTGAAGGAGTCTGGACTCCTAAACTTTTCGCATACCTATATATACCCAAACTATATGAATCCGCTTTGGCTTAACTCTCTTTATCTTTCTGTACATACAGATTAAAGCGGATCTTTTTTTTCGAATGAAAAGAAGAAAAGGCAAATAAAGTTTTTGCTAATTTCTCCATTTTTTTTTCGAAAATGAATTTGTAATTTATTAGATAAAATATGTTTTAAAAAAACTACATTGAACGAAAATTCTGAATTGCGATTTTTGTGGGGGGGGGAAATGAATAAATATAGTGCATGCTGCAATGCACCAACTGATAAGCTGTTTTCGACTCTCAAAGGAATACTGATTATTACTCCCTCCCTCTTTGCGTACCCCTGACGTATCTAAAAATTTTTATTTTATCTCAAAAACTATGATATATGTTTTTATTTCACGTAATTTAAAATTTTTTAAATATAAGAATATTTTTTCTATTGTATTTATTTTAATTATTTTTATTTACTATCAAAAATGTAAAAACTATTTTTATTCCTAGAGATTTGACCTTTTCCAGTTTCTTTTTTCGACATATACTAGAGATATCTTATTGAGAAATGGTTTTGTACGACTAGAGATATAATAAAAAGAGTTTTCTTACTTGAGCTGCTTCGAACTCAGAATGTTGATACTCGTTCGACACTAAATCGTAAGAAAAAAGAGAGAGAAAAAAAAAAAGTAAAAAATAAGAATCTCAGCTTTGCCGTGGTTCAGAAAGCACTGAATTTCCACCGGTAAATCCCTGGAGACTAGGGATAAAGAAAAGCGTTCAAAAGGAAGCAGGAAAAGTGGTTGCTACCTTATTTTGGAGAAATGCACACGAGACATGTAATTTCAACTATATACGGATTCACATTTCTAAAAGAAATTTTTTATTCTTATTCTCAAAATGTTTGTCTCTTTCTTTGTATCCATGTCTCATTAAATATACAATATGGCAACATTAGAAAATTATTTGAGTGCAAAAAAAAAAAAAACGGAAATAGTTCTCAATCGATTCAAATGAAACATGGCAGAAATTTAGATCTTTTTACTAAAAAATTGTCTTAAGTGGATCAGTAATGTGGAAATATATATATACTTTGAAAGACTAAAAAAGGCTAATGCACTTATATATATATAAAAGAATTACATAAAACTTTCGGGACATGATGCAAAGCAATTGGCCAATCGTAGAAAATACAATTTCGCGTGCAGGATTTTGCGATTTATGTTACGAGTATATCCCATTACATTCACCACAAGTAGGTTGGATGATGCACTAACGGCACTCTGTTGGGATTATGTCGATAATATCCTACGAAATTCAACTCGCTGATAAAATTAACGAGAAATTTCCTAAACTTACATTCATTATAATTCCCTGCTTCACTGTTTTTTGATAATATATAAATATAAAACAAACGAGATACTTTGTTCTGGTGTAATTTACCAATTTAAAAATAACGACAATGATTGTTACTTTCACATAAATATTATATGTTTATTTTATTATCTTTGGCAAAAATTTAATTTAAATTGGAGAACAATTTTTGTAATTTTCTTTTTTTTTAAACTTCTAAGTTTAGAAATTTAAACCAGAAAAGAAAAGTCTCTCTCTCTCTCTCACGGGTATGGAGTTTTGAAAACTACTCGAAAGTTATATATCGATTTCAAAGAGTTAGCACATCTTCCACCGCAATTTTCAGAACCCACGTAATTCATCTTCACTATACAGGTTCGAAAAGTTTTTATTACACTATTGTAATAGCATGATAGTCCCGCATTCTCAGATCTCTCAATTTTCATCCCAAAATGTCTTTGTGAAAGTAAAATTTCCTAAAAAAGGATTTTAATTTAGAAAATCCAATATAAAAATTAGGCAAATCTAACTTTTTTTTTTTTATCATGAACTGAAATTGGCTTCATTAAAGCGTTGCAAGGCAACTAAAACTTAAGCGGGGAAAACATTAAGAAATTAAAAAGGAAATGATATGAAAATGCGCACAGAAGAACGAAAGACAAAATGAAAAAAAAGAGGAGAGAGTGTTATAAAAAAGAAAAATTATATAGAGAGAATTGAGGAAACGAGAAACCCAATGGACTAATTAAAGTTACCACTTTTCTTTGAATTTTACTACTCTGCTTTAAGTGCTCATCTCCGTTAAACCGGAAATGTAATTTTTATATACATAAATATTAAATAAACATTTTTTCTAAATACACACATTTCCTTAATCTCAATAACGATAATATTAAATGTTAATTACAAACAAAATTATACTGTCATCATGAATATGAATACCGAAAAAAAAGTCCTTTTTGTATTATTAATTGATAGATCGTACGAGTGTGATAATTAACAAAAAAAATTATATAATGTACACAATAAAATTGCGTTTCACCGCAAATTGAAAACGTTAACAATTTAATGAAAGTCCAACACAATTTCCATTGCATAATTGCAACGACGCTTTCGCATTTAGTAATCATTTGTTAAGTCCATATCAAGATTTATTGTTGTTCGTCACTTATTTTGTTTTTAAATGCAAAATAATATAACAAAACAAAAAAAAAAGTAATAAAAGTTTCTAATTTTACGTTCCATAATTATGTTTCAAAAGAATTGCACGATTTAATTGAATGAATTCGATTATATAATTTTCTGTTTTTATGATACATTATAACGTGTCTGAAGCACCTGTTATTTTCACTCAACTGACATTTTAATATTCACAGAGAATATAGTGAATAGGTACATATATATATATATATATATATACAACTTGAAAATGAATTTCTTGTGCATGGAATGGAAGCAAAAGGAAGATATTAATTATAACTTCTGGCAGTAAATTGTATTTGAAGCGAAATTGGAACGAACGTGCTGAATATGCCAATATTTCGTGGAGCGGTCAGGTTCATTCTCTATAAACTTTTATATTCATTTCAAAGAGCAAGAAAAACGAAATGAAAAAATAATAACTTTCTCATATGAAAATGTAAAAATACATCAGAAACTAAATTAAAATTTTTGATAGATTTGGTTAATAGATTCAATTTTTAAAAAGTTCTTATTAAACTACAAAAAAAGTAATAAAAATATAACCTCTAATTCAGAAAAAATAACACCAAAATAGTAACAATTATTTACTAACTAATAAATTCAAAAACACACCAGGAAAATAAATTTTAAAAAAAATGAAAACAAACCCTTTCACTACATCATAATTTCATTAATTTTTTTGGGTTATTTGTATCAGAATTTTGTTTTTATATACCTGTATATATATATGAAAAAATCGGTTTCCACTTTAACAAATTTATTGATTATAATGGAATTTAATGCACTTTACTATCGCCACGTGACTGGCTAAGCCGGTTGCATTATCGACTTGTCAAGTAAACAGGATTTCATGCACAGGAATGATGATTTTCATGGTGTTAGTTACACAGGAAACTCAAGTCAGTTAAATAAAAGAAATATAAAATACACTTACAAAAAATATTTAGCTCCGTCAGAATCGTGAAACTTTCTCCAGATAATTTATACAAAAATCTTGCAAATATGGTTTCCACTATTATTTAACACTTTCTCTTGTAGGAGACAAAGTTTATTTTTTCTTTTTGGCACTTGTCTTGTAAAAAAAGACAAAATCAATGCAAAAGACGACACCCAGATGAATTCTGGAATTTTGCCATTTACATTGTTGAATAAAATGGATCTTTTTTCATATATTCATAATGATTAGTCCTGTAATTCACTTACAATTGGCATTGTTGAAGCACGTGTCATGACAATGGACACGTGCAATGTTTGTCAATAATTATTGCGAATATGTAAACTCCCATTGTTAAATACATGTCATGCACATTTACTTTGAGGTCACATGAATACACCTTTTCATTGATGTATGTATGTATGTGTATAAATCTCCAGGTAACGCAGATTTTTAGAAAGAATTTCGCGTTTTTTCAAATTGTCGAGTGAATGTTGATCGATGAACAATGATTCGAAAACAATTAATGTCACTTATCACATTTAATATTAAGGTGTTGTATTTTCGAACCCGCGCTTTTTCACAAAACATCCGGATGTTTCTTGCAAACATCTCGGACAACGGCGGCGACAATAAAATCAAGAGAGAGGAAAATCAGGATTTGCGCCAACAGCGCCCCTTGCGGACAATAATGACCATTGGCACTGTCCTTGCACCCTTGTATCTTATCTTATCCTATTGGTTGAAATTATCTGATCCATCTTGACAACAAACTGCTCATTGGCTCCATCTAGAGGCGCGATTTTCAAATATTTTCAAATATCACTTACGGTAAAACAGTTTGCTTTACATAAAAAAATTATTTTTTGATTTGAATAAACTTCTTTAACTACTCTTATAAATATTTATATTTATATTTATATAAATAATATATATTATCTATTTTTTTATTAAAAATAATTTTGTATTTAATAGAAGAAGTTGCAATAATATTGTAATTAGAAAAATCAATTTACGTCAACTTACACGACTTACGTTAACATTTGCGCGAAAGGTCCACGTTTTTGGCGCTATGGTAAATTAATGTTTGTTTTATTTTTATATTTCATTTTTCTCAATTTAATTTTATTTGCATGTTAAAAATTATTCCTAAAAGAACTTGTTAATTGTTAAAATATTTACTTATTTTTTAATTGATTGTTTAATTTTACTGCGTTTCTTTAGAATATTTTCCTAACCTCAAAATATTCGACTCATTGAGTATATATTAACGTCTTTTGTAAAAAAAAAATATTTATTTTTATTGCAGATAAATATTTGTGAACATAATGGTTCGGCATAATAATCAATTACCGGATAATCTTCCGCAATTGCAGAATTTAATAAAACGTGATCCAGAATCGTACAAAGAAGAAGTAAGATTTTCACATCCACTCAAAAAATTTAATTTATTTTTCGTATATCTAATTGTTAAAATTTTTTACAGTTCCTTCAACAACACAATCATTTTAAATCATTTTTGGAAGTATTCCGTTTAAATCCAGAGAAATTCGATAAAGATCTCGATGTAGTGTCTATGTTCCTTGCCCAGGTAAGTTTTGATTATTTACTGAAATTAAAAAAAATGTTTACATTTTCCCAATTTTAAAGTTTTAATTTTCATATTGTGATAATTAAAAAAAAAAACAATTTACGAATTTTCCAAAATTTGTAGCCACCATCGTTTTATTTTTTATTTTTAAACGATTTTATAATTGTATCGACGAACTTTTTATTTCTCTTGCAGGTTTGAGAATAGAAAAGTTCGTCGAGCAAGTGGATTGAGAAATTTTTTTTCTTAACAACAATCAGTTATTACAAATTAAAAAAAAAAAAAAAACTAACCATGGAGGAGTGTGTCGAGGCTCTAGGAAAAACGATTATTTGTCGAGATAATATAATTCGACGATTTTATTCTTTAATCGCTCCAAATGAACCGTTGCCGGAGTTTATTTTTGCATATGGTCACATTGCGAGTGGAAAATCACTTATCATTCAGAGTATTGTGAATCATTTAAAATACAAATACTCGGTGATCAATTGCGTTGATCATTTAACCAACAAACACATGTTCGAGGACATTCTCATGGATCTCACCGATATAAATTTAAAATCGGAAGATAATTTTAAATCTCCATTCAAGGTTGACTCATTAATGGATTTTATTTTGCAACTACGCTTTCTATTCACCAATGATGATGATCCAATAATAATTATCTTCGATAAATGCGAATATCTAAGAGATAAACCGATACTTTTTCGCAGTCTTCTACGTCTTCGGGAATTATCAGAAATGAATGTTTGTCCAATTTTTGTCACTGATCTTACGTGGGATAAATTTTTTTCCATCATTAAAATTAAGATGTCAATTAAATTTTATTTTCCACCATATACACAGCAGGAGACGGCAAGAATTTTATTGTTCTATAAACCCAAGGGATGTGATGAGACATTTTATAAAAATTATTTAAATTTATTTTTATCAGTGTTTTATCGATTTTGTCGTGATTTGAATGAGTTGCGTTATATGGCGTCAATTAATTTTGAAAAATACATAGAACCAATTACAGACGGAAAATGTACTTCCGATGATAATAAAAGTCTTTGGTTAAATGTGGTGAATGTCTTCAAAAAAAATTTAGAAGTAATTTATTTACGTGTCTCGTCGGATGATTTTGTTCAAAATGAACAATTGTCGAATGAAATTGGATCAATAACAAAATTGGCACAAAGCTTTGAACTTCCGATTTATGCAAAATATATTTTAATAGCCTCATTTTTGGCCTCATATAATCCGGTGAAAGAGGACAAATATTTATTTATGAAAGGAACGAAAAAAAGACGTAAAAGAGCACATGTCAGTATGAAAAAACAAGTTCTCAATACGCAAACGGGACCTAAAACTTTTCCATTTCAAAGAATGTTATCGATTTTTTGTTGTATTGTCGAGGAAGATGTTGATATTAATACTAAAGTTATTTCACAAGTTCCAACCATGTGCGAATTGGGATTGCTTACACCTGTCGGCGATTCAAATATCGATGAACCCAAGTTCAAATGTTGCGTGAGTTATGATTTTGCAATGGTTATCTCGAAGATAATTAATTTCCCGTTAAAAAATTATCTCTACGACTTTATGCATCAGTAATTCGTAATATTTGACATTCTTTCACGAAAATAATTTTTTTTTGTTTGAAACACTTCACGTACGGTACAAATATTGACTTTTGAAATTGTTCTTTTTTTGAATTAGAATATAAGTTTTCATTGATGAATCTCGACTATTTATTAATTTATTATTAATTTTTTTGTACTTTTGTAACATTTTTGAATAAAGGTATTTTTAAAGAGAAAATTCTTAATTTCGTGTTTCTTTTTTTTTAAATAGTGGCTACAAATTTCTTTTCAAGTCCCGAGCTATTCTAATGAAAATACATTTTTTTTTCGAATACTCAGGTGGCCCATTGTTATCCAGATGTTCTTGTCACGTTTCCTCAGGATATAATTGACACTCTCGAGAAGCACAATACAGTTCTTCACAATGACATGCGAATGGTAAATATTTAATATTTAAATAAATTAATATATTATTTCCATTCAAAGCAGGAACTTATATTTTTATATTATTTCTAAATTAAAATTTTTCTTTTCTTTATTGTTAACAGACATTTTGCAAAGCTTTAATTTTGCTTCGTAATAAAGGACTCCTGGAACCGACAGCGTTGTTAAATTTATTTTTTAATCTTCTACGATGTCAAGATAAAGTTTTACGGGAATTTTTACAAACTCATATTATAACGGATATAAAGAATATCAATGCAAAACACAAAAATGCAAAAATTAATACAGTTTTGCAAAATTTTATGTTCACCATGCTCAAAGATGCGAACGATAGAGCGGCAAGAATGTCATTAGACATTATGATTGAATTATACAGGAAAAATGTGTGGAACGATGCAAAAACTGTGAATGTCATTGCAACTGGTTGTTTCTCAAAAATAATGAAAATAATGGCAACAAGTTTACGATTTTTTTTGGGTACCGATCCAGATGAAAAGGACAGTGATGAGAGTGACAGTGACGATGAACCAAATGTCAAGGAAGTTATGCTTGCCAATAAAGTGAACAAGAAAACAAAAAAAAGAGATAAACAATTGAAAAAGGCGAAACAACTTTATGCCGTTGGTTTTTATTTATAATTTTTTTTTTTTTTTTTTCTAAAAGAAAATTTTATTTAATTAATTTTTCCCATTTTAGAAATCAAAAAAGAAGAAATCAAAGGCTCCGCAATTTAATTTCTCAGCTTTACATTTAATTCACGATCCACAAGGTTTTGCGGAAAAATTATTTAAACAAATGCAGAAAAATAATGATCGGCGAGAAATTAAAGTCATGACACTTGATGTTGTGTCGAGATTAATTGGTTTACATGATTTGTTTCTTTTAAATTTCTATCCATTCGTACAAAAATATCTACATCCTCACATTCCAGGTAAAATTCAAATTATGAAAAAATATTTCTTTAACAATTAAAAAAAAAAAAAAGAAATCAATTTAATTTATAATCTTTTCAGATGTTACGAAAATGTTACAATTTGTTGCTCAAGCGTCACATGAATTGGTGCCGCCAGATGTTTTAGAGCCGGTTTTAAAAACTTTGGTGAATAATTTTGTAACTGAACGAAATTCAGGAGATGTTATGGCAATTGGGTAAATTTTATTTAGATATTTAATTTAACTATCGCTTTACTGGAAATGTCCTGTTTTTGTTTAAAAAAAAATTTTTTTTTTTGATTTTAAGATTGAATGCAGTGCGAGAAATTTGCGCGCGATGTCCGTTGGTCATGACGGAAGATCTTCTTCGAGATTTGTCGCAGTATAAAAATTACAGAGAACGAAGTGTTATGATGGCTGCTCGATCGCTCATTGCATTGTTCAGAAATACGATGCCAGATTTGCTTAATAAAAAGGACAGAGGTCGTCCAACAGAGGCGACAATGTTCCTAGAGCCTCTACAATATGGAAAAGTCAATGCGAGTACATTTATACCTGGCGCTGAAGTTTTACTTGAAAAATCAACCGAGGATATTGAAATTGACAGCGAAAACAGTGACGTAAGCTTTTAAAACATTAATTTTTTTTTATTATTATATTTTTTAAAATAAACATGAAATAATTTTATAGGACGACGATGAATGGATTGATGTGAAGCACAGTGACGATGAAGATCAAACGATAAATAGTATCGAGGAAGATGATGATGAAATTGATGAAGAAGAAGACGAAGAATTCGATAGCGAAGAAGAAGAAGAGGAAGATGATGATGATGATGAAGAAGAAGAAGAAGAGGATATTAATGACAAAGAAGACAACGAGAAAAATGAAAAAGAATCGAAAAATAAAATTCAAAATATTAAAAAGTCCAAGAAGAAAACTAAAATTGAGGAACTGAGTACGGAAAGTAAAATTGAAGATGATTCAATGTCTCAAAAGACAATAAGAAGTAATCATGGTAAGAAGAAAACGTATGCCTCGAAATTGGAACGGAAAAAAAGGAAAATTGCAATGCTCGCAAAAAATAGAGAACAAAAGAAAACGGAATATACTGCCGAAAAAAAGGAGAAGGCGTCACAAATTTCCGTTGATAGAATTTTAACGGATGAAGATTTTAAGAGAATTGATATGGCTTTAGTTAAACAACAAGTGACGCATGCAAAACGTGGAGTAAAACGGCCACACGATGAAGATCGTGGAGAATTGGTGAAACTTGGTGACATTGAAAATGTCTATAAAAAGAAGAGGCACGACAAGGAATCTCGATTAGAAAGCGTTCGGGTAATTATTATTAATATAATTTTTGATTATTAGTGTAATAAAAAAATTTAATTTTCCTTTCTTGTGATTTGTTTAATTTGTAATTACAGAAAGGACAAGAAGGAAGAGAAAAATTCGGTTACAAGGATGGAAGGCAAAATCCTTTGTGCAGTAAAACAAATCGCGAGAGGAATAAAAAGAAAGCTTATCAAATGATAAAATACAAAGTTAAAGGAAAAGGAAAGCGTTCATTTAAAGATAAACAAATTGCACTTAGAAATCATTTAACAACGTTAAAAAAGATGAAGTAATTTCATCAAAATTTTATACAGATTGAAATAAACAGAAATATTTATCATTAATGAATTTTCTTTTAAACCTTTTCCTTTTTATATGTGTATGATTATTCACTATCTTTTCTATTATTTAATTATTTTTTATATTTCTCAAAAATTAAAATATTCAAATAATAGCGCCCAATTTTATCAAAATTGAAAAAGCGCCATCAGCGTCAAAATTGACAACTAAAGTTTGTTGTGTGTGTTACCCACATCTTTGTATGCATAATTTTCCAATGGGTGGTTTATTGTTGTAGGTAGGAAGTTATGCTTTCCTATTGTTAATTGTTTTATTCAGTGCAGTTTTGTGAATTTCAAAAGACTAAATAGTATTTGTTTCAATTTAACAAGTGAATTTTTGAAAAATCTACAGCGGTTATGTTAATAACGAAGAATTACGAGTCAACCGGTTTGACTCAAGAGGATTTTGAGATGTTTCCGGAACTCGGTGGTTTAGGTATGAGTTTTTCTTTCTTTTTTTTGTATTATTATTGCAAATAATATTATGTTTCATAGATAAAAAGTTAACATTACTTTGTATTCATAAAAAGAGATTTCCAATATTGATATGTAGATTTTATAGTGAAAAGTTGGTTTTATGTTGACAAATTTTATGATCAAACAAACGTCAAAGGCGTGATGCTCTTAATCTTTATTTGATAACTAAGTGTAGTCATTGTCATTAAACACGTGGCTTGCATATTTCACAAAATATGGTTGTTAATAACAAAGTAATATCGATGAAATATTAAAAAATTTATTTAGAAAATTTTCTCATGTTTTAGGTTAAGTTTTAATGTGGCATATTATAGGTTTTTGATAATAATTCAAGTTTTCTGTTTCATAGGCTTTCGAATCAATCGATATGAACACATTTATGTCTATTAATAAAGCGTTCGTTAAAGTTGTTATAAATATCCTTGGCACACAACGTGGAAAATGAAGTGGAAAATACAAAGTTTGCAAAAATATGCTTTCTTCATCCCATACTTGACACTGTTTCAAGTTTTTATTCAAACATTTAATTTATATTTTTATTACTTTCTATAAACTCGTTTACTTTTTAATTTATTATTTTTTTTTTTTTTGCTATTTCAAAACATTTTTGAAAAATTATTAACTATTGATAACGATTTTCAAATATATTTTTATACAGAAAATTGGAAAAAATAAACTGATAATTTACGCAAAAGTATCAAAGTCTGAAGATAAAAAGTAAGAATTCTTTAATTAAAATCGTTTCTTCTCTTGATTCACCATGATAAAAATATTTTGAAAAATTGTTTAAATTTATTTTTTTTTAAATAAATATTTCATTGTTAAAATGATGACATACTATGTCAAAAAGAAAACAAATTTAATTTTCAAATTTATGAAGACATTATTTTTATTATTTGATTACGTGTGCCTTTAAAAACTTTGTTTTTTTTTTTATCATTCTGTTTTTATTTCTATGTCGAGCGTGTTGTAAAACAATAATTTAACTTTTTCATGAATAGTTATCTTCGTATGAAGATATGTTAAGAAATAATACATCGACCTTGCTAAAATAATAAATAATTTTTGCTAAAATTCACCTAAAACCATTCTATTGGTAAAAAAAAAGTTATCAAAACATAATATCGTTTCGCAGTTACAATAAACTTTAAAGATTACATTTTCTATTTATACGCAATCACATAATAAACGTGATAAGATTTTTTTTTCGCGGAATATTTGCACAATTTACTTCAAAGTATTTATTATATTTTAGATAATTTTTTTTTTTTTTTTTGCTTTAATTCGTGATGTTTTAGAATTATACAACAGTATTACGACGATGCATGACAAAAATATTGAAAAAATCCGGTTTTCAGTGACCATACACGGAATATGTTAAGGATCTAAGGAATTAGACCCAGAAATAAGCTATAGTTTATAGGGATGGGAATAAACTGTAGACTTTTTTACAGTTTAACTGTGAGCTTGAACACCCCACTCTCTTTTTGACGACTTGTTGCGGATGATGTCGTTGCCTTTCAAACACATTTCTTTACCGGTGAAGTTCATTCTTATTGTTAGTGTGACTCACAATTGCTTTTTGGATTTTCCCCTATAATATTACCCGTATATAATTCAAAACATTTTCATCCCTCGATGTTTACTTCTTGTTTTTGATTCTTTTTTGTGAATATAGAAAAGAAAATTTTTAAATTCAAATAAAAATCAGTGTATTTTTACTTGCGCCGGAAACCGGAAATATTCTGTCACGCTTTTGTGTTTTTAATTATTTATTTTTCAAAGAAGAAAATAAAACAAACCTTCTCATACGTGAAAAAATTTGAATTTTTATTTGTTATAATAATTGTCTGAAATCGGTTCAACAACAAATGTTTGTTTCTTTTTTTTTAAATATTTAATAATGAATAATAAAATTCTTAATAATTACATATATATATAATAATTTTCGTTATAATAAATAATTTTCCGTAACTTACATTATGGAATTCGTAATAAAATGAATTTGATCTCAAAGGTGTGGACTTTTTTGGAGTCTTCTGTGGACACAGGTGCAATGTAAATTAAAATTGACATTAATATTATGAAACTATTTTCAAGAAAATGTGGTGCTGTGTTAAAAGCAATTGTGATGTTTTATCTAGTCTCTATTCTTATAGTGTTATTAATATTTAGGGAATGATACGAATATGAGGTGAAATTTTTTCGTGATATGTGAATTAGATTTAATGATAAGTGAATTTAGTTAATTTTTTTTAATTACAAGGATAACAATATGATAAATATGTCTGATCACTGTATACTTGACATGATGGATTTTGAGGACATTAATAATTGGCCTATAGGTAAATTTTATTAATTTCATTTTTAATTCAAAATTTATTTTTTCACACTCATAATGAATTTTTTTCAGAATTATTTTTCTCAAAAAGTGAATTTTTTCATAATAATTAATATTGGTATTAATAATAGAAAAATATTATTTGTAAATTTAAAAAAAAAATGAAGTTTATAAATAAAAATTGAACTGAAATAAAATATTGTTCTGTTACTGTCTATCGCGTTTAAAAGTGACACCGAAAACTTCATTTGCCTAGATAAATTTAATACGAAGATAAGTACAAACTGGTTTATCGTTGCGTTGAACATAATTTTTGAATTGTCAACTTTTCAAATCTTCAAATTATTAAAGAATTTGTAAATAATTTAAAAAAAATTTACTCGATACACCATAAGTATGAATTATAAATTATAATATTATATTATAAATAATTATGTTATTAACAATCGTATTTTTTTCTATAGCGAGTAAATTTTCTCTTATTAATGCCAAATTAATTAAAATTCATTAAAAAAAAAAAAATTATAATATTGAAAAACAAAAAAATAAATGAAATTATATTGCAAAATTATTTTTTCGATTTTACAATAAATTAAATTTTCACCCTCTTTAAAGGGTAATAATTAGGTGCGTCAATAATGTTATCTTATCTCTAAATGGGCGTAAAAGGACGTAGTTCTTCAAAAATTTGGATTCATAGAGAAAATAGTAATTTTTTAAATCTGAATATTTTTACATTATTTTATTATTTAGTTTATTAGTACATTATTATTGTAAAAATTATAATAATAACTATTTTTTTTTGTAATTTTGTATCATTTTATTTATTGAGTTTAAATCGATTAATTCCCATAAGAGAAATGGTTAATATATAAATGATTGTTATCTGACATTAAACGTAATAGATCTAAAAGTAATATCAAAAAGTAGGTAGTAGGTAATTGTAGAGAAAGTAAACAACATTAAAATACATTCATTCATATATATATATATATAAGAATATTATAAAAATACAGGTCACATTTTATTGATATTTTAATGAAGACTCTAATGTTTGAATAATAATTTTTCTTTGAGACATGTGCACCAAATGAATTTGATAAGAGACTAATATTTTCTTCTTCTGATAAGAATATACTTTTTTTTGTTCGTTAATTATGCAACCAGGATGAAGAATTAAATCATATGTAATAATATTTATTATTTTTTTATTATGTATAAATGTATATATACAATTATAAATAAATAATAATTATTATTATAATAATTACTCTTTATATTCATGTAATCTTCTTAAATTCATAAATTTTTAATGATTTCCAAATATGCAAATATCCAATCTTAAAAAATTTTATTCCTCTATGTATTTGCGGAAGACATTTAAAATTCAACGAAAGCGATTCTTTATTATGTTAATAGTCAATTTTTGTTCATTGACTCTTGCATTTAATTTTATAATCAAACATTAACTAATCATTGTTTTTTTGTTTAAAAAATAAATTAAAACAACAATTTTTAATATTCATATAATATTCATAATTTGTATATATTTTTTAACTTTTATCTGCAGTTAGTGTTTTTCTTTTTTTATTTTTTAAAGAAGAAAGTTTGAAATTGAATGATAATTAATATTGAAATAGAATTTTAATAAGCCGACCGGCATTGATTCGTAGTAAAACTCGAATTCACTTTCTGACGATGTAAGTATATAAGACCGGCTTCGTCAAAGTTCATTGACACAAAATTACTCTCTTCTTTCATGCAAGAACCCAAGAGACGTGAAATATATTGTTTGCTGAAATTTTAGACACACCTTGACAAAAAGTGTCGATGAATATAGAAAACGTTCTAGATATGTATATATATAGAGTAATCTTTTTTTCGTAAGCAGAAAAAAAATAATCAAAATTGTTAAAAATTAATTTAATTATTAAAAATTGTGAATTGTTTTCACAATTTAATTCTGTTGGTGATTTATTTATTAATAAAGAAATTTTTCTTTCTTGCAGAAGAAGGATTCCCAGCCGATGATCTTCTTGAAGCTCTCAGCTCAGAATTGGAGATCCCTCAACTTTTGGGAGGAGAGGGATCTCTTGGTTGTGATGAAAGTCCGGATGATATTATGAAAAATGCGGTGGAATCACCTCCATGTAATTCCGAGGATATTGATATGAATTTCATGCCCATGGACCTCGATATTTTCCAAAATATTTGTTCCGATGGTAAAGTTTATTTATTTTTTTTTAACTGATAATTGATTATTTTCTCTAAAAATTAAAATAAGAATTATTTTCGTATTTGGCAATGAAAATAATAAGTTTTTGACATATATTTAGAATTGGACAGCGTTTCGGTGGAAGCTGATTTAATGGATTGTAGAACAGAAAATGTGAAAATTGAAAATGAAATCAAATTGGAACCAAGAAGTCCAAGATCTCAACTACCACCTTCTCCTAGTCCTAGTCATTCGGATAGTAGTGTACACGAATGGCACAATGACGCTTCGTCAAATTCATCCAATGATGGAAAGGTACAAATTTTTTTTTTTTTTTGTAATTTATTTAATTAAAGTTTATAAACAAATTTTTTTATTAAAATATTTATTCTAGTTCATGTTTGAGACACCACCAATATCTCCACCACAAAGTGAACCCACTTCTCCACCAACGATAATTAATACTTCGATTCTACAGCAAATAAAATTAATTCCCATGAAATCAAACGAAACCAAAACTACGAAAGTTCTTCTAACGAAAGGAAATACAGCAAAGAGAGTTTGTATCCAACCGAAAGTTAACAAAATGAAAACTGAAGGAGGTGAGTAACTTTGAGTTAAAATTAATTTAACAAAAAGCAATTTAATTAAATAATGAAAATTTAATGGATTTTTTTTCAGAGCAACCGCGAAAAACAATAATTTTGAGTGCTCAAGATTTCGCGGCTCTCTCGCAGAAAGTCAAACAAAATGGAACTCCACAATTAAAAATTCAAGCCTTACCAACAAATAAAACAGTGAAAATTCAAAATCAATTAAATATTCTACCATCGCAACAAGTGAATCTTGAAAAAGGTACAGCATTCACGCCAACAAATCAAATAAAGATCATTAACTCCATTCCAAAAGTACAGATTCAAAATGTAAAGCCAATTGTTATGCCAAAAGAATCGACAGTTTGTGCGCCAATTGTTAATTCGCCCACGTGTTCGCCAATTGTTATTAAAAATGAATCGTCCGATTATTTTAACCTCTCCGGTAGGCAGGAGAGTGAAATAAAAGCATTGAAGAGACAGCAAAGAATGATTAAGAATCGCGAATCAGCCTGTCTTTCGAGGAAAAAGAAAAAGGAATATGTCACTGCCCTTGAGATTCAAATAAGCGATCTTCAGGAACAAAATCGACAACTTCATGCCGTTAGTATTTTAATATTTTTCTAAGAAACTTAACGTAATTTTATTTAAAAATTTGGTTTACAATTTAAATACTTTTCCAGGAAAATGCAGCGTTGAGACAAAGATTAATTGAGTCAGAAGAGACAAGTGGAGCCAGAAGTAAAATAAGAAACATGAATCTTAACGGAAACAAGAAGAATACAGTAATGCTTTTAGCCTTTTTTTGTATGATAACCTTAAACTTCAGCAATTTTGGGTAAGTTAGTAAAATTATAAATTTGTTTTTTTTTTGAACATTTCCAGCATCTAAGAAAATATGAAATTTTCAGAGTTTTTCAAAGTAAAACAGATTTGGAAAGAATGTCACCACACATGCCCTTGCCAAATGTACGGCACAGTAGAAGTTTACTCTGGAGTGAGCCTGATTCCGAGGAGACTAATTCATCAAGAATAAATTCAATAAATCAATCAATGTGCCCGATGTCGATTAATGACACCGAATCAAAACGATTAGATTTCGAGATTCGACGATTTTTCGGTGATAAAATAGATGATGGAAATTTAAAGAAATCACCAATAACAAAAAAGCAGGTCAATTCGTCATTCAGTAAAATTTCCCATACAACACCACCACCACCACCATCAAAAAAGAGAATATTACGTAAATTAAAAATTACAAGAGAAAAGAAAGTCGAAACAAATTCAAATAATATCCCCTGGCAAAATAATAATGCATTGGAAGTGTTCTCGCCAAATTTCAAGGATCACGCGGAACTTTTTGATGCGCTTAAAAGAAAACATGATACACATTATGTCGTTTGGTTTAGTCGAGATTATCTACTATCACCAGCGTCGAGACAAAATAATACCTTGAGACCAAAGATGACACTCATTTTCCCTGCTCTTCCACTCAATGGTAAAATTTTCTTTTATTTAATCAGTTTTTTTTAATCAAAGATCAAAAGATTAAAATCTTTTTTTTTTCATTACAGAGACATTTTCAACTAATCCAAATAATTTAACAATGATGCAAATTGACTGCGAAGTGACAAATGTGGAATTTTTCAATCTTGAGAATTCTGTGATTCCCGATTATTTACGTGCTCCACAAAAACCAAGCAGTCCACCACAAAAAAATGATAACGAAAATTATACACCATATTTTTTGAAAAATAATACGGAAATTCTCAAAAAATCACAAAAAGAAAATTCTCATTTAATAAAAAATGTGGATATTGTGGAGAATAATAATTTCAAACGTGATGAGTTTCTTGTCGGTCCAAATAATATTTACAGGAAGCCAGCAAAAAATTGAAATAAGGTAGGCCGTGAATATTTGTAAAGGAAATCCCTTTTTTTTTGTTATTTTTTACTGCCAAACCGGAAAACAGGCTGTGTAGAAAAGTAATCGAAGTAAAAAAAAAAAGCCTAAAAAGATATAATATATTGTACATTGACAATAGAAATGAAAAAAATATGGAATTTTTGCTCATTAAGAGCAGTGACTGAAAATTAGTATATTTGGCTATTTTTTTGATTAAGCGTCAAAAAGTTTTTTAGAGAGAAAAAAATAAAAAAAAAATTTTTAATCTTTTTATTATTTACACATAAAGAAGAAAATTTTTTAAAATGCAATTATTTTTACACAAATGAATCTTTGTTGTAAATGAAAAACAATTTCCCTAAGAGCTCGATGCAATAAAAAAAAAAGAAGAAAAAAACAAAATCATAAAAGATTTTGTAAATTTTTGGTATTAAAAATGCGTGCAATCTGTATATCACTTAAGATTTTTGTTCTTGAGTATTTTTAATTGATATTTTTTAGCAGGATTTAGATTATAATTATTATAATATAATATAATGCAATTTAATTAAGATAATTTCGATTAAATTGAGAATAGATTAAGTAAAAAAAATATTATATAGAATATTTGATTTCTATATCTTTCAACACAATTTTTTTTTTGCTTTTAATAATTTATAAGTTTCACTACGTGTGTCACAGTATTGTGAAATTCTTTGTATAAATGTTTTAACTTTAGGCGTGTATGTAAATAATATTACAATAAATGTTTTCAATGAAATTGGAATATTTTTTTTCATCAGAAATAATTCAATTCAAATATAAATAGAATAATTTTATTAATTTTTTTTATATTCAATATCTGCTTGATTTATATTGTCTTACTAAGAAAAAAAAAAACGATTTAAATTTTATTTAAGATCCGGTGTTGAATTTCCGAGGTAACTTCGTAAATCTGTAACTGTTGATTTTATTAGTTTTGCTCTTATTGTTGGTTTACCAAGTTTTTGATGAGCTATATAACGATGGCAACCTCCAAATGAATAATAATAATCACCGCCTGTGAAATTTATTCAAAATTATTTAATTTATTAATAATGTTTGTTTATTTATTATCAAAAATAAATATTTAATTTACGTTTAATAAATTAATAATCAAGATTTATAGTTTTTATTAGGTTTAAATTTCTTTCTAATTATATTATTCTTAATAATAATATTCGTTAGTAATTATGCAGTGTATTAAAAAAATCTGCTTTTTTTAAATTATTTAAATTGAAGTAATTTTGATAGACGTTTTTACTAATTAAATATTAATGTACCTTCTCTTCCTGTAATCCATAGAACATCAACAGGAGGTACCAAAGATTCAGTGTCGGGATCTTGTAAAGTTTTCATTAGACTTCTAACTTTTTCATCATTAACTTCAGGTGGAAATGGTCTAATCAAAACATTCATTGGCATCTCATGAACTTCTGCATTCTCACTTGAGTGAATACTAGTCATTTTTTCATTTATAAATGAACCTTGAAATTAATTCTCTTTGAATATCCTTGAATACATTATCATTAATTACATTAAATGCGTAAAATTGCCAATAAAAGGTAATATTGAATAATGTTCAAAACAAATTGCGTAAATTAATTTCGAATATATTATTACATTTAACATTGCAATATTTAACTTAATAATAGTTAAATATGCAGAAATTTTAATATTTAAAAAAACAAATTGTTATTTTTATATAAAAGTATAAAAAAATTTATAAATTATTCAAAAAAATTGTTTTGTTAATACTTTTACAATTAAACTTACCTATGTTTTTGTTGTTTAAAGATATCAGACGCAACACTTTCAATTTTGAAGGCAATATCATAGCTGCCTTAGTAATGAATGAAGTTCTCTTTCAAGCGTGTGTCACTTTTACTGTCTCCCTACTTTTTTTTCCCACTTATATCAGATGACAATCTACAGCTAAATCTAAAAGCATGTTGGTTAATTACGTTGTGGAATTATTAATTTACATCATAAACAACAGTAGAACATTTTTTCCGGCTTTTTTTTTACAAAAACTTAAAAAAAAATTATTTACAAATTTTATAAAACACATTGAAACTCAAAGATCAAGGTTTATTATTTCGCAAAAATTTCGCAAACTTATTTATCAAATCTTTAAACAAAAAAAAAAAAAGTTGAAATATTCTTCTGAATAAAATAAATTCGTTAATATTCTCTGGGTTATTGAAACTTTTTAAAATACTTTTTTTAAAAAAAAACTATAGAATAACAGAAATAATGAATTTTTCACCTCGAGATTGTCCTTTAAAAAATCTTTAATTAAAAAAATAACTACAGGTATATTGTGAATTCCTGCAAATTATATCTAAAACTTGTTTTCTATTAAAATCTCCATAATTCACGTGGTATTTAAAAGTTGCTCTTGCAAAAATTCAGCCACATTCTTTCCTAATTTTTTATAAGCTTCCGCTTGTTTTGAATTTGGTTTTGAAATTAATATTGGCTTTCCATTATCACAGCCCTCTGCGATGTCATCATTAAATGGAATTTTGCACAAGATGTTAATGCCTATAGATATATGAGATAAAAATTTACTTTCAAAAATTATTATACATTTTGCAAAAAAAAAGAAAAGAAAATATACCTAATTCCCAAGCAAGACTCAATGATCCATCTTTAAATAGAGAGGCTTCATGATTACATTTAGGACAGATAACACTACTCATATTCTCGACAATTCCAACAAGTGGGACATTTAATTTTTGATACATTAGAGCTCCTCGTCGCGTGACATCAAGAGCTGCTTTTTGCGGTGTCGTGACAAGTAAAACACCAGCTACAGGGACATTTTGCACAAGAGATAAATGAGTATCACCCGTTCCTGGCGGAGTATCGACAATGAGATAATCTAAAGGACCCCAGGCCACTTGTCGAATCAATTTGTCGAGGGCACTCATCACCATGAGTCCACGCCATATCACCGGGGATTTTTTATTTACTAAAAATCCCATTGACATACTGTAGATTAGATATAATTTCTCATTAATGCGTCATTTACATTTGATTGTAAATATAAGTTACCTACCACGAAAAATAATAATTAAATTAAATTACCATTTAATATCATAATTCACTAATGGTTCCATGAGATTCTTCTCGTTTATTATTGGCGAATCATCAAGATTCATCATTAGAGGAACAGTTGGACCAAAAACATCGGCATCTAATAATCCAACTGCTTTTGCTGGTTCATTCATTTTTAAAGCTACTGCTAAATTAACCGAAGTTGTCGATTTTCCGACACCTCCTTTTCCCGAGGCAACAATTAAAATTTGCTTCACACCCTCGATTGGCTTTTTCTTTGGTAGACCACGTCCCATTACTTCTCGACGACGATTTTCGAGATCTTGCGACGATTTAATGGTGCAAAACTGAGCAAAAAAAAAAAAGAAAAAAATGTTCCACGTTATTTAAATGTAAACAAAACTATAACGCTTTTTTAAGATCTAATATATAAATTACAAAATGTGTCAACAAAAAGAAGATTATAAATAAACTCACGTGATTCTTTGGCATATGGTTGAGGATTAATGACCATCTTTCTAAAATTGATATATTTATACGAGACATATTTTTGTTTAATTAAAAATGCGTACATAACCTCTTTGAGTATTAATAATAGGTTCTACTCCAAAAATTCTTTTCAAATTTTCATTGCAGCTTATAAATATTTGGAAAGGAAAACTTTTACCAAAATTAGATGAACTTTAATTATACATTTCCTTGAAAAATTCTATTTAAAAAACAAGATTAAAAACTGTCACGAGGGTGAGACGCATACTTTTTCTCACTGGCCTATTCGCCATATCGTATTCGTTTTGATATCGTTGCGACTCACTGTCGTCCTCCCCGCACTTGATCCATTAATTTAGTGTTTTGTAATGTTTTTATCAGCCGTAAATATGTGACAGTAAGTATTTTAACATTGTTTATTGATTAAATTTAATCTTCAATTATTGTTAAATCTAACAAACGAATTTTCAATGAAAAAAAACGAGCACGAATCGTTTATGATTGTAATTTGTCATTCCTAACCTATTTCGGCAAATTCTTTTTCATTTTTGACGTTTTTATAAAGATTCTGCAATTTTTAAGTTAATTTTAATATCATAAAAGTTTAAATAACTTATGCTTTCCGAAAATTATCGTCTTTTAAGACGATTTTTATTGTTTTTTAAAAGTTTACTGTTTTTGGTATGTCATCTTTTTTTCATCATCAAAATTTACAAATTTGGTTATAATTTTTTCAAAATTTCCTTTTTTGGTTACTGATTATCAAAAATGTATTGTGTTTTGAATTTATTTACATTTACGGAAAGCGTTTTGAATATATGACAAAATCGCTTTTTTATTGTCTCGTGGATTGCGAAAAATTTTGCAATTATTTTTTTATTTCCTTTTTTTTTTAAATTAAGTGCTAATTTGCAACTTTCGCAGGTAAACCTGGATAATCACGTGGGCGGCCATCGCAGAATATGGGCCTAAAAGCAGCGGTGCAGGCCCTAAAGTAAGTAATTTTTTTAGAATCAAATTAATTTTTTTCTCCTGATGGCGAAAAGTCTATTTTTAGAAAATGAATTCATTTTTCCTTTTTAAAAAAAAATAATTTAAAATAAAGGTTTTTATTTATATTTTGAAATTAATTTGATAATTAAAAAATAAAAGATTAATTAAATTAATTAATTAATTGACAATTTTTTAGGAAAGCTGAACCACTGAAAGATAAAGTACAACGATGTAAAGATCTTCTGAACGACAATGATGCTTGGCTTTGCCAGCAGCAGCTACAAAAGATTTATCAACAAGTTCTCATTCTGGATCTCGAATATGCTCTTGATCGTAAAGTCGAACAAGAACTTTGGAATCTCGGATTTAAGAATTACATAGCCCTTCTTCAATCACAGGCGAAAGATCGAAAAAATCCAAAACGAGGCGAGTCCCAGGCGATGCTCAGTTGGTGTCTCGAAGCAGCCAGTGGCTTTTATTTAACTCTTCTTCAAGAAATATGCACTGCATTTGACCTCGACTTACCCTTCAGAAGGTAATATCTTATGTTTAAAAATATATTTTAAATAAAAATTAATTATGTTTTTTTTTTTCCTCTTTTTAGAAAGGGTTATGTTTATGGTTGCACGTCACCGTGGAAAGCAATTGAAAAATTGACAGCACCTCACAAATCCTCGTGTTTTTACGCTTGTCAATATTGTCTTGTACACTTGGGAGATATTGCACGTTATAAAAATCAAAATAAACAAGCGGAATTATTTTATCGACACGCAGTTTCATTGTCGCCGTCAAGTGGTCAACCTTACAATCAATTGGCACTTTTGGAAGCATCACGTGGTGATAAATTAGGCACAGTATTTCATTATGCACGCTCAATAGCAGTGAAACATCCATTTCCCGTGGCAACGACAAATTTGGCAAAAACATTGTCATCCGTGATAAATGATGATAATTCATTTAATATTGATGGAAAAACAAAATTAACGTCACAAGAATATTTATTGGCATTTTTAAAGTTACACGCAATATTACATAATTTGGGTGATTTAAGTCAAGCGACAAAATATGTGAAATTATTGACAGAAACATTGACAGCATTAATTGCCACTGAAAGTTTTAATTCATGGCGACTTGTACAAATGTTGGTAATTAATTTATATGCCTTGCAACATGCAGCGGGAACATCGTCTGAGAATATGGATTTTTTAAGCGCTGATCAATTGAGTGCGGATGAGAAATTTGCGAAGGAATGTATTTTGGATCTTGTCGCTGGTAGTCTCTCAGCTCTATTGTTGCCTGTTTATACGATTAAAAATGCAATTGTCGATTATTTCGCTTTACCAAGTAGTGAGTATTAGTTTTTTTTAAAAATTTACTAATTTAATATTTGTAATTATTGATAAATTTTCAGTCAAATTGTGCCTTGATTGGATTCGTCTGAAGCCGACATTATTGGAAGAACCTGCATTCGCTACTCGGCTGCAAATATGGCCAAGTCTTTGTGTTTTACTCAACGGTCTACAAACATGTGTATTAGACTTCAAACACGATCAGTGTAGGTTGCTTTTTTTTCACAATTAACCGAGAATTGGCGAATTTTTTAAAATTTCTTTCCTATAGATACCAAAGTACCACTGCCGGAGGATCGAGACCTTCAGGGTTTTCTACCATTAGAAAAAAGTTTCGAACCGCTCCGATTCACAAACACGGATCTGGAAGGTGATACCGTTTCTTTGAATAAATTGCGAGCGATTCGAATCCTACAGTCAGGACGAAAAATATCCCAATATCAAGTTAATGGCTCGGCTTTAATAACAATCGGAGATGAGGAAAATGAGAAATTTACATCTGCAATCGAAGGCGTTGGACCTAGTAACGAATTAATGCGCGAATTAGAGGAACTAAGTTTGAATAAAGAAAAGCAAATTGTCGCCAATAGTCCCGTTCCATCTGAATCGGCAAGCAGTAAAGGATCCTCCGAAACTGACGCATTCGAAATCTCACGTGAGAATTTAATTTTTTATATTTTTCCATTATTAAACATAATCTACAATTTGTTTTTTTAATGTTTCTCATTTCAGTTGAGAAGAGAGTTGGAATTCTAAAGCCGCAAGGTTCATTAGAAAGAAACCGTGACAATGTGGTGATTAATACGAGTGCAATTATTGTCGAATCACATGCAATATTGCCAGCGGCGGCACGTAAACCTCGTCAAAATGTTGCTATGCAAGCGATAATGCGACGAGCCGAGACGGAGCAAAAACAAGTGACCTTTAAAAATGTCTCACCAGTTATTGCCGATTTGGAAGAATTAAAGAAAAATAAATCCACAATTGTTCCGGGAAATAAATCATCATCAATTGGTACACCAATCACCGTTCAAAATCGTCCAACTCTCATGCCAATTCCAAATCCTAGCCAAGTGACGAAAAAATCTCCATCAATCACTCAAAATCCAATTGCACCACTTTCTCAAAATCCACTTACTCCTCAAAATTCGATTACACCAATGACACAAAATTCAATTCCACCTCAACAGCCACAAATTCCACCTCTCACTCCAAGTCAAATTCAAACTTTGAATCAAATTCAATCGCTGAGTCAAATACAAAATCAAATTCAATCGCAACAAATGAAGGCACAGACTTCACTATCATCTCAAGGTCAATCACAAAGTCATCATTCACAAACGATTCCTCCTCAGAGTCAGCAATATTCCACCAGCGATCAAAGAAATATTTCCCAGTACCAATTGCCGATGAATTGCTTTCCAAATCAATCGTTCAACGTTCAAAATCCAGCATTCAGCAAAAATTTCATTGTCAATCAAGCCGATTTTCCAATTCAAGGACAATATCAACAGCAAAATCGAATACATCAACGTGGAAATCAAAATCCAATTATCAATCTTAATAATCCCTCGCTGAAAATATCGAATATTGGCCAACAGAACATTCCTAATTTAAATCCAGTCAGTCATCAAACAAATACGAATTTACAACAGACACTTGGAATTCATCAGCAAAACATGATGACTGATCCACGAAATAATGGAATGAATTTGCCAAATCCAATAAATATGCCAGGTTCAATAACAAATTTAACAGGTTATCAAAAAAATCTCCAGCAAAGTGGACCACCGGGTGTTGCTAGTTCTGATCACGGTAATCTTCAAATGGGCTTCAATTCAAATTATGGACAACAAAGTAATTTCAATCAAATGCAACCAAAACAAATGCAATCATCGTCATCGTTTGCAAAAAATCCGGGACAATTTTCTCAACCAACGGGTTTAAATAATAAAGGACAGACAATTAATAATTATCCCATGTTTCATGGTTATGAGAATAAGGATTTTAATCTATGGAAGGAGCCACAACCACCGCAACCTCCTTTAAATTGGTGGGGAAATTCTGGACAAGGTCAAATGCTACCGGCAAAGGAGAGTACCGATGGCTTTCCAAATTGGACGAATGCACCAAATTCCAGTAACATGATTGGACGAGTGCCTGTGAATAATTCGGGGAATAATTATTCGCAAAATACTTATCACGGACGGCATTATAATACAAGGACTGGTCTTGATGATGCAAGACCTTTTGATGTGAGTAAATTTTTTCAATTTTTTTAATGAAAAAAATATTCGTTTTTTCTATTTTTCCTTTTTAATTCTCAGATGGATCAGAAGCAACAGCAAACAATCACGACAGGAAACACTTATTCTCTATTCAGTGGCAATAGTTGGGGCGCAAGTGGACAATCTTTAGGTCTATCAAATCAAGACCAAATGAAAAGTCGACTCAATCAACAATCGCTATGGTCCGGACCTGGACCATCACCATTGGAACGTCTTTTGGAACAACAAAAATCCCTTCGAGAAGGTGGTACTTGAAGGAAAAACAAAAATGACCCATGTCGTTGATTACAAAAAAAAAAAAAAAAAAAAAAAATAAGAAAAGGGGAAATCCTGTTTTTTCAATTACCCAAAAACACGCGGGAACGGGTAACAAAATATGCAAAAGCAAAATCGTTTAAATTACCAAGAAGCTAATTTATCAACACTGGAATTTAAATTGCATAGTGAGAATAAAAAGAAAACAAAAATTTTTAGAGTTTTGTAGAATGATGAAAAAGAGAACACACATCCGAGAAATATTAAAAAAAAAAAAAAAAAGTTCTTGGAATAATAAACTGCATTTGAATGCACTGAGAGAATAAAAAAAAATCTTCAGCAGTGTTCCCGTGAAAACTAAAAAACTCGTGCAAGGAGGTCCGAAAGAATTTAAAGAATATACTGATAAATAATGGAAAAAAATATATAAAAAGGTCCGTGTTGTGACCATGAAAAGAATTAGATTTCGTTTATCAGTAGTTGCACTTTGAGAGTGGCCTCTATTAGTATATTACAAGTATAGTTAAATTATTATGTAATTAATTAATTCGCATTTTCGACACCAAGATTTCTAGAGTTTCGTTACATTTTCTTTTTCTTCGTTTTTTTTTATCTTTGTTCTTTTTAAGAAAAAAGCTTATCTCGAGGCCGTGTGTCTTTTTTCACTGCACTTTTTATACCATATATAATATATAAAACGATATATTCTGCCGACGATACTTGTCCGAGAAAAACATATTTTGCAATCCGGACGATTTTTCTTTTAACATTAAATAATTTAAAAGTCGCTGAACGACAATCCAATTTCGTAGATTTTATAACAATTGAAAGAAAAATAAATTGTATCACGTTTTTGAAGATTTGGTAAATTGAGCTTAATTAGTTTAGTGCAGCGACTGTCCGCGGCTTCGATGATAGTCAAATAGAGGACAATATTAAAAAAAAAGAAAAAAAACGACGTAGTGACATAATTATGTTTAAAGTAACAAAATTCATAGTTATATTCGATTACAGGTAAATAAATGATGTTGAAATTAATTCTATTGTCTCATTATTTTTCCGGCTTACTCGATAAAATTGTGAATTAAATTTAGAAAAGAGGGAAAAATATTTTTGTTTTCTATATAAATTTATTTTATCACACAGTTTCCATTGGTTCTCGTATAAACTTTAGTCAATATCTTATATTAATAAATATGATTTTCTAATCTTATTATAATGAAATGAAAAAAATTAAAGTTGAACATTGAAATGTTAAAATGTCTTGAATATTGAAACTTAAAATAAATATAAAATCAAATTTCTTAGTCATTATTTTGTGACTGATTTTGGTTCATCACGTGTCAATGTAAATATGCAGGTAAATTTATTTTTATTACATACTAATCTTTGTATATTTTGCGAAGCAATGTGAAGACTATTTTTAAATGTCTTCTCAACAAGTGTTCTACAAGATCGTGGCTAAAAAAATAATAAATTAATTAATTTAAAAATTCTCATATTAATGAGAAATAATGGAAATACTTACAAATCCTTCATAGGAACACGATCTACCATTTCCTTTAATTTCCAATTTATATTTAAATTCATGAGCCGTATTATTATTGTGGACCATTTGTACATTTCCAGTAAAATCACCGGCTGCATCAATAGATGTGATTAAAAAGAAAATTCCCATTTTTTGAATGAAAAATGCCAAATCAAACACAATATTTGACAAATGATCCATTTCCCATTGACGGGAATATTCTCTTCCATTTAAACTTTCACTCTGGAGATAAAAATAATTTTTTTTTTGAGAATTATTATTTGAAAATAATTGTTAGTTATAAGATTAAAAAAATGATAAATACCTGAACTAATCTGTCTTTATGAAAATAATTCAAGTGACTTAACATTCTACTATGTGGACCTTCAAATGTACATTTTGCTAATCGACAAGGAAATGATCCCTTTGCTGCTTGGGGTTGTGATAATTTTACTACTTGTATATTTTCTTCTTCTTCTTTTTCTTCTTCTTTTTCTTTTATTTCTACATAATCAGTTTGTGTAGAAATTGTATCAACTTTCACTTCTTTCGGAGGTAAAATAAGCGAAGTCTAAAAAAGCGTAGAAATAAAAAATGAATATAAGAAATTCAAATAAAAAAAGTATCATTCAAGAAAACGTTTCTTACTTTAATTTCGTCCAACTTAAGAGCTAAATGCTCAGCCAAAAAGCTTCTAGATCCATTATATCTACCTTGGCACATAGGACAATTAAATAATTTTAATCTACACATGTGACAAATGTGATGTCCACCATCGCATTGATATATTGGAGTTATCGGTCTCTCATAACAAACAAGACATTGTAAAATTTCTTCTAAATCAATACACCACTGTAAATAAAAATTTATTTTTAATTTAATATTCAACTAATATCGTTTATCATGACATTCATAATCCTAGACACTTTGATTTTCTTAAATAAACAATTTTTAAATTCGTGATAACTTTCTTCGCATAGAAAAAAAATAGTTTAAAAAAAACAAAAACATTATGTCTCACACGTGTGTTATACATTTAAAAAAAAACTGATAACTGTAGAATATTTCTGTTTTTTTCATTAGTAAAATTCTTTACATTTTAAATACAAAAATTATTATTTTACAATTTGAAATAATTAACATATAAATTAGTACATAATTAACAAAATAAAAAAGATAATAAAAAACATAACCTATTTAGGTATTTTTTGCAAAGTTATATTTATATGTATATAAAAGTTTGTCAATACCTTATTTTTTAATTCCTCCATTATTAAACAAAAAATAGTTTATAAAAAAAAAGGAAAATGCAAAAATGAGCAAAATAATAGTTTTCTTTTGTTTAGAAACGGAGAGCAACACATGCGCAATCAGTTGACAGGTTTTGGAAATGTTTGTTTTGAATGTATTTTGTCAGTTAGGTTAGCTACATTTTTACTTGTATTTATATAAATAAACAATAAAAGAATCTATTTTACTTGTACCAATTAAATAAATTGGATTACTTTTGAAATTTTTTTTAAAAATATTATGATTACACTTATTTAAAATAAAAAATAAATTTTCAAAAAATCGTTAATTCAAATTTCAAATTGTGGAAGTTTTTAAATATTTCAAGGAACCAATCATAATCAACTTTTCTTCTCTTATCCAATAAACAATTGATATCCACAGGAAATAATTTTGCAATTTAGAAGATTATGAACGAAGCATTAAGGTGAACATATCCGCGTTCACGACCACAATGGTCGTCATTTCCGTTATCTTAGACGCACAATGGAAATTTCTATTATTATGGAAATAATAGAAATTCGGTAACGATATGAAGAACGACAAGTCGCAGATAAGCGAACGCTAAATGACAGTATCTCGATTTTTAAACAAGTTTTACTTTCGCGACCGGTATTAATTATTTTGTCAAAGAAGTTTAGTGTATTTGTAAAAGAAAAAGTATGTCAAATTTTTTCTATATAGTGTTCTTTATTTAAGTTTTGAAAAAAATATACATATTATATACACATATATATGTATAAGTGATATATACACGCCAACTGAGACTAATCGATAAATTTTAAGTTCCATCGTATTGGTGCCCTCCAGGTAAAGTGTCAATGTAACTTGCGGCAGCACTGCCGCCTCTCTTTAGTAATTAACCAAACAAAATGGACACCGAAATAACGATTAAGCGAATACTCGTGCAATTGTTTTAAGTGAAATTTTCGAACAGGATGGAATCGCCGATTGTTAATATGTAAGTTATATTGTTTATTAAATTCATTACAATTATTAGCGATAAATTTTATCAAGTGGACGTCTTTAACAATGCCGAATTTTTCAACTTTTTATGATCATATTTTAATAATATAAAATGTAGCACCTATTTTCACCGAACGGGGTCATGTGCTGGCAAAGTACAGTATTGCGGATTATGAATGGCTACTGCGATTTTCTTATTTCTTTAATAATTATCATTCCTTTGTCGTCAACTAACCTAAATTTTTTCATGTTTTTTAACATTTTTTTTTTACAGAGATGACTGAAATTTCCATATATATATATGAAAAAATACTTCAATAAACGGTGATTTTGGATGTTACATTATTTTGGATAAAAGAAAAAGATTTGATATTATTGATTTCTGAAATATGCATTTTTTTTATGGACTTCCGGTTTTATTCAAGTTATAATACAGGTTCGGCATTTTTTTTTCTTTTCTTGACAAATAATATAACTTTTTGTTTTGTGTCTTTTTTCTAATTGAGTATTATTATGAAAACTTTTTTTAATCTATATATGAAAAAGATTTTTTTTAAAAATCTGATTCTATTTTTGCATGAGTCAAAAGGAATTAATTTTGTTATGTCACTGCTAATTCTGCTTTAATAGAAATTCAGACAGTTATGTGCTCTTTTCTAAAGAATATATTTTAAAGACATTGACATTCATTTCCTATTACAATTTAAATTCATTTTTTTTTTTTTTTATTTACCTTTGTGTGCAAATATCAATATTATTACTTTGGGAAAAAAAACAACTTGTTTTGAATAATTTTTAAATTCTTTTGAATTTATTGTTATGAATATTATTCTTTTATTTTAATTTTCCAACTGGAAATACAAAGTCATTTATAGGTTCATCATTTTGTTTTATAAATATATATATATTTTTTTTAAAATTGGAAATTAAATTGAAATTTTGTTCATTTTGAAAGGTTGAGAAGTTTTAATTTATCAAATAAATTGTAGTATAAAATATGAGATTGGGAAATTTTTTTTATATACATAATAATCGTTTAGGCAGATTGCATTATAGAATTATATTAATGCTGATAATCAGAGCGTCAATAGAGTAAAATGTAGTTTCATTTAAAGAAATTCGACTTTGCTTGATTATGTCAGCAAAATAAGGTCAGTAGCTAATGTTTACATTTTTTTTTCACATAAATATATATATATATCGAAATTAAGAGTTATAGACCCAACGTTTTCTGATTGCTAACATGCGTTTAGAAAAATGTAAACGTAAAATGTTCCTAATATTTGTATTTTACATATATGTATAAAATATTCTTGCAACTAAGTATAGTGAGAAAGAGAGATTCTTTTCTTAAAAATTCCAATTTTTCTCCCCGCAGTGCATGATTAAAGAAATGTTAGTTAACCCCTCTTTATCATATTTAACCCAGAGAATTAAAAATTATCATTTCTAGAAAGGAGGTTTTGTCTATAAATTCTAATAATTTATTCACGAAACAATTTTTTCATTATTTTTGATTCCAATTTCATATAATTACTTTGACACCAAACTTTCATAAATGAACAAAATTTTCTTGGTATATTTTTTGGATTATTCTAAATGAATATTGAAATTTATTTATTATGATTAAAATTATAATTTATTTATTATTTTTTAATTACAGTTTAATAATTATATTATTATTATTATTATAGTTTAATTTAATTAAATATTGAATTGAAAATTACGAAACAGATCAAATTTTTTTCTTTTTAAGTTTAGAATAATATGAATATTAAAAATATTAAATTCTTTTTCATTTATTAAAATTAATTTCTTAAAAGTAGATAAACATTGTTTTCTTTAAAAATACAACGTATAAGTGTATAACATTGTAATATATTTCTCTGTCAATTCTTATTGATTTTAGTTCTATTTTTATATCTTTCATTATAAGTTTTCAATTTATTATCAATTGCAAATTAAACAATTTTTTCATACAATTTATTATTTATTTTCGATATAAAAAATTTTGTTAATTATTCTAAACAAAACATAAATTTATTTTAAAAAAAAAATTATTGTTTAAAATAATTTTTGACTGACAAACTTTTTTTTATTGAGTACTTCAAAAAAATAGATTTGAATTTTCTTTGAGGTAACAAAATTTTGTTATGATTCTTAAGTTCGCCAAAACAAAATTCTTGTCAGTCAAATATATTTTAAAAAAAGGATTTTCTGTGCTGGAAATCTTTTTGGTTGAAAATTTTTACTATATAGTGAAATAATATTAATTATGTGGAATAATTTTGATTTTTATTTTGAAAATCATTTTTGTTGAAGTTATTTTATTTTTGTAGGTAGATAGAGAAAGAGAGAGAATAATATAACTGCATTGGTATAAAGAGAATCATCATCGTCGTCGTCGTCGTCGTCGTCGTTGTTGCTTGTGGTATAAAATAATGACGCGTGTGTATACTTTTCCTTCGTACATGCATCTATAGGTGAATGCACACACTTTGGATTGGGAATCACACAGAACGCGATTGGTTAATCAAGTATCCTGCGGTTCAATGCTGCTTTATAAGGTAAAATCTGATTGGTTCTCTTTCCGCTATAATTTGGACCCCGCCTGGCTACTGCCAATTGCTTCGACCGTCTTTCACCGCGGTATCGAATACTTTGTACACATAAATGTGTGTCGCCCCATCCTTATAATATATATATATATATATATATATATATATATATATATATACTCGTATGTGAATGCACAACAGTTTTTGATGTGTTGTTGTATATATACTATACGATGAGAGTGATGCCTCTAAAGATATGTGTATGCCCAGGGCCGTAAAATCCAATCCTTTTTCTCTTCATCTTAAAATTAATTACAAATTCATTTTTCTCATCTCTCTCTCTCTCTTTTCTATATTTCAAGTTCACAAATTTTTTTTTTAAATTCCTCTTTCATTAATTCATAAATAATAAATTATTGGAGTTATGTGGCACAAACTGATAATATAATGAGATTGATAACAAATAATTAATTTGAAAAATTTAGATTTTTTTTGTATTTATTTTTGATGTTTTCGATAAGTTTTTTTTGGAATATTTTCCTTAGAACCATATTAAATAAGACTAGTTTAATGCATTAATTAAAAAATATTTTTTTTTTCAACGTTCAGATCTCAATAAGAGAGCAATTAAAAGTAGATGACACGTTTAGCTGCTTTCGTTTCTTAGAAATCACTCAGCGTTTTATTAAACATTTTTATTCCCCTTGGAATTTTTATTTCATTGTCATTTATATAAGCAATATTTCTCATAATTGAACTATTTAAAGTAATTTTTTTCACAAATTTTTCAAATGAAAATCATTTTTATGGATACTATTTTTTAATTTGTAACATTAAATTTGTTTTTATTAAATAATAATAGAGAATGAATTCTCTTCACCAATTTATTAAGCCAAAAAATATATATTTCTGTTCAGTTTTTAATTTCGAATATAGATTACTATTTATTTTCAATGCGTCAATAAAACAGATGTTTGGAATTTAAGAAAATAACTGTAGTTCTTTGGTGTTCAAATCTTAAATTCACTGAAGGAAGACGATTTTATTTTTAGAACACTGCCTAGTTATTTACAGCTCATCTAATGTACCTAACTTTTCTTTATCTATTATTCTCCTACGTAAATGACGATGAGGAATAATTTTTCTTCAATATAAACTTTAAACTCGTATAGTGGTCGTACAATGTTTCAAATTACATAATATTCAAAGCTTCTTATAAGATTTTTTTTTCCTAAAGCGATTATCTTCGAGGATTTTCCCAAAAAAAAAAATAAATTATATTATTTTTATTTGTCCACAAAACTTTTTTTTTAGAATCACTGAAATTTTCTGTTTTAAAATCAAAGGTGCTTTGAAAAAAATAATCTTGATAACCAAACTAGAAGAAAACTCGTTTTTGGAATGAATTTCATAAGGAGAAAATAAAAAGAAATAAATTTCATGATGCGGCCGTTTCATTGGAAATTTTTCCTGACCCCTGAAAGTGAACAGGTGTGGTTTCTCAGACCGCAGTGAATTGTTGAGAGAGAAAGAGAGAGAGAGAGAAAGGTTGAAAAACTTGGAATAATTTAGTTAAGAGAGAGAATGTATTAATATTTCACACATTTTCCTCGAACTCATAATGGGCAAATTTTCAATTTTTATAATTTTATCAGAAGTGGAAATATATAAATTTTATTTCAAATTTTCATAAATAAAAATCTAAAATGTAGTCAATTTTTTCTATTTCAATATTTTAATTAATCTAAATGAATTATTATTAATATGTTTAATTTCTCTTTTATTTTCAGTTGTAAAAATTTTATTTATAAACAACGAAATCTCGAATGTTGAGAATTTTTGCAAATATACTATAATTATTTAACAGTAAAAACAATTTCTAATTATTTGAAATAAATAATGAAAACTTTTGTTAAAATTGAAAAAAAATTTCTTTATCAAGAAATTATTATGGAAATTTATTTCTGGAAATCAGATTTTCTTTTTTTAATCGATTATCGATCGAATTTTCATAAAACTTTTCAAAAACTCCTTACAAGAAGAAAACATTACAATGAAACAGAAAAAGAGAGACGTTGAATTATATTGCTGACCCAAGCTATAAAATTATTTTTCCACTCTCTTTCTCTCTCTCTCTTTTTATCAATATCCAGGAACCTGAAAAATATTTCCGCGGAAAGAAAAACTCAAACATTGGGAGAAAGAGAGAAAGTGAGGGAGACAAAAATCATCAAATGATCATTTTTGATATTTAATTACAGTGAAACACAAGTTTTTGGAGTATTTTATACTCCTTCTCCCCTTTCTGATAATTCCTGTTCTAGGCATCTTCTTCATTTTTGGATTGTGAAAAATAATAATTGAAAAAAAAAATATAAAAGAGAAATTTGATTTTTGATTAAATATTGGGTGTTTTCTGATCCGCGTGAGAGGACAGTGGCATCAACCTCTCTCTCTGTCTGTCTTTCTCTCTCTGAATTTCTCGCAAAAGGAGCGATTTTCCGCGGACACGATCCTGGATGTACAATTGTGTAGGTGCGCCTGTCGTTCAAAGTGTGCGTACGCACTGTACCTACAACGAGAGAGTCAAGACTACATACAGTTTCGTTCGGTTTCTGTCTCGGGGTGGAGTCAAGGGGGAACAGTTCATCGGGCAAAAGGTGGGGATCGACCAAGAGAGAGAGAGAGAGAGAAAGATAAATAGATAGAAAGAGAGCAAGATTGATGGGAAGAGAGACAGAGAGATGAATAGAATGAGGGAAAGAGACGGTTAAAAAGGAGCGAGGGAGAACGATATATATATAGAGAGAGAGCGACAGAAGCTCATAAAAAGAGGAAACGAGAGGCACCTACTACCTAGAAAGAGAGGGAGAGAGAGACACCAAGAGAGAGTGATATATAGGATCCTGGAGTGTTGAAGAGAGATAGAAACTGGCCGGGTGGCCGGTACCAAGAGAGAGAGAAAGCAAGATAGAAAAAGGGATCGCGGAAGAGGCGAAGAGAGAGAGAGAGAAACGAAGGAGAGAGGGAGGCAAAGATGTGTAGAATGATTCGGGCCTATGGACACGCTCGCACCTCGACGGTCTGTGCCGCCGCCGCAGCCGCCTTCAACGTGAAAATTGTGTGAACGCGCCGCGCCGCCAAGGGTGGCTTTCCGGGAAGTTAAAATCATTGTGATTTTATAGTTTACTTCTCGAAGAAGAGGTTCATGTGAGGATCCTGGCGCCAATTGGCGAAGGATTCATTTTGCTATGTGAAAAGTGACGCCGCACAGTGAAGTATCGAGCGTTAGAGAGAGTGGTGACGGCCGCCACGAATTCTCGGATGCCCAAGCGGAAATCTCTTTTTCTCTCTCTCTCTCTTTCTCTCTCATTCCGCGATAATGGCGTACGCTTCGACGTCTTGTTTTTTTTTTCATTTTTATTATTTTTTTTATCAAGTGGTGGCTGGTCCGATCAGCTCAGAATCCGTGAACCTGTCGCGCATTCACCCGAATGGAGACCATCACTGAGACGAATCATCAACGACAACGACAAGATGACGGACGACCTCGCCGAAAAGTGAGATTTCTCTCCTCCCGCACATCACCTTTACCTTGTTCGAAAAAAAAAGAAATTGCATTTTTATCCATAAAAGTGAACGTTTTTTTCCCCTCTTGTTGTGCACCGACAAATCTCTCAAGGACCTAGCCATTACGTCAGGTTCGTAAAGTTAGTCTTGAAAAAAAAAAATAAATTTTTTTTCTTGTATGTATTTTTTTTTTTTCTTGTTTCCATCCGAAAAAGTGCACACCGGTATACTCTCTCAATTAAACAGAGAGAGAGAGAGAAATACTCTCGGCATTTTGTATTTCCTGCTACGATCCTTTCTTTCCGGAGTTTTGTGATTCTCTCTCTCTATATATATATAAGAAGCGCTCGGTTTTGTCGACCTTTCCTTTACGGAATTCAAGAGGTCTAACAAATCGGCGCCTCGCTTCAATTTTCTCGAAAGGTGTGTGATCGATTTTTTCCAAGCTACTCCGGTTCAAGGGTGAACTCGGAAATTATTTGTGTTCTTTATTTTAATTTAAGACAGATGATTGTCCAAGGCCTTTTGGAAAATAATAATTGCATTAAGGAAACAAGTCGATTTTATTATTTCAACAAAGCAATTTTTTTTATAGGCTTTCCTCGTTTTCAATTTAATTAATTATTGGTTTTTAGTGTCTGATTTTTCTTTACTTTGTATCTTCTTTTTGTATATTAAAAAATACATCTTTCTCTCTCTCCCTCTCTCTCTTTATCTTTTTGTAGTTTTTCATTATGATCACGTTTCACATTTAATCAAATAACAATTGATGAAATTTATATCTGTCAAAATAATTCCTTGTATATACAGAATAATGCAGTCAACGTTTCTTTACGTATTGCATTCATCAATGATGATTGTGCAATTTCATTGATTCTGTGTTAGAAAAATAATTATAGTTCAATTTTTATTTCTTTTGCTATATTGAGAGACTTGACATTGTAGTTAACTGTTTTTTTTTTATTTTCGCTATAAAACTGAACATGTAAAACATTTAATTCTCTTGAAAAATTATTTATGCGACGCCAATCTGTATTTATAGCTGTTTTCTAATATTTCAATTTGATTAGTGTATGCTGAAAGTACACTACCTCAAAACCTGTTATTGACTTTCTTTTTAAAAACGAATTAAAGTCAATTATATAACAGATTAATTTTTGAAAAATTAAATGGAATATCGAATGGAAATAATAATAAAAAGAAATCTGATTTTCAGGAAATTAATTAAACTTGGACATAATCCATTCTCAAATATAATCTATTTTTATTTTAGCTATCTAGCCATTTCTTCAGAAACGGACTCTCAGGCAAAATGAATACATTCTGAAGGGGAAGGGTTATATCGGTTATGACATATAATCATAAGCGTATAGCTTTTCCCCTTTAGCGTGAATTCGTAACTTCAGTTTCTCACCATCAACGACTGTATTTTTTGAAAAAAAAAAAATATTACTTTTATTTATATATGTAAATGTTTAGTATAGTATTTTCTTTTTATTGATTTATTTGATTTTAAAGATAATTTACTAATGTTGCAGGTTAAAGAAAGAAGAATCAATCATCATGGGTACGTTATTGATTATAGAGAAGAATATTCGATACTCTCTTAAGCCTGAGATGGAGGCGAAGAGTCGTGCAGCATAAAGACATGGACTCGTACGATCTGTTTGGAGAAGATGTCAGTGGCTCAATGCTCGATGCTCTTCCTGATCTTGGGGGGAACGATCATTTTGACCCGGCAGGTGCAAACAATTCTGTCGTAGTGTCTAGAGATGGTCCCAATCCTGGTCCCAATGGAGGTGGGAGTTACATCAGTCAATCTTATAGTTTAACTCAAGAATCTCCACTTCAAAAATTAACTTCGTTCGGTGGATCTGAATTTGGTAGTAATAATCCCTTGCAAAATCCCTCGCAACGTAGTAGTATGTTTAATCAAAATATTGGCACTTTTGACGGCGGCGCTCCACAACGAGCGATGGTGCCAGGAGCATTTCAAAATCAAGCGCGTAGCTTAGCGCCCCAACATAGAAGTCCCCATCCCGGCACTGGGGGCCAATACCCAACTTATAGTGACAGTATGTACTCAATGGAGCAACAGCATCCAATGGCCAGAGCGAATATGAGCATGGATCCTGCCATGCAAGGCTGGCCAGGAGCGGGAAACGCTTATCCACAAATGCAAAGGCATTATAACCAAATGGCACCACAACCTGGTACTTATAGACAACACATTCCTCAATATCCCCATCAGCAGGATCAAAGTGGTATTAATCAGAAGATGCAGCAGCAACAACAACAACAACAACAGCAGCAGCAGCACTTCTCCGCTCAGCAGGGAATGATCGGCAATATGGGTGTACCACATCAATCAATGCAAACCAGCGCAGCTACTGGTGTTTATCAACACATGGTTGGTCAACAGCAACAACAACAGCAACAGCAGCAACAACACTATCAGCAGAATAATCCCGCTGCCATGTATCAAGGTTCAGCTGGCTATACCGGTTTTGGTGCCACCATGCACCAACAACCTCAACAACCACAACAACAGGCGCAAAGAATGCCTCATCATCTTCCGTCCCATGCTCCACATCAAACTCATCCCTCTCATCAGCAGTATCCTCAACATGCACCTCAACATTCTGTCAATCAACAACCACCAATGGATCCTCAATATCCCCATCATTCACCACAAATGTTCAATCAACCACAACACTCCGCACCTGGACCACAATTTAATGCCAATAAACATGGCACGAGTCCTCAATATCGATCATCATTTCCCCAATTATCACCACAAATGTCGCCTCGGCCACAAATGTCGCCGAGACCACCTCCAGTTCAACAACAAATGTCACCTAGGCCAATTATGTCTCCAGCTAAACCCAATACACTTTCACCACATCCACACGTACAAATGCCACATCAACAACAAGGACAACCTGGTCCGCTGTCAGTTTCGCCTTGTCCTCCAACATCAATGCCAATGAATCCATCTGCCACATCTCAACAAACAACACTTCAAGCCCTGGAACAAATGGTTATTCCCGTAGCCGTCTCGAATCCCAACGTGCCAAGTCAGGATTACGTACAGTTCCAGTCGCGACCACCAATGTCGCATCCAACAAACATTCTACCCCAGCCACCTGCACAAAATTCAATGCCACCGGTGACTGGTCCCAGGATGCCAATGCCCCAATCTTGGCCTCATCCTCAACAAATGTCACCAATTAGGCCGAGTATAAACGTTCCCGATAATCGACAAATGATGGAGTCACAGTCGCCTTCGACCTCCGATCAAAACACCTCTCTCTATCCCGTAAATGGTAATGACAGTATTCACAATGTTGTTGAACCAACAACAACAACGGCAACACCAACAGAACCAACGAAAATCGCGCAAAGTTCAGTCGCACCCTCAGCGCCAGAGAATAACGACACACCCGATCAAACAACAAGTTCTGTTCAAAGTTCCGAAGTATTGGCTCAACAAGGCGAAAGTCCAGCACCATCATCAATAAATCCATCAATTGAGCCAACACTCAAACCAACTCATCTTGAGCCAGTCCAATCATTGCCTGTCTCAAGTACAAGTAGCAATTTAGAAAGCCAAAATGATTCACCACAATTACAACCACCGCAGCAATCACCTGCTCCAAGTGTCGAAACACCAGACACTCAAAGCAGTGAACAAACTTCCGAAGTTGTATCGCAATTACAACCCCCACAACAACAATATCCATTGGATCCATCTTCGCCCCATGTTTCGCAAACATCGCCTCAGCTACACATGGAATCTCAAATCACTCAACAGGCAATCAATAATCAACCTCAACAATCGCAACAAATCTCCCAAACACAGTCTCCAATGAGCCAGCCAATGACTCAACAAATTGGTCATTCACCGCAAAATCAACCGAGTCAGTCTCAAATATCCCAATCGCAAACCCAAGCTCCTCAAGTCAGCCAATCTCAGCCACCGATTTGCCAGACTCCGCAAATCAGTCAAAGTCCACAAAGTTCGCAATTAAATCCAAGTACCCAAATGAATCCAAATTCACAAATGAATCCAAATCCGCAAATGAATACAAATTCGCAAATAAATCCAAATCAACAAATGAATCCAAATTCGCAGATGAATACAAATCCGCAAATGAATTCAAATTCGCAAATGAATGTTCAGATCAGTCAGACTCCGCAAATAAATCAATCGCAATCACCGCAAATAAGTCAATCGCAAATTGCAACGCCAACTCAACCAATGAGTCAATCGCCTTTACCTTCGATTCCTGTTCAATCAACTCAACAACAAATGGCGCCAATGACACCGCCTCAACAAATTGGTCCATCGCCCCCTCAACCAGTATTAGGTCAATCGCCACAAATGACCCCAACGCTTGGACAATCTCAACCTCATATACCACAACAGGTGAATATGATTTCACCTAATAATTCAATTTCCCATCAAATACCAACTCAATCTCCACAGATTCCACCAAATCCATCAGTGGTTGCACCATCACAAATTCCAAATCAAGGAACACAAGGACTTATTCAACAGCAATCAACAGCGCCACCACATTCGGTTCAACCTGGTTTTGGTGAATATACAAATATTCAAAAACCAAATAGCATGTATCAAAATGATATGATAGTTGGACAACAATCATATCATAGTGGTAATGAGGTTGTTGGTAGTAGTGAAATGCCAAATGTTTATGGAATGCCACCAGGAACAACAACGACAACAACAACATCAACGCCAGTTGCAACGGCCGCTGCATTTAGTTCATGTGCACCTGTGACACATCATCAGGAACGTGCTGCACTTCAACAACAATTACAGGAACTTTATTGTATGCCATCAGCACCTGAAAATCAAGAGAAAATTGTCAATCTTCAGGAAAAATTACAAGCACTACAACAACATGAGACAAATGAACAATGCAATGGTGGACCACAATGTATACTTCAAACACCGCTGTTCACTGCCGCTGCTGTTGTTGACAGTCCCCAGGTACGTTCTAATTTTTCTCATTTTGCTTCCTGTTAAATAAAAAAAATTTCAAAGTGCATATTTCACCAAACAACAATTCAATTAAAATACGAAAATTCTGTTATTAAATAAATTAAATTTTGTCTTAAAGAAAATTCCGTCAAATAATAAATTCAGTTAAAATCAAGAAAATAAATTATTTTTTAAAACGGAAAATTATAGAAAATTTTTATTTAAAAAAAAAATTGATCAGAATAATTAAAATTTAATTTGTTTAAAAAACAAATTTTTCGAGTTTCTTTTCCCATGTTAAGAAATTCCTTTTTTTTTTTTTTATCTAATCTTTGCCGTTTGACTAATCTTTTAATGATTATCCTCCTTATCTGAATCTTGACCTGTAAATTTTATTTATTTTTTTTTTTTTCGTATAGGTTTCGAGTACAACTGGTCGGGGTCGTAGCAAAGGAACGACAAGAGCAAAGAAAAGTCGAAAGAAAGCCGATAAGGAAGCGGCAGCTCCCGTGACACCACAAACTCCACAAGCTGAACAACCATTATCTGATAATCTAGTCACTCAAGGAGACAGCAGTAATGTTGTAGACAGTGCAGCTGATTCTGAAGATATAAAACCATCATCGGGTGATATTGAAGAGGAATGGAATAAAACAAGAAAATCAAGATCGCCCCGTAAGCCACGAAAACCAAAAGAACCCAAGGAACCAAAAGAACCGAAACCGAAAAAAGAACCTAAACCACCTAAGGAGGCAAAGGCACCAAAAGAGGCGAAGGTTCGAAAGAAAAAGGAGAAGGAAGTCAAAGAGGGGAATAAGCGAAGCAAAAAGTAAGTTTTGTCTTTCTTTCTTTTTTTTTTTTTTGTGGGGAAAAATAACTATTTTTTTTTTCAAATTTCAGAAAAGCCGCAGTTCAAGCTGAATCAACCGATGATATTAATGAAGACGTAACTGCTAGTGATTCGACAGCAATTCAAGATTCCGATATAAAGTGTAGTAATTCATCGTTACAAGACGATAACGAACAAGTTGATTCATCAACAAAGGAACCATTGGTATCGGAATCAAAGGATGAAAATGATGAAAAAGTCGAATCTGGTGATGCAGCTGATGAGAAAAAAGAGGAAGATAAAGATACAGTCGCTGAAAGTGCAACACCAGCGAAGAAAAAAGTCACTAGCCGAAAACGACCATCTGGTGGAAAATCAACAGCTGGAAAATCACCAAGAAGTTCAAAGTAATTATTCGTTTTATTTGAATTGAATTTTATAATTTGACTTTGAATTTGAATTTGATTTTTTATATTTTTATTTTCTTATTTAGAAAACGAAAGAGTCGAATTGCGCCCGATTCAGATGGTGAGGAATTGGCAACAACACCACCACCATCACCGGAAGCTGGCGAAGATCTTAATAAAAGAAGATCAGCTAGAAACACACATCGAAAAAAATATGTTGACGATGTAATGCTTCGTTTCTCCGATGATGAGGTTCCATTGCAAGATGCACAATCAAATAAGAAAAATGATTCTTCAGGACAAACGAAACCAACAGCAGTTAAGAAAGATTCAATCGAAGGCGGTGAAATTGGACCCAATAAACCAAATTTTGTATATATTGTAAGTATTCCTTTTTCTTTTCATAAAATCATTTTTTTCAAGTGACATTTTTTAATTAACCATTTTTTTTTTTTTTTTTTTTCTTTTAAAAGAACACAACTGACGAGGACTCAATGGTGGTGCAACATTTTCTTGTATGTCGTATGGGTAGACGAGAAGTGAAACCAGCACCAGTAGTCGAAGTAAAGAAAGAATCAGAAGAAGATGAAAAAGAAAAAGAAAAGACTGAAGAAAAGACTGAGGATGCAAAATCATCTGAAGTTGATGATAAGGAAGCGGAAGCTGAGACAGAAAGTACTGAGAAAGAAGAAACTAAAGAGGAAACAACAGAAAAGAAAGAAACAAAAGAAGAAAAGGAAAAGGAAGAAGAGAATGAAGAGAAGGTTGAAACGACAAAGGAGGATAAAAGTGACAATGAAGAAGAAAAAGTTGAAGAGAAAAAGAAGGATGATGAAACTGTTGAGGATGATGAAACAAAAGGTAAAGAACTTGTTCCAACGACACCGAAATCATTAGACACGAGTGGTAGTGGCGATTCTAAACCACAATGGATTGAAGTTGAAGAGTATTTTGTAAAATATCGCAATTTTTCGTATCTTCATTGTGAATGGAGAACCGAGGAAGAACTCTACAAGGGTGACAAGAGAATTCAAGCTAAATTGAAGAGATTCAAGCAAAAACTTCAACAGAATACGAATATATTTGAAAATGTAAGTTTTTTTTTGTAAAATTTAGAAAAATAAGAAAATTAATGTTATTTTTCTTTCACAGACTGAAGATGATCCATTTAATCCGGACTTTGTTGAAGTAGACAGAGTATTGGACGAAGCAACACATACTGATCCAACGACAGGAGAAACAGTTAGACATTTTTTGGTAAAATGGCGTTCACTTCAATATGAGGATTCAACATGGGAACTTGAGGAGGATGTTGATCCTGAAAAAATTGCCATCTTTCATAGATTTAATAAAGTTCCACCAAAAGATCAGTGGAAGGTAGGAAAAATTAAATTTAAATTTAAAAACGAAAAAATTAATTTTAATTAATTAATCTGTGGATTTTTTTTTTGCAGCCGAAGAAAAAACCAACAGCGGCTGCTTGGGAAAAATTGGAGAAGTCTCCAATTTATAAAGGTAACAATAGTTTGAGACCCTATCAATTGGAGGGTTTAAATTGGTTACTTTTCTCATGGTACAATGGACACAATTGTATTCTTGCTGATGAAATGGGTCTTGGTAAAACAATTCAATCATTGACATTTGTTGACGCTGTCTATAAATATGGAATTCGTGGTCCATTCTTGATAATTGCTCCTTTATCAACTATTCCAAATTGGCAGAGGGAATTTGAAGGATGGACGGACATGAATGTCGTCGTTTATCACGGATCGTATGTATCTAAATTTAGCAATTTTTTTTGTTTCTAATGACCCTTGAATTTATTTTTGCATTCTAAAAACTTTGAATTGAATTTTAAAAACAAAAACAAAAATTTAAATAAAATAATTAATTTTTTCAGAGCTGCAAGTCGCACAATGCTCCAAGAATACGAAGTTTATTATAAAAATGATAAGAAACAACAAATCAAAGACTTGATAAAGTTTAATGTTCTAATAACAACATTTGAAATAATAATAACCGATTTTAATGAATTAAAAGGTTATAATTGGCGACTATGTGTTATTGATGAGGCGCATAGATTAAAAAATCGTAATTGTAAATTACTCGAAGGATTAAGACAATTGAATCTCGAGCATAGAGTACTACTCTCAGGTACACCATTACAAAATAATGTCAATGAATTATTCTCGTTGCTCAATTTTCTAGAACCAATACAATTTGCAAGTAGTGAAGCATTTCTTAAAGAATTTGGTAATTTAAGTAGTGAAGTTGAAGTACAAAAATTACAACTTCTATTAAAGCCAATGATGTTGCGTCGTTTAAAAGAAGATGTTGAAAAATCACTTGCACCAAAAGAAGAAACTGTCGTTGAGGTTGAATTAACAAATATTCAAAAGAAATATTATCGTGGTATATTGGAGAAGAATTTTTCATTTCTCGCTAAAGGTACAACATCAGCGAATATACCAAATTTAATGAATACAATGATGGAATTAAGAAAATGTTGTATACATCCATTTTTACTTAATGGTGCTGAGGATCAAATTCAATTGGATTATAAACATGAGAAAGAAGATAGTGAGGCTTATTATCAAGCATTGGTTAATAGTTCAGGAAAAATGGTGCTTATTGATAAATTATTACCAAAATTGAAGGCGAGCGGTCATAGAGTACTAATATTTAGTCAAATGGTCAAATGCTTGGATCTTTTGGAGGATTATCTCGTTTATAAAAAGTAAGTTTTGTAAATTAAATTTATTAATTTTTCTAGTTCAATTTTTTTTTTATTTATTTATTTTTTTCTTCCAGATATCCATATGAGAGGATTGATGGACGAATTCGAGGGAATTTAAGACAAGCAGCTATTGATCGTTACAGTAAACCGGATTCGGATAGATTTGTCTTTTTGCTTTGTACAAAAGCAGGAGGTTTGGGAATTAATCTCACAGCAGCTGACACTGTCATTATTTACGACAGCGATTGGAATCCACAAAATGATTTACAGGTATGTTTTCGATTTTTATTTATTAATAAATATTATATTTAAATTAAATATTTATTTAATTTTAGGCTCAGGCGCGTTGTCATCGAATTGGACAACAAAAAATGGTGAAAGTTTATCGTCTACTTTGTCGTAATACATATGAACGTGAAATGTTTGATAAAGCCTCATTGAAATTGGGATTGGATAAAGCAATTCTTCAATCAATGAATACAACGCAAGGTGGAAAGGATCCAAATAATAAGCAATTGACAAAAAAAGAAATTGAAGATCTATTAAAAAAAGGTGCATATGGAGCAATAATGGACGATGATAATGCTGGTGATAAATTTTGCGAGGAGGATATTGATATTATTTTAGAAAGACGTACACAAGTTATAACAATTGAAGCCGAGAAGGGTTCAACATTTTCAAAAGCAAGTTTTGCTTGTTCTTCAAATAGATCCGATATTAATGTTGATGATCCTGATTTTTGGAAAAAATGGGCAAAAAAAGCGGAAATTGATACAACTGAAAAGAAAGAGGAAGATGAACTTGTTATATCGGAGCCAAGACGTAGGACACAAATTAAACGCTACGGTCATGATGAATCGGTTGTTGATATGTCGGAACTTGATAGTTCTGAAGATAACAGTGACGATGAATTAGGCGGTGGTCTAACTGGTAGAGGTACGTTTTTTTTTTTTTAAACTACTTTTTCTTTTTTATTTAGGAAACTATTAATTATTCTACTTTATACAGGAAAGAAACGACGTGACAAATTTAATAAGAAAAGTCGCAAATTCTACGACGAATATGTACCACGTGAAGGTGAAGTTGTCTATGGAAGTTGGGCGCGTAGTGAATGTTTCAAAGTTGAAAGGGGACTATTAACATTTGGTTGGGGTAGATGGGATGAAATTTTACAACACAGTCAATTTCGACGTGGATGGCGTGAAATTGACGTTGAAGATTGCGCTCGCGTTATTCTTCTCTATTGTTTACGTTATTATCGTGGCGATGAGAAAATTCGTAATTTTATTTGGGATTTAATAACTCCTATTGAAAATGGTGAGAAAATTAAAACAATGCCTGCAAATTCGCCCGGAAGAAATAGTAGACAAAAGAAAAAGTCACGTGTTCGTGAGGGTCGTGAAACACGTGGTGCTATTGTCAATGGTGGACCAAGTGATCCAAATCATTGGAGTAATGCCGAGAAATATGATGGTGACATTTTCCTCGAGAGCAATTATAAAAAACACTTGAGTCGTCATGCAAATAAGTGAGTTTTTTTTTCTTTTTAATTAATTTATTTACAATAAAAATTTTACTATTTTTATGATTTTATTTTCTATTACAGAGTATTGTTACGAGTGAGAATGTTGTATTATATCAAGCACGAGATTATTGGTGATCTTGTTCAACATATTTCTGACGGCGTTCACGTAAGGTTAGTATTAGCTTCACAAAAAAAAAAAAACCAAAAGCGCTTTTATTTCCTTTCAATTTTTCCAAAAAATTGTTTCTCACCAACAAAAAAAAAGAAAAAGAATTCACGCACTTACATACGTGCTTTTCGCAGCTTCTAGTTGCATGTGCAATGTATTTGTTTATCCTGGGACTTGTACATGGAATGCTCATAGAGCTGCCCTTCTTTGTAGCTATATTTTTATATACGTAAATGATACTTTATTTCTGACCCCCCCTTCACCTGTGCTACTAATAAATAGAAAGTCAAATTCCATTCTCATTATACAAATTAAATACTTGATGGCCTGGTTTCAACATGAAAAAAAAATGGTAAGAATCGAAAGCAGTGCACTGTGTTCAGAGGGCATTCATCTGATTAAACCCTTGAATTTTGACGATATTGACTCTAACATTTTTTTTCACATTTCGAGAATTCTATTTGATTTTTTTTCTTTTTCTTTCAATAAATTTTTTTTTTTTTTCTATTTTTTCATTACTTTTCTAATAAACCTTTTTTTCTTCTTTGTTTTTCTTTTTTTCTATCGATTAAGTAGCAAAATAAGATTTGATATCGCCAAAAAATTTGTTGTCAAAATTATAAAGAAAAAAAAAAAATTATTGAGTTTATTATGAACTCTCTTAATTGGCTTATTATTATCGTAAAAAAAAAAAAAATTTGGCAAATTGTAAATGAAAACCGCCTCACAGTGCGTTGCGGATGAATACTCCACAATTGGCAGACCGACCAACCAAATGGTGGGATTCAACGGCAGACAAATCATTAATCGTAGGATGCTACAAACATGGCTATGAGAGTTACGACCAGATGAGGGCCGATCCTACGCTTTCTTTCATTTCAAGCTGTCCTCTCCCCTCCCCAAGACAGACAACTCAAAATAAGTAAGTACAAAAATTCTTCTCACGATTTTTTTTTTTTAATTTACATATGCTCTCTTGTCCCTTTGATCTCAACACTAATTGCATGTCAATATTTATAACCGCTATTTATGTATTTTTGCTGCTATTGTGTCAAAAAAAAAAAAAAAAAAAAAACATAGCCAGCAAAAATAAAAATGCTTTGCATCAATGTTTACACTGATCACGCTCTAATTTTGCTTTTTTTAATTGTAAGGACATTTTTAGATTTAGACCTAATTTTCGAAAGAAAAAAATTTATAATTTAATCTTATCAAAGAAGAAGAAAAAGTAGTAGTAGTACTTAATGGTAATATCAATAGTTTGTCTACAACAGATAAAAAAAAAAGTCTTATCTTTCTTAAAAAATTGAAAAAAAAGATAAAAGTTTTTGTTTATGGGATTATGGAAATAAAAATGCTTTTTTTCAAAATCAGAGAGGAAAGCAGTTTAGAAACAGAAATTGAAGAAGGTGAATCTTCCGGTATAATTAAGGATAGTAAAGATTTGGATAAATTTGGAAGAGTTACACCAGCTGATTCTCCAGCTATTTCAAGCAAGGCTGATACACCAATTCCAGAAGCTGGAAGTAGTCATGATACTAATGAAGCAACTCTTATGGAAGATGAAAAAAATTGGCCATCAGTTGTCGATCTCAATACACGTTTACGTCGTGTTATCACTTCTTATCAACGAAATGTTAAAAAAGAAGACGTAAAAACGTTTCCTAAGGGAAAAGTTGGCGAAACAGGAGGGGGAGGAGAGACGAGCAATCATCAAGGAACGATGATTGAACCTCCTTTAAATATGCAAGGATGGGATTTACAACAACTTGCCATGTATTTATTGGTAAGTATTCAAAATTATTTTCTTCACATAAACAAAATGGGAAATTCAATTTTTATTCTTTTGTAGAAAATGGAAAGGAGAGAAAAAATGGAAGCTATGGTGAAGGAAAGAGAACGAACACGTATTGAGGAGCAAAAAGCTAAGTGGACCCGCCGTGAAGAAAGTGAATTTTTACGTGTTATTTCTACATACGGTGTAAATTATGATCGAAAAAAGGCTCAGTACGATTGGACAAAATTCAAAAGTATTGCTAGATTTGACAAAAAGACGGACAATGATCTCACTGACTATTACATGTCTTTTAGAGCAATGTGCAAAAAAGTTTGCAGCTCAAAGACCAACGATGATGAAGGTACATTTTTATTTTATTACATTCTCCAAACAATTTAATTTTTACATAAAGGAAATTTTCAAAAAAAAAATACCTTTTTTTTTCCTTTACAGATACAACAGAAGGATCAGTGGAGTATTTAAGTCCCAGTAAGGCGCGACAAATTTTAGATCGTGTTGATCTTTTGAGTAAAATTCGCGAAGATATTTTATCACATCCACATTTGGAGGAACGACTTTTACTTTGTCAACCATCGGCCGATACACCTGAATGGTGGCATGTGGGCAAACATGATAAAGAACTTCTTCTTGGAGCAGCAAAACATGGATTGGGTCGAACTGACATAACAATATTGAACGATCCTGATTTTTCATTTCATAAAATTCTTGGCAAAAGTATTTACAACAGTGTTCAGGCAGCAAAAAATCTTGAAAAAGTCGAAAAGGCAATTAAATTAGAAAATAGAGACGATATTCTCAAATTTGACAAAGATGAAATTCTCGTTAAATTAGAAAAAGGTGAAGGTACATTAAAAATTGAAAAAGTTGGCATTAAGAAGGATAAAGATACACAGGCAACAGAAAAGAAACCCGAAGTTTTAAATAGTGATAAAGGACAAGTTGAAATGACTCTCGTTAAATCGGAAACATTCGCCGAGAGTAAATTAGAAAACATTGCTGCTAATAACGGTTTGACTATCACTACTGTAAAGGCAAAATCACCCGAGAAGGAAATTTCAAAAGATGAGAAATCTGAAATTGAAAAAACAGTTACAGAACCCGTTAAAGAAGAAGATGAAGAGCAAAAAGAAAAACCTTCTGAAGAAATGGAAGTTTCTCCACCAATCGATAAGGAAAATCAAGAAGAAAGTGAGAAAAAGTCTAAAGATGAAGATGTTGAGAAAACACCCGAGGTTGCTGAAAAACTGGAAACTAAAGAAGAAGAAGAAACAATCACTGAAAAAGAAGAGAATAAAAGCGAAACAAATGATGAAAAAGAAAAGAAAGAAAATGAACAGGAAGTTGAAAAATCCTCTGTAGTTGATATGGAAATCTCCAAAGATGAAGCGACAGAAAAGGAGAAAGAGAATGAGGAAGAGAAAGAGAAAGAAGAAGTGAAAGAACAGGAGGAAATAACAGAAGAAAAGATAAAACTCGAAACATCCGAAGAGACCCAAAAAGAGAAATCCGAAGAAGTTACAAAGAAAACTGAAGAAGAAGAAAAAGGAAAAGAAGGAAAACCCGAGGAAGAAAAAACAGAAGAAAGAAAAGTAGAAGAAGAAGAAGTAAAGGAAGAAGAAACAAAAACCGAAGAGCAAAAAGAAGTTGAACCCTCCAAGGACCCAAAAGTCGAAGACAAATGCAGCGTTCAAGCAGCCGAATTAAAGGCAATGTTCCCCGATTTAGAAGTAATACAACCACTCTCAAGATTAACGCAAATTGACACATTTGTTCTTCGCGACAAAGCAATTGATTACAATGAACCAACAGTTGCTCAACTATTAGCTCACAGTTATCAATCGTCAATAAAATGGCCCAAGGAGCATGCAATCGAAGCACGTTTACGTCACATTGTACATGCCGTCGATCAAAAAGAATGGCCAGTCACTGTCAATTACACTGCCGGCGATGAAAATGAACCAACTGCCAATGAGAAAATTGATTCCGATGTTATAACAATAACCACCGATCATGGAATATCAAGATCGCTTGCTGCCGTTAATAATATTGCAGCAGCAGCAGCGGCGGCTAAAAAACGTAAACGACACATTGCCATTGACGTGGAAACAGAACGTGCCAAATTACATGCACTTTTAAATAGCAGTCATATGACATCACAACCACCTGTACCACTCACAAAGCCACCAATTCTTTCCGCTCAAAATTGGGAAACAAACGATGAATCACAATCGGAAGAATCGCGTCGATCAACACCCGTTCAACCACCACCGGCTCATCAACAAACAAGAACTCCCGCCATACCATTTGATTTGAAATACACCCTCCCTGGGAAAACAACAGTCATTCCCGGTACTTCGAGTACTCTAACTCCAATTGATCTTTCCGCTGGGTAAATAAAATTAAATTATAAATAAATATAACTAGTTAATAATAATTGTAAATAATTAAATACCTTTTTTTTTAGCTATCCTAAACCAACAACGGAAACAAGTAAAGATATGATGAACGAAGTTCAGGACTTTTCGATGCCAAACAAAGTCAAACAGATCAGTAGCAATAAGGGCAAATTGGACAGTATGTTAGACAAATTAATGAAACGAAAGAATTGCGTAAGTTATTTTAATTTTTATTTTCTTAACGAATTTGCAATATTTTAAAAATTTTATTTTTCCATCCTTATAGCCAACTGATGAGCCAATTGTTGGTAAGGAGAAGAAACGAAGAAAATTGGATGAAATAGTTTTAGGCTTAAGCGCAGCGAAGGAACAACAAAGTACTCATTATCCGGAACATGGAAAGAAAAGTACAATAACACCAAATGTCACAGTTACACCAACATCGGCACCAATTGGTCTTCCCAATCCACCAACGCCTCTATCACAAAAACCATTTTCCATTACTGTGACATCAATTCCATCATCGCGTGCATCATCATCAACATCAAATGTACCACCACCTGCGATACATTCTCACAAGGATAATTTCTCTGCTCTTTTTGCACAAGCTGAACAACAAAATCGTGAACTTGCTAAAAAACATCAACATCAACAACAACAGCAGCAACAACAACAACATGCTTATAATTCCGTTCACGCCTCACCATCATCATCTTCATCGTCGAGTCATCGGAAAAATTACGAAGCAATGATTGCCGATATTCACAAAGTCGCTGAATATTCATCTAAAGTTGGTTCCTATTCACATGAGGCAAAAGTCAATAAATGGCTCGCTGAACAAACAGCAATGTCGGAACAATTAAATGCTGAATATTTAAATGCACCGCGACGACGAAGACCGCGCGTTGATCCATCGGCATTAAATTGGAAAAATTTAACAGGAGAGGAAAATGTCGCAGTCATCAATCGATTAACTGGAAAAAAGGTATTTTTCTTTTTCATATAAATATTATTTAATTTAATAGGCCTCCGACTTTTTTTTGCTCCTTACAGTCGATCTAATTCAATAATAGCAACTGAAACAAAAAAATTAATTTTGCAGGTAACAGGAAGTAAAGCTCCGCAATTAAAACGTTTAGGCCAGTGGTTAATGGAGAATCCAATGTTTGATGTTGATCCAAAATGGGCTGAGCTTGTTAAAGAACGTGGTAATCTTCCTCATGATCTTCAAAAACGTTTACCAGGTTCAGAGAGAAATGGTGGCAACAAAGGAAAAAGTCCAGGACGACCACCAATGATGCCAAGTCCAACTGGACAACAATCAATGAATCCTGCAAATTTAGCCGCAACATCAATGGCATCGAGTCTCAATTTTCCATCATTGTCAAATATCAATAGTTCAATTCTCTCGGGTCTCTCGCTTGGTAATTTTGATCCTAAGAATAATCCACTATTGATTCCATTCGGTGGTTTACCAAATCTTGGTGCACTCGGCGGATTAGGAAATCTAGGCAGTTTGAGTAATATGAGTTTGACGAATTCCCTATTTGCAAATCTTGCCGGTCTTGGTTTACCATCACTCGCCGGTATGGAAGCAGCGTTAGGTGCAACTGCAACCAGCACTGCTGATACAAATGTCGTTACATCGGCAAGTAGTCAAAAATTATCAACAAGTACAAGTAGTTCAAGTAAATCACGTACTAAAATGGAACCACCGACTAGTAAATCATCAGCACCATCGACATCAACATCATCGACACTACCAACAACAGCGCCATTTCCCTTCTTTTTCACAAATCCCAGCCTTTTATATACACCACTTGGTCTCGGTGGTTTAGGTCCCGGTGGTCTTGGTCCATTTTCCATGCAACCAGGTAGTGTTTCATCAACCTATGAAAGTCTCGCACAATGCGGTTTGCTCAATACACCAACATCGAGTGCCTCAACATCATCGTCAACGCGTAAATCAACATCTGCTTCATCGAGTTCAAGACGCGATATCGAACAAATAAAACGCAAGGAACCCGAAAAGAAACCACGTTATCCAACCGATGGCACGAGTTTACAACAATTTGTCGAAAATGCCCAACAGGAAGAGCGTAAACGTATAGAGGCACAAGAAAAACGTGAAGCAATCGAATTAGCTGAAATTGCCGATCTTTCAGCGCGCATTGAACGTAAAACAAAAGAACAAGAAATGAAAGAGGCCCTCGAACAATTGAGTCGAACAAGCGCTGAATTATTGACACGTAATTTAGATGAACGTCCATCGTCAAAGAGAGCTCGTGATGCACCTCTCTTGGAACAACCACAAATTCCCTCTTCATTACAAGTGACACTCGAACCAGTTGGTAAAAAAATGAAAACAGAAACAAAAGTTGAAATCAAAGTCACCGAACCAAAAAGTGTGGAAAAAAGTGTCGAGGCAAAAATTGATTTAAAACCAGAAGAAAAGGAAGAAATTGAAAAAAGTGTTTCGCCACCACCACCATCTGCACCGATTATAGAACCACCAACAATTGCAACAACTGTTGATCAAAAACCCGAGGATGATATTCCACCTCCTCCTTCTACTCCTCTTCCACTTCCTCAAGAAGAGATTAAAGAAAGTCCCCCTCCAAAGAGTTCGACTTCTTCAGTAAAAGAAGATTCCGATCAACAATCGGAAACAGTAACTCCAAAAACTCCAGTAACTGAAAAAAGCGCTCAAGATGAAGAAGAGACAAAATGTCCAAAAACAAAAAAATCCCGCGGTGGTAAACGATTAAATATTGAACCACCGCCTGAGAGAAAAAATTTACGTTCAAGTGCTGGTCGACAAGCAAGAGCCGCTGCTGAACGACAAGCACGCATGGAAGGTGAACAACAACAACAAGCTGAACATCCAGAAACTCATAGTTCGGTTGAGTGAGGACACGAGTTTTCGAAAATAACAAAAATAGTGACAAAAAATAGTGATGATTATAAAAACGCGAGTGCACAACGTAAAACAATTGTTCCGCCCAAAAAAAAAACTACTAGAAAAGTTATTGATAAAGTGACGTGTCGACGTTCGACCCGATCATCGAGAAAATAAGAGAAGAACTCTAGAAAAAAAAAAAAAAAATGAAAACTTAATTCTTAATAGTGAAATTAGTGCACACACATTGCAGGAACGAATCTACAATTTTTCGATAGAATTAAGAGTAAATGAAAAATAAACGTGATAAGTCATGCAACGTAAAGTAATAAAATACGATATATATCGTATTTGCATGATGATGATCTTAATTACATTAACGTAATTTTTTTTCTTTTTTTTTTTTTTTGTTAAACTATCTCTTCATTTTTCCAACGCATTTGATTTCGATCAAGGACTGTTTTATATAACTGCGCTATTATTATTATAATAATATTAACAATTATATATATAAATATTATAAATATATCGCATAATACATGTAATAGTGCGAAAAACGTATAATTAACTTAAATAAACGAAAGTGTAAATATTTTACGATCCGCCTAGATTTAATTAAGTAAACAGACAAAAAAAGAAAGCAGAAAAAAAAATTGTGTACTTGGAAAAAGTGTATATAATGCAGTGTACTTTTAATTATTATTATTATTATTATTCTTATTAGGTAAAAATAATAAACGGCTTCTTTTGTTGTTTGCAAGTGATTTTCGTTACTATTTTTCTGTTTAAAAGCTTGAGTTCTTTTTTTTTTTTTACTATGTTCGGGGAGAAAAAAAAATTATTCAAGTATGTGACGAAAACAAAGGCTGCTTGGGAGTGAAAAATTTTTCTTTGATAAATTTTACAATATTCCTTTCAATCAGTCCAATAAATAATTGTATTTAATTTCGATCAATTTCAATTTAAGATTATATTATAATTGACAGATCAATTTTTAGTTTACCCCCATCAAAAAAAAAATTATATTTAAATCGATTTTATTTTTCTTATTTGCGAAAAAAAAAGAAATGACAAAAAGACAAGATTTTTTTTCCTCGAGCAGCTTTGTCAAATCAAAAAAATTAAAAATAAAAAAAAAATAATGGAGAAAAAAGAATATTTCTCTTTGAAAGATTTGAAATTTTTGCTGTAACTTTTCAGAACCTTTCAAAAAAAAAAAAAAAAATGTATTATTGTGTCAATTTTACATGTACGCTTCTGTTTACAAAAAAAAAAGAAATTTCAATGATGCGCTTGGCTGTGTTTTGAATTTCATCATTTTCGATTCAATATTTAAAAAAAAAAAAAAAAAATATTATATAAAAGTTTTCGGTTGTGATTTAAGTCTGTTTTTATTGTCAATAAATATCGATGAAAAAGAATGAAAAGAAAAAAAGGAAAAAAAAAATTGTAATTAATTTTTAGACAATTCAAACTGAAAATAACGAAATGCAATAGGTGTAATTAAAAAGTGACGAAAATGTAACTTTCTGAAATTTGTAGTGTTCTGAAAAACGTGAATTTCTTAAAAATAAAAATAATTACAAGTTCCATTAATTGTATTTTCATTTTTTCGATTTGTATTATACAATACAAATTCCGAAAATATTAAAATTCTCTTTGTATTTTTTTTAGAAATTCAATTGTTTATTGTCAAAACAAATATCAATTATTAAAATTGATAATTTAGATGAAAGAAATAATTTCTATAATTAAAATATAGATAAAAAAATATATCTTTTAAAATTCTTTTTAGGCATCTGTAGGCTCATCGATTAAACGGAGATAATTTTTACGAGACGGCAATTCCATTGTATTTATTTTTGATGTAAAAAGTTTTTTAGCTTCTTCGTCGGGAATATTTGGTTGTATCATAACAGGATCTCCTTTCTAAAGCAAAAATTTAATTAATTACCTTCTAAATATGATTTTTTTTTTTTTAGAAAATTAATTCAAATTACCTTCCAATCCACAGGTGTTGCCACCTTGTATTTATCAGTTAATTTAAGCGATTCCAAAACACGGATAATTTCACTAAAAAATTAGTAATTAAAATGAATAATTAAATTAATTTAATGATTAATTTATTTTTAGGAATGAAATTCGTACTCAAAATTTCGTCCCGTTGTTGCTGGATATAAAATTGACAAACGCATTTTTTTATTTTCATCAATAATAAAGACAGAACGAGCCGATACAGGAACTCCTGCACTATCAAGTTCCTGAGGATCTAACATTCCAAGCATTATACAAAGTTTACGAGATTCATCTTCAATTATCGGGTAAGGAAAATCAGATGATTGTATTCCTCCATAAGCTTTAATATCCTACAAAAATTTTATGTAAATTCATATAAATTGCAAATATTTAACACATTTGGAAAAAAAAAGATTATTAATAATAACCTCAATCCATTTTTTGTGAGAATCAACCGAATTGCAAGACAATGCAATAACTTTAACACCCAATCTTCCAAATTCAGGCATTAATTTTACAACTCTTGCCAATTCAGTGGTACAAACTGGTGTAAAATCATGTGGATGAGAAAATAAAATACCCCATCTTGAATAATATAAAATATATATTAAAAGTTGATAGATTAATATTAAAAAAATACATATATAATAGGTTATAAAATCATTACTCACGAATTGCCCAACCATTCGTGAAATTTTATAGTTCCAACACTCGTGTTGGCTTCAAAATCAGGAAACGTTTCACCTAATTTAATCATATTGTCCTTTAATTAAAAACACGGTAAAATTTTTTAATTTAGAAAATTAAAAAAAAACGTTTATTATTCCTGTATATACCGGCAATAATCAACACTTCCGTTTCCGTGACAACGTCGCCATCTTGAGCGGAAACAACCGACGCCATCTAGCGATTAATTCTATTTGAAATTTAATGCAAACAAAATCTCATATTTCTCGCGTTTATATTATTCATTTTTTATATTTTACATGTTTTCTGTTACGTAAATTATCAATTTTTTTCTTTACATTGATAAATCAATGATAATAGCGAATACAAATTTTATAAGAAATTAATATAAGAGGAAATATTATTCGCGCCATTTTTTGAATTTTGCGAAGCACTTCCCCTCTAAACGTTTCTACGGACAACTTCAGTTTGAAACGAAATTTTGCAACAATCGGATCGCGCTCTCGACTTTTGACAGTTTTTATTATATTTTTATTAGATTTTTATGGTGTTTTATGGTGAATTACAATTTTTAACAGCTATTTTATGTTATTTAGGAAAAATGTACGTAAACGATTGATAATTTATTGCAAAATTTGTGTTTGATTAAATGTGACGAGTATTTTAGAACGATCTAAATTTGTGAATTTTTAGTTTATCAATTTTCACTTTTTGTTTAATTATTTTTTGTTTCTCGTGTTGCGTATATTATGATAGCTCTTAATTATATTCAAATCAAGTGTAATTATGCATAAAATGAGAAAAATTTAATAAAATCATAACCTCATTTTCGCGGTAAATTATATTAGATTCTACGGGGTCCACACAAGTAGCTTAAAAGCTCTTGCAAAAATTTTCAAATTCCATTATTGAATACAATTTTTTTCTCATTGCTATAGTGATTTTTATTAAATAAATAAGCTAAATTAAACAGTTTTGGTGAGTAAATTTTTTTTAAATTCAATGTTTATTTATTTAGAAATAATAATAATAATTTCAATATTTAAATCTACATAATTTTTATTTGTTTTACTTTCTAGTAAATTAATTTAAAATTTCAATTTATTAAGATTTAAAATATTTTTCTAAATTTCTAATAATTTAATATTTTTGTTTTAATAAAAATTCTTTATAAAAATTAAAAGTAATTTAAAATTTTATATTTGAATTTCGCACCGGTGTGAAGATAGCATCTGCGAGATGCTTCGATATATGCGTAACAATCGATTATCGAAAAAATTGTCGATGGCCGCCGTTTTTTTTGCTGTGTTTCGGCTGGTTGCTTTCGTTGCTTTTGATTGATGTTAATTGATGTACATATTAGTTAGATATACGTTACAAAGTGTGTCCGTCGGTTTATCGTATGAATCGTCGTCGACGGCCTAGTGCTCGATAAAATGCCTAACAGGCAAAAAAAAGACAAGGTGCGTGCCATATGATAGTGAGGGGGGCAAAAAAAAAAAAAATCTCCTGTGTCTACTTTATTCTGTCCGTTAATACTCTTTGGTATCGAAAAAAAAAAATGCTTGCGGTGTTTTTTTTCTCCAACAAGTGAAAATGGTATAGATGACGGCCAACAGGGAAATAGGGAAATTTAATCCCCCTGATCGCCGATGTCCAGCCATAGAAAAAAAAACAAAGTCAGAAATTCTAAGCTTTGTATATTATAACCACAAAACGTGTGTTTCGTGATCAACCGTGACCTCGCGAATTCAACCAAAGCGACCGACACGAATCACCCGTTACTCTTAAACGTAACCCCTTTCTTGAAGCGCGTGAATAAATTATAATGGTACTCTATTCCTATACCCTACTTTTTTCTTCTAAAATCTCATTCTCTTTTTTTTCTTTTTCATTTTTCACTCTGCCGTCATTATAATCGTCGATTTGCGATTGTCTATGTCAACAATTGTTATAATAATATTCAGTGTGTATGGTTTTGTTCCAGGAACCGGCCAAGAGCAGTAAGGACAAGGGAAAAAATGGCAAGGACAGTGAACCGGGTGATGAGGTGAGGTTATAATTTCTAACTTGTCAGTTACACGCCTGACACTATATATTCAACTTTCCACTTTTTTGATTATAGGAATTTATTTCAGGTTTTTCTTATTTTACTTTTAATTATTCTTTTTTTAAATAACGAGAAAAAAAATATATGTTTGACAAAATTATAATGGCTTTTATTACATGATTCTTGTGAATTTTGCCAATTTTACAACCATTGTTTCAATTTGACAATTTAAAAATTTTCCTAACCTCAAATTTAGACATTTTTTCGTGTATATTTAAAACTCTTTAAATGTTGATAATTTTAAAAATTGATTTACGAATCTAAATTAAATTTTTAATTTGAGAATATAATTTTTTTTTTGAAGAATTTTTGCTTCTTAGGAAAAATCTCTTGACAGGGATAGTGCATTAATTATCTAATATATATGAAAACAAATTGCAAACAATTGGTTTTTTTTTCAATTTAATATAATATCTATATATATAAATGAGAGAGAGAGATGGAGCTTGCATTTTCCTTTGTCTTTTGTTATATATCGCGACAATATACATAAAGCGTTTGCACATACTATGATGAAAACAAAAGACTCACAGAAGGAATACGTTAACACAAGAGAGCAAATTGTACCTGCTGCATAAGAAATAATGTTTGTCGTGTGCTTTTATACTCGCGCCTGTATATATTTCACACTAAAATACCTACATTTTTCAACCATTAAGTATGAGCACGTGGAGAGTTATTACGATAGAGATAAAGAGATTCAGACTTTTTTTTTTAAGTACAAATGTTCATTCGTAACAAAAACTTTAATGGGCACACTAATGTCAATGAAGTTTCAAAACTAAAAAAATATCTCTAATTATTGTGTTTAGCTTGAAATTATTTTTTACAAAATTTATTCTTTTTTAATTTGTTGTCTTTAGAAATCAAATTATTTGCTAAAAATACTTAATTGAAAAATATTTTATTCATTTATTTTTTCAATTATTTGTTTATTAAGAAAAATTAAATATAAAAATATTTGTCAAATTTATTTCATCTTTTTGTTATATTGGATCTTCATTTAAATTTGTAATATTTGCAGGTTATTGACAATATTGTCGGAAAAAATAGTTTTTTTTTATTACAAATTTTGAAAACTGGAAATAATTCGATAAAAAAAAAATTTCAATGAAAATTTGGCAAATAATTTTATATTCCATCCTTAGTGCATTAAAAAAATTTTAAAAAGAAAATTAGAATTTTCCTCTATTTACTTTCGTTTAAAAGGCTATTGATCACGAAAGTTTTGGAATCATGCCAAACTTGAGGATTGCCACGTGCGTGACAATTGTAAATAGTCGCTCAGTAATTTCAAATATTATTTTTAATGTCCTTTAGCAAAAAAAAAGAAAAAAACCAACTCATCTGAAAGGAAATGGCAAATTGATAGCTATTGAGATTGCTCAAGTAAAAAAAAAAGTTACTTCTAATCGTTAGCCAAAAGTTATGTAATTTTTATAAACTATGTTAAATCATATACATTCTCTCTCTCTCTCTCTTTGATAACCTTGTGATTGTTCATCATATGACAGTCCACTATTTTTTTTTCTTTTTTAAATAAACATTCATAAAAAAAAAAATATTCGAATATTCTCTAAATATATTTTCTTTATGATGTTTTTTCTGTCGCAAAAAAAAGAAACACTTTCAGTCACCTACTTTTTAAAAATATTTTTATAGAACTAAGAAACTTCAAATTCGCAAAAAAAAAATACGAAATTCTCTCGACATTGGAAAAAAAAGACACGTTGAATTATAAGTAGTAATTAAAAATAATTTTTGAGTATAAAAAGTAACACGAAGAATTTTGTAATAAAATTTCATTATTTTCAGAATTTGGAGAATATTAAAAAAAAAACAGAAATACAAAAATTTGATTTCCAATTTTTCTGTTTTAAAATCTTGTGAAATTTGAGAAATTTGTTTATTGCTTTTTTTGTGAACTTGAGCCTTATCTGAAGATTATTTTTCATTATTAACGATTTATCCTGAGAGAGAAACCTGTTGGTATATACTTGTAACTTCCTGGATAAGCCAAGGACCCATGTCAATGCAAATAATAATTTAAGAGCGTCAGAAAATGCGCATCTTCGTTTATATTCTTTTATGACCTACTGTCATGAACGGTTACATAACTGTTGGAATTATTACTGATCACGTAGAAAATACTGATACAAAAAGGATGTAATTGTCAAGTGGTCAAGTGTATATTTCACTCTCCAGGTGACAAAATGATTGATTCCTTTTGCATTACATTAATCCTGGCATAATATTTATTTTTTATACGAAGATAAAATTTATAAAAACAAAATATATAGAGACAGAAAATTGATTATTTAAAAAAAAAATTAAATTAATTATTGTTTAAACAATATATTACAAAAAATTTTCCAATTAAATTAAAAAAAATATTTTATTATTTAATTTAATTTTTTTTAAAAATTAATTAATTGAAAATATGATTTATTTTGAAACAATTAAAAAAATAATTAAGTAATTTGATTTTAATTATTAATTTTTTAAAATTATGTTTTTACATTTATTATTAAATTATTTTTTATAATAGATCACGAATTTTGGAGCAATCATTTTTCGAGACCAATTCGATTCTATTATTTGAAAATTGTTAATTATTTTTCAATATTTAATAAAATAAATAATAATTTAATAAAAAAAATTATGCCATATATTAAGAAAAAAAGAAATTGTTTTTGGAAAAATAACGAAGAGAGAAAGTAAAAAAAAACTTCCAAAAAAAGGGAGAAATATTTTTATTTTTAAAATATTAACAATAACAACAAAATTACTGCGAAGTAGCAACATATCCCTGAGCTGATTTGTTTATAACGTCGTAATTAATATGTGGGTGGATGAGGAGACAGGGAGGAGGAAAACGAGGGTAGGAGGAATTGTTGGAGTTCGTCAAGGAAGTGGGGAAGGGGGCAATGTGAGAACAGGTTGAAGAAACCTAACTCTCCTCGAGGAACGCAGTCTCAGTTTTCGTGGGTGCCACGCACATCACTATTTTATATTTAAAAAATATAAATATATCGTAACAAATTTCCTCCCCCCCCTCGTATCAAAATCGTTAAACAGATAAAAAAAAAAATAATTTCTTTTTTTTTTGCCTGTTAATTCAAAAATTTTATTCATTGTGAGTTTTGCTAAAAAAAAAAGTGAGCGCGTGTTTTTTTTTTGCCTCTTTAAAAAAGCGTGTTGTGCGTGCGTGATTTTGTAATGTATGCCAATTAATCGGCTTTTATGTAATCGACAATAACCTTCTGAACCTTATAAAACACGTGGAGTTTGTGATTAAAATTTATAAATAACAAACATGCTTTTGAAGACTGGAAGTTGCGATCAAAAAAAAATCTTTCCTTTGAAAATCAATTTTTGTTGGTGAAAAAAAAAAATCACATGATTTAGAAAATTATATATATTTATGCTTTGAAATGAAAAAAAAAAATAATTAAGGGTCATTTAGAAAGAAATTGAAGTACAAATTGGAAAAAGAGGATTGAAGTTAAAAATAGTTGGTGATAAGACTTGTGAGTGGACATTTCATTGACTGATAAGGGATAATATACTTTGTCCATATATTTGTGTAGTGGAAAAAAATAAATTAAAAAAAAAAAAAAATTGTTCCACTTTTGTCCAATATTGAATTTTCCAGTAGTAATCTTATCGAACTTGGATTTTATTTATAAATTTCTCTCGTGTAAAATTAAAATATTGTTTAGTAGGTCAGCATGCACTTTATTGATACAAGATTTATCGAATAACGTTTTCATAAAGATATCGATTAAAAAAAAAGCTGTATCAAGATTTATTTCTTAGTCAGCATTTTTATATTTATATTCGTTATTACAATTTATAAATTTTTTTTTCAAATCGAATATTTTTACAGACTGAAATTGAAATAAATTGAATTATTCACCTCATGATAATAATTATAATATGTTTTTTTTTTTTTATTAGCGCCTCTAGTTATTAACAATAATTAAGACCTTGTTTGCATTCATTCTACGCGAAGATGTATATATAATAAAATTTCTAAATATAACATTTTATAGGTGGAACTTTGTTTTGTTAAAAAAAAAAATTCTACTTTATTTTTTATTGAACATTTTTTTATTTTATATAATTACTTTTTTTTTGTTAGCTGAAGAACAAATTAAAACCAACAAAAATTGTATTGAATTTTAATTAAAAATAATAATAATAATAAGTAAATAATTTAGTAAAATTAAATTAGAGAAAGAAAAAAATTGAAGAAAAAAATTGTGAAAGTTTTTTCAGTGTAAAAATTCTCTTTTACAATTATATTTTTGCATTTTGTAGTTTTGGCCGCAATTTCCGTCTTCTTCTTCTTCGTGTGTCTCATCTAAATTAAGAGATCAAACAAGTATGTCGTATAGTTTATAGTCGCCAAAAATCATGTCGCAAGTGTAAACTATGTGCGAGATTTGATTCGCGTATCACGAGTCGAATCGAGGTGTTCATTTTATTTTTATTATTACTTAATGACGCTCTCGTTGAGAAACGACCTTGTCGGATAACTGCGGGATGAAAGTGTATAGTTGACTTGAAAAGTAATTATACTCAATTTCGATTTCCTCGATCGATTAATTTTGCTCGATGGGAAATACAAAAAAGAGTTCTCATTAACTTTAAAAACAAATTGTTTCCGGAAAAAAAATTTTTGATTTTTTTTTTATTTTCTATGAAAAAGAAAAGCAGCGAATGGAAGTGATCAATGGATATTTTCCCCCAACAAAAAGAAATTTTCTTAATTATTATTCATCACGAAAAAGGGAAACGAAGCAATGCTAATAATCAAAGCGGAAGTTTTCGATGATAGTGACGAAAATAACGAGTTTAACATTAGAAAAAGAAAAAAAATTAAGACGTGAAAGTTATTATAACGTTGAGTGTTTATTTCCGAGTGTGTTGCACTTTATCATCAAACAGGTGTCATTGTCATTGAGTGCAAGTGAAAATAATAATACTAAAATATGCAGATGAGAGGAAATCTCATTCATTGTAAAGAAAGCTGTGAGTTTTCAGTAAAATAAAAAAAAAAAAAGATCAAACGGATAAAGGAGAAGTCTCCTTTTTTTTGGGCAACTGGAATGCAGAATAAGATGCAAAACTTTGCAAACGTGTTCAAGAAGAAGGCAGGTGACGCATTTATACAATTCCGCAAAAAATTTTTTTTACGTGGGATGAAAATCAATTTCATTGTTTTTGAATTCTCGAATTTGAAAACAAGTTTATTTATTTTGGAGATAAAAAAATTTGTTTGTATTTTATTTATTGGAGATTATTTTACAAAGCAAAATAAAAAAGTTCGAAAAAAACCAAAAGTTTTATTTTCAAATTTATCTGAAGAGCAGGTGCAAAAAAAAAAAAATAATAAAATTACTCTTTTTTTTCACTAGTCGACGAAAGAAAAGAAAATTTACAACCACTATAAAAACACAAAATTGGAAAAGAACTTCTAACTAAACTGTTTACTCAATAAGATATGTTCTCATAATGCAAAAAGACGTGAGATAAAATTTATTATGCAGATTTACGATGTGCATTTAGTTTGCAAAATACTTAACAAGACAAATAATAATAAACAAGTGTGTCTAATGTAATTTAAATTCTTGGCTTTATTATTTTTATTATTATTATTGTTAATCAAATAATTTTCTAACTTGACAACTTTATTGAACCCATTTGAATTTGATCCAAAAACAAAAACTTATTGCCGGGTATTTTGAATAATTTTTGAGATTTAATAGAAATAAAAAGATAGAACAAAAAATAAATGTTTTTTTTTTTAAATTATATTTTGTACATATTTGAGATTTTATTTTCAATTCAAGTGACTCATAATTTTCTTTCTTTTTAAAGGCGAACAAAGCATCGAGTGGACCACCATCAGTCAGTGCTCCTCCACCTCCAACACTCATAAATAAAATCAAGTATCAACCTGGAGTGCCAGTTATCAAAAAGGATAAACGACAAAGCAGCTCGAGATTCAATATATCAAAGAATCGGGAACTACAGAAACTACCGCTCTTAACAGGTGAATATTTAAACATTTTTTTAACCCCCAAAAAAAATCAATTTATTGTTTAATTGTAAAAGTTATTTTATTTACTATTAAGAATTAATTTTTTTGTTCGATTCAGTTTCTAAAATTCAGAATCTTAATTTTTTTAAAAATAAATTTCGTTTTTACTCTTGAGAGAATAGAGAATTTTATTGCAATTAAAATTTTTTTCTATGAAATTATTTATAGACAAATAAATAATTTTATAAAATGAAATAATAAAAATTTATAAAACCAATAACAGAGATATATATTTTAAATTTATATGATCTTTTGAATGCGTTACTGAAAACGAATAAATTCAATTTACCAAGAACAAAACAAATAAATATAAAATAAACTTTTTAAAAAATAAATTTTTTAAACTCTCTCTCATAAAAATAGAATAAAAACAGGTATTTTTAAAAATATTTATTTTTTGCTTTTATTAATTTTTTGATCTCTCTACGTTTTTGAACGTATAATTTCGCGTATTTAGTATTGACAATAAAAATAAATAAACTTTTAACGACGGGCGTTCAATAAATCTCAATAAAATCCCTCACCATTTTAGGATAGTGGATCAAGGATTTAGAAACGCATCTAGTTAATCCAGATTCCTTATTAACTCGCTTCAGGCTTGATGCATTAAAAAAGTTTCTATTAATCAAGAAAGTAAATTCATCGTTAAAATTGAATTGAAATTTGCAATTTTTTTTTATATAGCTGTCTTAGAGAAAGTAAACAATATTAGGTAAAAAAAAAAACCGGATATAGCTCTAAGAATGGATATTTTTCGTTTTCAATTAATTTGATTATTAATTTAATCTAAATTGAAAAGATTTTTGTTTAAAATAATTTTCTATTATTAATTTCTATTCTAAATAATTATTTTATTTATCTGCTAATGGTAATGATAACCTTGTTATTTTTAAAACGTGTTTTATTATGCATTTGTACAATTTTTTTTTTCTACGTTTCAATATTTATTTCAAAATATGTTTGTTAAATTGTTTCACAAGAAAATGTCATCTTTGACCTGTTTTTTACAGTCTAAAAACATTATTGAAATTGTGAAAAAATATTTTTAAAAAAGAAATTTATTATTATTATTTTTGTCATCGGTTTTTCTTATTCTCATTCAGTTTCAGAGCTTTTTATATACAATTTAGTTTTCCTAGAAACTTTTATAAAAATGATTATTTATTACCTATTATTATCATTAATTTATTTATAATTTATTATTATTTATTAATTGATATTTTATTTTTTCCAGAAGGTACTAAAAATCAACATTAATGAAAATTGAGAAGCAAATTACTCCAAAAAAAACAATCGTGAAATCCATCAGACATTAAAAATGAAAAAAAAAATTCAAAAACCAATTGAATATTCTAAATCGGTGCAAGTTAACGCATCGTCTAAAATTTCTCTTGAATTCACATAGTATTATTGCTATTCTTGTCTTGTCTTCTCAGATAAAGTGAGACTTTGAGAGAAAGAGAGAGAGAGAAAAAAAAGGAATTTTGATACGGTTGGCTCGTCGCTATTTATACAATTTCATCGGCATTTCAATCGAAAAATATGCCGGAATTTATTTTACGCTTTTCATCTCGTTCCACACAATTCACCGGCCGGGCGCCGGTCTTCTTTCTTTTTTCCTCTTACCTCTCCCCTTTCATCCCTTAAGTTGTGTGTAGGTAAATTGTGATCAAACAAGTATTGCCTGTTGAATCGTTGAGAAATATATATCACACTTTTTGGCAAATTGCCATTTTTTAATCAATTATATCTCTGTTTTTTCTTTTCTATCTCTCTCACTCTTTCTTTCTCGACCGTTCATTGTAAAATGTCATCTGTTCAATGACTTGGTCTCTTGACTTCTTCTCCTGGCCTTTCTCAATGCTCCGACCCGTCAATCGGTTGTTTTAACGAAACATACATATCCCATTTTACGTCAAGAAATATCGATTGCTCTACGAGGTCGCGCAAGCGCCATCAAAAATATAATCCCTCTCGCGCTCGCCTCTCCTCTTTTCTCCGATGAGAAACTAAACAATCCAAACAGTCATCCCGTGAACCGCGAACATTGCCCTCTTCGAACTCTCGGAAACTGCCACTGGGCTTTTAAAAGCTCAGCAATTCTAAGGAAGAAAGATAGAAAGAGCTTTTTCTTTTACAGAGAGAAAAAAGCAATTCTTTGCCAAAAAGTTCACAAACTCCTTCGATATGTGTATTTAAAGATTTTTATCCCCCAAGAAGGTGATTGAAGGAGGACAAGATCCTTAGAATGATATTTTTTTTACCGCCGTAAATTTTTTCACCCTGATTTTTACGAAATCTTGACAACAAAAATTGCGATGAAATTTTATTTTAATGGCATTTCATTATCATTAATTTTTATTGACTAATAAATTGAGAATTGAATGAAAAGAAATTTTGTTTGATTCTTTGAAAAAAAAAATATATATATATTGTGGGTGGATGCGAAGCAACAGATTGCCGCGCAAAAGTATAATACATATACGAGAAGGGAGATTCCAACTGAGTCGAGTTCTGTGGATCAGTTCAAGGATAGAAAGAAGAAGAAGTACATTGCGTTTGTTGATTTTGCGCCGGAATTGTTGGCACGATTCTCTCTCTTTCTCTTTATTTTTCTCTTACTCTTTCTCTGAGGAGAAAATTTAATATGCCAAAATAATTAATGCCAAAAAAATAGATTTTTCATATATATTTATATGATACCGATATTGAATCTATATATATATATATATATATATATATACAAATATTTTTAATAGACCAGATTTAATTTGCCAAAAATAATATTAAAATAATAATAAATAAATAAATAATATAAAAATATAGCGAAATGGTTCATGTGAGCGATGCAACTCCGACTTTGAGCACTGGATTGCCAAAAAGTCCTAGTTTTCATCAGGATTTGGCATTTGCTGCCTATTCTGCTCAGGAATTTAATAAATTTTATCCTGCCGTTAATACTTTATATTATCAACAACCCTTGCAGCCATTGTTGATTGGTAATCGTCAATTTTTAAATTTGAATTCTTTATTTTTTTTTAACAATAGAGAAAATTTGCGAAAATTTTAATTGACTTGTTTTATATCAATTTTTTTTTATTTTTAAAGTTCGATGCTTTCATGTTGTTTTTTGGACTCATCCGTTTTTCGAAAATTAATTCAAATGTATATTACAGTTCATTTATTGATCAGAATTGTTATTTTTTCGTTTTTTATATTTTGTAAATTTGTTTTTACATATTTTTTATATTGTGTTACTTTATATATATGTTTCAAAAGTGGGGCATATCAACAACAGAACATTCTCCCAGTTTTGTTTTTTTAATAAAATCAAAAAAAAAGTTTCTAAAAAACTTCATCAAATAAAAAAAGAATATCTCATTATTTTTCAAAATGATAGAAATTTGTAAAAAAATTCTTTCAAGCAATATGCTTCAAATGGAAATTTAATTTTTTAACTTTTAATTTTGGTAAAATTATTTGCAAAATTTATTAGGTATCGTGGGTTCTATTATAACACTATTAATTTTGTGAATTTCAGTATCAAAGTGATTTAATTTTGAGGTTTTGCCGCATTCAAAACACTTTGAACTTTGGGAGTTTATATTTAAATTTAGTTGACCTAAATTTGATGAACAAAATTTAAAATTAATAAATTCATCGACAATGTCCAGACAAAATTCGTGAATGTATTATAATTAAAAGAAGAAAAAAAAATAATCACGAAGAGTGTTAATTATGATCCACTTTTGTGAAAATTGAATTAAAAAAATTTTTTTAAAGTAATTTTTTAAATTAAATGGAAGTTTAATTATGATATTAAACATTTACAATTATTTAATTATAATTTAATTAGTTAATTAAAATTTAGTTCGATAGAAAGAAATAGCTGTTTTTTTTCAATTATTCTCATTTTACCAAGAATGTAAAAGATTTTCATTTTTATCGCAGTCAATTCGAAGATGTTATTTATTTGAAACTGAAATTGTGAGGAAAATGTTCTTTGAACATGATATCAATCCACAATAGACAATAATCTATTGTCACGAACTTATTTCTATCAGGCATTGAATTACTTTTATTTTTCGCTTATTTGTTTCTTTTTTATATTATTGTGTATGTATTTTAGTGTTTATTTCAAAAAAGAATTTTAGAAATTATAAAATACAATAATTTCTTAAATATTTCTTTCTTATTTCTTGCAGAAGCGCAACAGGGTAACGAAAGTGAACAGCTCTTTATTCAAAAGCTACGACAGTGTTGTGTTCTTTTTGATTTTGAATCCGATCCTCTGTCAGACTTGAAATGGAAGGAAATAAAGCGTGGGGCACTTCACGAGATGGTGGAATATGTCACCGAAAACAAAGACGTCATTACCGAAGCCATATATCCCGAGGCAGTGAGCATGGTGAGATATAAATTCAATTTAAATTTTAATTGTTCACTAGGTATTTTTATAAAAAAAAAAAAAAATATTCATTTATGGAAAATTGCAACATTTTTTGTTGTACCTCAATATTTATTCTCTATATTCATTTTTTTAGGAATTTATATTTTTAAATATTTCTTTTTATCATTAAAAAAAAATGGTTTATATTATTTTATTTACACTGAACTTGTTTTTACATTCTTTTTGCTATTAAATTCCATTTATTTTATTTTTGTGAAAAAAAGTATTTTTTTTTTATTTATGCAAGCGTTATCATTTTTCAATTACAGTTTGCCGTGAATCTTTTTCGTACATTACCACCGTCATCGAATCCAAATGGAGCGGAATTCGATCCCGAGGAGGACGAGCCAACGTTGGAAGCTGCATGGCCACATTTACAATTGGTTTACGAATTTTTCCTACATTTTCTCGAGTCACCTGATTTTCAACCAACAAGCGCAAAACGCTATATTGATCATAAATTTATTCTACAATTACTCGAACTTTTTGATTCGGAGGATCCACGCGAGAGAGATTTTCTAAAAACAACATTGCACAGGATTTATGGAAAATTTCTTGGCCTTCGTGCTTACATTCGAAAGCAAATAAACAATGTTTTCTATAGATTTATATATGAAACGGAACATCATAATGGAATTGCGGAGCTACTTGAAATTCTTGGAAGGTAATGTGTTGCGTTCAAATCATATCTATTTATGACAACAAAAAAATGTGTTTTTTTTTTTTTAATAAAACTGATATTTTTAAGAAATATATAAATTTTATTGGTATTTTCTTAAAATCGTCAGCGTTATAATAATTATTAATATAATGAATTGTGGTTATTGTTTTTTATAATTATTTTTTTTATTGTTTGTAATTAATTTTATTAGGATTTTGTAATTAAATGAAAAAAAAAAATTTTTGATTGCAGTATTATCAATGGCTTTGCGTTACCTCTGAAGGAGGAACATAAAGTTTTTTTGCTCAAGGTCCTTTTACCGCTGCATAAAGCAAAATCATTGTCAGTTTATCATCCACAATTGGCATATTGTGTTGTACAATTTTTGGAAAAGGATCCATCACTCACCGAACCAGTTATCAGAAATCTCTTAAAGTTTTGGCCAAAGACACACTCCCCAAAGGAGGTGATGTTCCTCAATGAACTCGAAGAGATTTTAGACGTAATAGAACCGGCTGAATTTCAAAAAGTCATGGACCCGCTTTTTAGACAATTATCCAAATGCGTTTCATCGCCACATTTTCAGGTAAATTATTTTCTATCCCTTGTTTTTATTATATAAAATATTTATTTTATAAATAGAAAAAAAAATTATAAATAAAAAAAAATATATATCTCTTTTTCAGGTGGCCGAGAGAGCTCTCTATTATTGGAATAATGAATATATAATGTCATTAATTTCCGACAATTATTCTGTTATTTTGCCGATCATGTATCCAGCATTGTATAGAAATTCACGGAATCATTGGAACAAAACAATACACGGACTAATTTATAATGCTTTGAAACTTTTTATGGAAATGAATCAAAAAGTATTTGATGAATGCTCACAACAATACTGCCTGGTATAAAAAATTTATTTTTTCTTTATTCTTAAAAGAGAAATTTTAATTTAAATTAAATATTAATTAAAATTTTTTAATAAAAAAAAATAAGGATCGTCAAAAGGAGATGAAACTTTTTAAAGAGAGAGATGAAGCGTGGTCAAAAGTTGAGTCTCTAGCGATGAGGCATCCAAATTATAATTCGACAAATAAAGTGGTACAAAATAAATCTCATCCACCAACTCAACAAGAGAATGCACCACCCGATGAAGATGGCGATAACGATCAAACACCATTGACGTTAGAGAAAATCGAAGCAAAAGCCAATGAGGTAATTTTTTTCTCAAAAATAATAATTATTAATAACACATAATTTATTTTGTTTCTAGATTTCGATTTAGAGTCGAATAAAAATAATAATACTTGAGGTAAAATTAAAATGACAGAAAATTTTTCATTATAAATGGAAAATAATAAATTATTCTTTATATTTTATTTATTACTTTAATTCAAAAAAAAATTTTTTTTATTTTATATTAATAAATATTAAAAATTGAAGGCAAAGAAGATGACAAATACAAATAAATCGAAACCATTGCTGCGAAGAAAAAGTGAATTGCCGCAGGATTCTTATACAATGAGAGCGCTCTCTGATCATAAACGTGCTGATGAATATCTCGTGACACCTCCAGATTCAAACAACTGCTAGTCCCTACCTCATGACCTTCCGATTCGTCCGCTCTTTTGCTGTCCTACTATCGGAAGTTGAAATTCTTTCAAAGGAAAAGGAAAATGGAAACCAGCAGCTAAAGAAAAAAAATGGATAATCTTTGGATATAAAAGTAAGCATATTTACCATCTTGTACGCAAAAAAAAAAAAAACAAATATCGTCTTCCGACTTAATTAATCAGCAACAAGAGAATCCAGAATCAGAGGCATAAAAAAATAATAAAAGTGCAGTAATAATGTGTCAGCGATTAAAATCATATCTTCTCTACTTTTTTTTCTCTTTCACTTTTATTGGACAGTCGAGCAAACCATTGTGTTTTGCGATTATCCATACCTCGGCATTCCAAAAAAAAAAAAAAAAAAAAAAAAAAAAAAATGGCAGTGACAAAAAAAAAACCCCGGAAAAAATAACTCAATTCTGGGAATTATTTTTTTTTAGAGATTCAACTCTCTTTTTCTTTCTCTCTAGCTTTTTTTCAGGACGCAGTTTAAAAAAAAAAACGTCTGGCGGTTTTCATTTTTAATAAAAAAAAAGTCCGTGGAAAAAAATAGATTTTAAACGTGAAACGAACTAGAAAATAATATTAAAGGAAAAAAAATACATTGCCAACTCTCGGCGTGCTTCAGTCGCTTGCATGTGTCTTAGGATAGTTGACTCACATCTTTAGATAACAAATTGCAATTTACAGAAAAAAAAAAATAAAAATCTCTCTTGTTTCTACCTCCATTTTTGATGTAGTCACTTTTATCTCCATTATAGAGAATTACAATATTGTGAATATAAATTTTCTGGTTAAAGAAAAGAAAAATTTAGAAGGCAAAGCATTGTTGATTCATTGGCTATTATTAAATACTAGAAATTTGTTTCTATTATTTAATGTTAGCTAATGTATTGGGAAAAAAAGGAGAATATTCTCTCTGCTGGCAGGCTGTTAATAATAATTACCGATATAAACTTGTTGAAAATAAAAAAACTAAACTCTTGTAGAAATAAACTATTGCGATTTTAAAATGACAAAACGGAGATAAAAGGGTTTCACTTAGCCATTCACTAGCAAATTTTATCAATTAATTTTTTCGTCAAATTTCGCATTCAAGGCAAAAAAAAAAAAAAAATGACACAAATTTTGAAAAACGTAAATGTCTAAAAATTCTTCAGTAAATTTTATTTTTGTTTTTATTTCAATTCAAACACAATTAAAAATTATATTTTTCAATTCTTTTCTTTAAAAAGTGATCCAAAATTTTTAATTTGGAAAACAATTTCTTAATTTAGTTAATTAATAATTAATTTTGATTTAATAAAAATTAAATTAAATTTTAAGTTAAAACATTTGACGAAAAATGAAAATTGAGAGATTGCTAGGATCTTTTTTAAAAAAAAGAATAAATAAAAAAGGAAAAAAAACACTCCTCTACGAGTTGATTATTTGGTAGACTAATTATTATTATTATATTAATATTATTAAATGTTAATATAAATACACACACACACGAAAGAAGCTAGCAATATTTTAGAGTTTTAATGTGACTGGAGTCGCGTCATTTATATTGTTGTGGTGTAAACTGATCTATGTTATAAAAAAAAATGATACATCACATTTTATATACATATATATAAATATATATATCAAGTTTAAAATGAAAAAACAAAGAAACAAACTATATAAAAGAGAAAACCACAAGACTTATTAAAATGCTAAAAATAATAAAAATGTAATAAATCGTCGTGCGTGGCAGCTCCCCCTATGGCTTTTTTTGAAAAAAAAACCCCCAAAATGAAATTGTATAAATATTTGAAAAGAAATACCTATAATTGAAAAAAAAGCTTTCCCAGAAAAAATCTATAAAAAAAAAAAAAACAAAAGCTGCCTGACATCTTTGTATTTTAGTCATTGTGCTTCGTACCGCCAGAGTTTTTCCGTGCGTTGCGCGATAGAGTTTAAGACAAATTTTCACACTCTCAGATCTGCTCTTCTTGCGAAACCGATTTCTCATTTTTTTTTTTATTTTATCTATTTCTCTCAAAATTTTTATTTTAATTTTCCTGTAAATTTATAATTTTTCAGAAAATTAATTTTATTTTCAAAAAAATTGATTTTTCGTAAAATTAAAATGTATTTCCTTAAAATTTAATTTTTCGGAAAACTTTTGATTTCACTGAAAATTAATTTTTGAAAATAGAATTTAATTTTTTTGAAACTTTCAAAAATTGAATTTCCTGATAATTTAATGTTTCACATAATTAATTTTCCATTGTTGGAACACATTTTTAAATTTCAATTAATTTTAATCTAATGTTACGATGTTTATCTTTATTTTATTTTATTTTTTAAAAATATTAATTCAAACTTGAGAAATGTAATATAATTTTAAATATTTTAATGTCTTCTTTTCGTTTGTTTTTGATTCGTTGAAAAAAGTGAGATTAATTTCTTTTTTTTCGAAAACATTGAAATAATTTTTCATCATTTTTTGTTTATATAAGTTTGGCGAGTAGAGAAATGTTTCTCGTCAAGATCGAGCCGATTTGAGCTGTAAATACTGTGTAAATAATACAGCTTCGTTCGAACGAACATTTTTCTTTTGAAATGATAAAAAAAAAGGAAAAGAAATGCGTGATTCTATTTTCGAATTTTTCCATTGTTCCGCTAAAAAGGATGTAGGGGGTCGTGGCGATTATGTAATTTCATTTTTACAAAACTTTTATTTTTTTCAAAATTAATATATATATAGAATCATTATTAATATTCCCATCGAATTAAATTAATTTCTTTATTTTAAATATTTTAATTAACTAAATAAATTATTTTATTCTTCTGTGCTTTAATATGTTTGAATTTTCTTTTTTTATTTCTTTTTTATAAAGAATGTAAGATGTACAATTTCTCTTCTATCTGAAAAATCAAATTTTAAATTTCTAATTTTCACAGTGATAATGAAATAAAAATAGAAATCAATTAAAAATTAAATTACAAAATCGTATTGAGAAATTGTTGTATTTTTTTCTGTCCATTTTTTTTTTTGTTTCTCTTAAAACTTCGTATGTGAAGGGAACTTTTGTTTTTTAAAGAAAAATGTCTCTTATTATTATTTTTTTTTATTAGCGTTTCTTTACTGCGTAAATGTCATGATTTGTAATCGTAACGATCGGAGCAGTAGATATAGTGGCCTTTTTGCATGAATTTATAAGAGTATAATAGTGTTAATGTTAAGCTTCGAAATGTAACTTTTGTAAATCCTTTAATCGGGTACTTTGTATTAGGCTCTTCTCGCCTTTTGAGGATCATTCGTCGATTTATCAAAATGAGCAATTAACACTCTTGCGGAACGAATATACATGATAAATTATATATTAACATAACGCTACAAAGAAAAAAAAAACAAAAAAAAAAAAAAATCCACAGCGAAATTTTTCGATTGTGGATATGCAGTATTAAAGCGGATATCCGTGCTGAGATTTTCAATCAATTCAAAATACCCACTATTCTGTAGATTATTAATTATCAAATAGGACATCAAGTACACACCAACTTGAGTTAGTAGATATATTTTTTTTCTTAATTATTTTTCTTGTTATAAATTTATTTTTTTATTAATTTTTTTTTAAATTGTTTTTAATTTCTTTTTTTCGTTAAAGACTATTTTTTTATTTGTAGCAAAAAAAAAAAAAACAATATTATTGCTTCGTGTATTTTATTTCCAATTTTCTGAGTCGACTTCACTACAATCCACACGTGCAGTATCCTCTTTTTGGGCACTCGAGAGTTTCTCTCAGTTATTTGTTGAAGGCACAGTGCATAGTTTTATAGTAAATAAAGAATTACTACAAAATGAGACTTCTTTCATTGATGGATGATTGATGTGATGTAGTGATCCTAATTTTTTATAATATAAAAAAACATGAATCCTTCATTGTTTTTTTTATAGTTTCTCATTTTGTATAATTATAATTCTTTTAATTAACAATTAGCGAATTTTTAATTGAATATTAATTTATAATTGATTTTAATTTATTTTGATTCCTTATTTTTAATACAATTAATTTTCGTCAATTGTTAATTAAAACAAGCTCTTAATTATTGTTAATTAATTTGTTAATTAATAGAGCAAAATTTTTTAATTGCACTATCAAATTAATATTTTAATTACTCAAGAATTTTGTTAAACATTTTTTTAATCTATTTTAATTAATGTATGTGATAATTTTTATTTTATTTCAAGGGGAAAAATAGAAAAATGATAAATTTGGTTTAAAGTTTTAATAAATTATTTAATTAATTAAATAATTATTAAAATTTTTTAATTTTCCAAAAGTGTTAATTGAAGCTTTATATAACCGCTATTGCTTAAGAGTAATAAAATTAGTTTAAAAAGTATTTTGTCATCGGGAAGCAGCTCCGAAGTGGATAAGAACAAATGTAAGTTTAAAATATTTTTTAAACTGTTTATATTTTTTTTCCTTTTTTAACTGAAAAATAATTTTTCTATTGAATATAATTAATATTTATAATATAATTACAGAATTTATTTTTCTTTTTATATTGAATTAAAGATTTTAATTTAAATTTTCCCTCTCATTTAAAACGTCCAATAGAAGTATGTTTTTATTCGGTAATGCAGGGAATTAGCTTAGCAGTTCCGCAAACGGACGATAGATGGCAATAAAGAATATTTTTACTTTACCACCATTATATTGCATTTATCATTGAAAAATGATTTTTGTAATTAGATAAATAGTATTTTCCTTTTCTGGTATATAATTTACATAAAATTAAAGTAAAATCCAAAGTTGTACATTGTTATTTCCTGTCAATTATTCTTATTAATGTAAATTTTTTAATTTCTCCCTAATTTATAGGGCCCCTAGAATTTGTATTACGAGCCTGATTTAGTTATACATGAGTCCCAAATTCAACTGATAAAGTTATATTTTTATAGTAAAAAGTAATTTTATTAATTATGGAAAAGAATTTAAAACAATTTTCTCCAGTTACCGGTAAGAATAATTCTTTAGCATTATATATTCAAAAATTATATTACTATAATGAAATGTATATTTTTTATCGAATTTAGTAAATAAACATTTCATAATGTAACATAACCTCAAAACCTGACTTTATAGAAACAATTAAAAATTTGTTTGAAATTTTATTAATTTATTTTTTATATGTAACTACAAATAAAGAAAATCTGATAATAGGGAGATATTATAAGAGAAAAACAAATAAACGAGTAAAAAATAATATAACAGATTTTATTTTCAGTTTATAGAAATTTTTTAGTGTATCAATAAATAATTTGAATATTGTTTTTTTTACCTAATTTAATTAAAATTAACAGTTTTAGGGTCTCCGGTGATAAAAGGAAAAGCACTAACAGGAATTCCTCTTATTGTACGAGATTCAGTGATAGAAGTTCACACAAATATTCAGAAATGGAATGCTATTCATTTAAAAGGAATTCCGATTGTACAATCTATAATCGATTTAAAAAACGATGAATCATATCCCGCTGAATTAATTACTTTATGTTCATCGTTGGAAAAAATTTGCGACGAGATAGTAAGAAAATATAACTAAATATATTTTTTTTATTATATATTTATTCTTAAAATAAAAAATGTTTTTCAATTATTATTGTTCTTTTTTTTCAGGATGCAGTAGTTTGTAATTTAAAAATTTTATTTCACAAATTTCAAAAATTGCAGTCCTTGAACGAGAATAGAATAATTTTATTTTCAACATGGTCTATAGAAAAATTTGGTATGTAAAAATTCGAATTTAGTTTTATATTTTTATTTATTAGTTTTAATGAATATAATTTAAACAATTCATTTAAATAAACTTGTAATTTTAATTTTTGTAGCAAATACTGTAGAAACTGTATACACATCGTACAAGAATGAAGCAAAAACAAAACGAATAATTGTCGAAAATATTGCTCACGAATTTGGAGATGCAGCGAAAATGGTTTATTTTGCAAGTTGGGTTTATCAACCTCAAATAGCGGATAATTTGAAATTTCAAATTGAAATGATGTTAATTGAAACTGGATTACGAAAAATTTAAAGATGCAGAATATTTAAAAAAAGTAAAATTTTCAACAAGAATTTAGAGGTAAGTTTTTAGTAAACAAAAAAACAATTTCTAATTAATTTAATAGTTAATTTATTTAAAATTATTTTATCAATTAATAGAAATAATTTTTCAAAATATTAAATAGAATTTTAAGATATTTGTTTTAACCAAAGATTTGTTTTAAATTGAATGCAAAGAAAAATTTTAAGGTAATTTAAAAGAAAAAAAAAATTAATTTGAAAATATTTATTATTAATTACAAATAATTAGATTTTTGTCTATTAAAATTTTTTCTAATATTTAAAAAAATATTATTTGAAATTTTAAAAAATTTAAATATTCCCGCCAAATGAAAGAGCGGGGTTCTTAAGCGCAATGTTACGCTCCTGGGAAGGAAAAGTTAGGGGTGGGGGACTTTCGTTGTATGTATTGGGTTTTATGGCAGGAGTGGGGCAACCCGGCATGAAGCGCGAATCAGTATAGTCTTGAAACCGAACCAGTTGGTGACGGATAGTGTCTGTGTTCTCTTTAGTGCGGTTTTAATTAACGAACAGTTGAGTTTTAACTCCTCCTGTGTTAAAAAATGAGCTGGCAGGATTATATTGACAAGCAATTGGTCGCATCTAAATGTGTAACCAAAGCGGCTATCGCCGGACATGACGGAAATGTCTGGGCAAAATCGGATGGCTTCGAAGTGAGTAATCCTCCCACCTTCTTGGAAATCCCTCTCTCTCTCTCTTTTTTTTCTCTTTCTTTCTAATAACGTGCATCCTTCATTTTTTACACATCGTATTTATCGGATTGTTATAAAAAAAAATTGGAAAGAAAAATAAGAGTAAGACTGATAGAAAAAAATAGTAATAGTACGGCAAAAAAAAAAAGCAGCGCCCTCGCCCTCTACGACGCATCAGTTAATTGATTAAGGAAAAAAAATCTTGGGGGGTTTTTTCTCGCTTTTTTTCGAAAAAAAAAACCTTTGGAGAGTGAGTTAATGGGGGAAATAGATTGATTTTTAAAGTTTCCATCGGGGACATCTTGTGATGTTTCCCAACTTCATGAAGCTTCCTGAACGGGAGAGGCTGTGTGTAAGTGAAAAAGAGGTTGGAACGCCGGTTGGCGGATCTTTCCTCTGCGGGGGGAAAAAAAAGGACGAGTCTGCTGCCACGTAGTTATGACGTGATGCGAAATGTACAAAACGAGGGGTTATGGTTGCGCTTCGTTTATCACCGAGTGCTTGTCGTTGATACTCTTCATCAACGAGTTGTCCATTTTACCCGGGCATTTGCTCTCTCCTCTATATAGGGATACAACACCATATCGATCCTTGTGATGTTCGCTTGCGGCGTGGTGTGGGAAATCATGATTTTTCGAATACACTTTCAGCCTCTTCTTTTTTCATAATCAGCGAGCGTTCTTTTTTTTTCTTAAAAATACTTTGTTATGATAAAAAGGTCTTTATTCTCTTTTCGAAAAACAACTTGAAAACATGACGGATCTTGAATTTCAGGGTGTGGCGGTGCTGGCGTCGAAATTTCTCCAAGCACATTGGTTAGGCGATTTTTTTTTTCTTCTTAATTTCTCCCGATCTTTGTAAGAGAGATATTTGATTTGTCTATAAACCGGAAATGCCTGAAGCATTTTAAGCAAATGAGGTTGAAAATGTTCCAAGAAATAAAGTACGTGTGAGGTTAGAATTTTTTTTCTATAATGGAATTTAAAAAAATACCTTTATAAATTCAAAGGTTTAGGTTAAAAAAAAGAAAATTACAAAGAAAATAAAATTCAAGCAACTTGTAACTTTTTCTGTTAACAAAATTTTCTTTTCTTCGAATTTGAAATGAATTTTTCAATGTCGAATTTTCTAAATTTTTGCATTGTTTTGCAATTATCTCAATGGATGAGTAGAGATTACAATGGATTTTAATTGTGGTAGTATACGTCGTTTCTCGAAGATTACGTTTCATCCGTTTCCGGTTGATTCAGTTTGATCTTTTTGGAGCCGATATTGACTATGTATAATAGTTTAAAAAAAAAGAGTTCCACAGGGATAAAGGGATTTTCGATTTACTTAGACATGGCTCTTGTGGCGGAACGGTCGAAAGTCGAGATAAAAATCGCCAGCTGCGTGAACTTAGTGTCCACGAGCACACTTTCCGGTCTCGGCTGCCAAAATGGCGACAGCCGGCCGGCCTGGAAGCAATTGCCAGTGCCGTAGCTAGAAATTCGTATTTTCGTATTCTTTTTCATTTTGAACTCCAAAAATTATATTTTACTATAGAAAAATAAATAATACTTTTCCATCAGCTTCACTTTGAATATTTTACAAAATTGTTCTTGAGGATTTTTTTATATTTTCATTGAGAAAATTTGCGATATCTAACTATTTGATATATTAAACTAAAAAGAAACCAACTAAGGCAAAAAAAATTATTAGAATTTAAAGGAAAAGGGTTAAAATAATAATAAAAAATCGTTGGAAAAACTTTTGGTCCAGGTTCTTTAAATTTTAAATCCCAAGTTCCATTTTGACAGTTTTAAATAGTGTTTTTCTTTTTTTTTTAAATTGTACATCTAAATTTGTAAGTTATTGTTTCTTACTGATTTTTATATTTAAAAGTTTATTGATTCACATTATTATGTAATATTTTTAAATGTTATAATTTTAAATTATTAAAGGCTTAAAGAAAAAAAGTTTTACAGTTGTTTCATACAAACAGGTGTAACGAATTTGCACCTGCTTAGGAAAATAACATTTTAACGATATTTTTCAATTTATTTTAATTTAATTTTTTTAAAATACAATATATATAAAATATTATTGTTTGTATCCGATTTAGTTTGATATAATACATAACTAAACGCATGAATGACATTTATGACATCTCTTTGTTTTGCTACAATTGTCCAATAGTTAATTCTTTTAAAGCACTTATTTTTATCCACCGGAAAACAATTTTTTCAATTATTATTATTATTATTATTATTATTATTATTATTATTATTAATTGGAAAAAGAGTCATTAAAAATATTTTTAATTTTATTTGAGAAATTAAAGTCGTTTATTTGTATTATTTTTAGAGTTTTAAAAATATTTTTATAGCAATTTGGTTTAATTTTGATTAATACTTAACATGAGCAAATATTTGAAGGTTCTATGGAAAGAATCAGAGAAAAATCCCCAAAATCGTTGTATGATTCATCGAATTTAGTAACGTATGAATGTTTCTCGTCTCCCCGATCACAATCTCCATGAAGTGAGTCATATGTTCTAAATTTGTCTTTGACTAATACTTTATTTAAAGAGAAAAAAAAATAATTAATTTTCAAATGTTACAAAATGAAAAACAAAATTCTATGTCACGATTATAATTATTATTAAACGATTAATTGAAATCTTTTAAAAATATACGGAAAATTATTTTTAGTTAGAAAAAATGTCAAAAAAAGAAAACAAAAAACTTTAATTATTCAAATACAAAATTTTTAATGAATCTAAATTCATAGAAGAATTTATTAAATTCATTTAATAGATTATTATTCAATGATATTAGAGCATATTATTTACTTTTTATTAGCAACCTTGATAAATAAAGTAGTATATCAATTATTTTTCTTAAAAGTTAAAAAAAAGGAACTTCCTAGATTATACCAAGATGAAAAAAAAAAAATTGCAATATATTTATTATTAAAGATCCTTGGATCAATATCTTGTATTAGTAAATCCATCGCCAAACTTGGAAACTGTAGGTTCGGAAAACTAAGGTCGTGTTATTTATTTAATTTTTTTTTTCTTATTTTTCATGCAACGAAAAAAAAATCACGTCTTGACTTATAAGTTCCAAGATAATGTCCTCCAAGACTGGTGCAAAATTCTTTTGTCCTTGTAACCATCTTATTCAAAATGGAAATGTGAGTCAAACCGCGAATGTATTTATGGGTATCGCAAAACACACATATGTTTGAATTGAGAGTGTACAACTATCGAGACGTGACCTTGAACTGCCCAGACCCGATTCTGAAAGCACTTTCTCGTCTCGTTTTACACTTTAACCCTTTCGATATTCATTCCGGTTAAATTAACTATGTAACAACTTGAGAGAGTCGATCTTCTCTTTTCCATTTCTTGTCCCCCCCACCCCCTTTTTTTGTTGTTGTTGTTTATTCTCGTGTTGTTGATCACAAATTTTGAACATTCATGCGTGAATGTGTAATTTTTTTTTTTATTTAAATATTTTCGGCAAATTAATTTTTTCCAATAATTAATAAATTCTATACTGTCATTAATATTTATTTGCATAATAATTCATTTATGCGTGAGTAAATTTCAATTCACGAGAGAGTAAATAAGGAATTCCATTCATTTATATTTGAACGTTCGAAAAATTTCCCTTCTTCTTTTGCTTATTTATTCATTAAATTATATTTATTTATTAATTAATCGATTTTTTGTTAATTATATTTATTTTAGTTTTATTGATAATTTACATTAATTTAATTAATTAGTTAAATATGATGAAAATATATATATATATTATTTTATATCAATCTTGACTACTGGATTGAAGTTGAATCATACTTTTAAAAAAATACAATTACAAAATTATTTACTCTTAAAAAATTCAGTATTGCCCTCGTGGGAAAGGATTCAACTTCTTTTTCCAATTTAGTTTTCCTCTTTTTTTTTTCCTTTTTTGCCACGAGATTGTCAATTAGGTTTTCATCGAATTTGTCTGTGTAAGATTAGCAGAATTTGCAAAAAACCAGAATTGGTTTGTTCTAATTGTACCGAGAGTTGTGGAAACAAAAAAATTTGATTGGAATTTCTAATTTTTTATTTTCTTGAAATAATAATTATTATTATACAATTATTAATAAATAATAATATTAATATTATTCTTTATTATTGGTAAAAATTTTAAAAATGTATTTTTAACAATGAGAAATTAGGTTACACTCGTGGGCTTATTTCAGATTTGTCCTTGAATCTTTAGAATCAATTTCCTGTTCTTAGGGCAAAAATAATTCTAACATCATTTTCTCTCAGCATTCTTCGTTGTTTTTCTAGTTTAAACAAACATCTGAGTCAGTAGTTTACCGAGAGAGAAAGAATATTTTTAATAGTTAATAAACATTTTTTTCTTCTTCATTTTATTATGTTTGTAATTTTTTTTTTTTAAATTAAAATACTCGTTAATTTAAATAATATTAGGTATCTTAAATTTTAATTTTCCTGGTAATTAAGGAAAAATGTTTTTTTTTTTTTTTTGTCTCAAAAGTTTATAACATTGGGCACGTAAATGACAATCTTAATTGTGTATACACACGTGATGATAATTTGTCCACGATATATGAATATTAACTGGCAATTTTTTTACCTTAAATTATGAGCCAAACGTTTTAAACGTTCATATGAACGAAATTTTTTATGCAACTTCTTTAAGTACGAATTTTAGTACAAAATATTGTTTAAAATATCTAAAAAGATGTTATTAATTTAATAATTGTTTAATTTACTGTTTTATTTTACATGGTCATCATAATTTTTAATAATTTTTACATTCATATGAACGTTCAAAACTTTCGGCTCATCTTAAATTAATAAGTACACAAATATAGAAAGAATTTAAAATGGAAATTATGTCAATCGGAAAGAAAAGTTATTTTAGAAAATAGTTTTCTCGAGAAAAACTATTTTCTAAGAATTTTTAGCTCATGATTCGATTTCTAAATTCCATTATAACATTTTAGTATAGATTAAGAAATTTCTAATAATAATTAATTTATTTTTAATATTTGTAATTTATTATTTAATTTACTATTTTTATTATTTAGTTTACTACTTTTATTATTTATTATTATTTTACAATTTTCTTCATTTTTCAAATAATTATTTACTTAAATATTTTTTGAAAATAATTTTTACAATAATTAATAATTGTTTAAAATAATTATTTAATGGAATAAAAAAATTATTTCTTTTATAATTTAATTTTGTTATTAATTGTTATTGGACAGAAGAAATTTGAAATGAAAGTTTCAATTATGACTTTAGAAATTGTTAATGTAGCACATTTTTATCCGCTCACAGAGATTCTCTTTAATAAATGCAGAGCGATAATTCTAAACATGAGATACATGGCCACTTTTTGCAAGGTCGAAGGAATAAGTATTAAATCCGCAAATGGAATTCTAATGAGCAACATCGACATAATTTCGGATTTTATATGTCATTTTAAAATATAATTTGCTTCTTTGCAAAAGTGATTCATATATAATAAATAGGAAATTAATAATGATGACGAATCAATCGAAAAATATTCAATTTTTTTTTACGGATTTACGAATAACTTTATTTATTGAATAATCAATAAATATTGTCGATCTTTCTGGAAGTGGACTTTAAATTTGTCGATAAATTAGATTGAATGATAAGAAACGCTAAGTTAAGAATTTAACAGATTAGGGAAGTAATTGAATTGAAAATAAAATACACGAATTTTTTTTTCACCTGTATAGTGTAAATATTTATACATTAGTTAAAATTTAAAAATCAAATGTTTTATATTCGAAAATGTCGTCGATAAAAATAGAAGTAACTTTAATTCGATCGATTCTTGTTACTCGTGAGTTTCTATTCTTATCGATGTAAATGGTGACTTGCTCAGCTGATCAGCTGAGTGGGTACTTAGGTGTATATGAGAATTTTTTAGAAACGGAAAAATACAAATTCAGAAAGTTATAAAAAAAAAAAATTTTCGATCAACCCAAAGTTTTTGTTCTCATTTTTTCTCTATATTTTGCTTCCAATAATTGAAATAATAATTGGAATTAAGAATTTTAATAAATGTTAAATAAAAAATTAGTATTATGTAAAAATAATAATTTTGTAAATTGAAAGGGAAAATTATTTAGTTCTTCATTATTTCACAAAAAAGAATAAGGAAAAGAGATTGGAAATCTGAAAAAATGTTTTAAAATCAATGGATTCAATTGTCTCTTTCGTTTTTATTTTCTTCGACCCGAATGGGTTAGTTACGCAATTAGCAGTAATTGGATCTAATTAGGTTATTGCACCAGGGGTGTGTATAATTGAAATTCCCTTATCACATGTAAAGATCTTTTTTTTAAATTTAATTCTTTTTTATGAAAAATTAAAATGATTTTTCAATTAATTAATGATTGTGAAATCATTGTTGTATTTGAAATTTTTATTGAAATTAATATAAAAAATTGAGAATTAAATGAGCTAATGAGAGAATTTTTATTTTTGTTTACAGGTTAGTAAAGAGGAACTCGCGAAGCTTGTCCAGGGTTTTGCTGAACAGGATATTTTAACGTCGTCGGGAGTTACCTTAGCTGGCAATAGGTATATTTACCTGTCAGGTACAGAACGTGTGATTAGGGCAAAACTGAACAAAGTTGGCGTTCATTGCATGAAGACGAGCCAAGCGGTAGTTGTATCCCTTTACGAGGACCCCATTCAACCACAGCAAGCTGCCTCCGTCGTCGAAAAATTGGGCGACTACCTTCTGTCCTGTGGCTATTAGGTCAGTACTGATAATAATCATATTTAGGTCATCGCTATTAAACAAACACACAAGGGACAAAGAAAAACACCCCTTTTCACATTACCTTACCTTCCATTTAAGTTCTATCTTTGTAATCGATAATATCAACTGTAACCTATTAAGTGGACTATTCAAAAGAATTTTTACATTTTTTATTTTCATTTTAAATATTATAAAAGTAGTTATTTTTCTAAAAAAAAAACCCGATTAACTCTTATATTTTCTTTTTTTTCAAAGTTCTTGAGAATTTTTTTTTTCTAATTAAAAATTAAAAATATTTTAAATAATTTTTCTTTAAGTGATTAGAAATTTTTTTTTTTTTTCTACAATTGGCACTTGCGAGTTTAATTCATGGCTTTCAAAAGTGTAACGCAGATGACCAAATACACTTGAGTAGAGCTCATAATTTTCTGAAGTAATTTCAGTGGGAAATAAAATTACATATCTGCATTATGGTGTGAGTCATAGCAACGATGTATTAACTCGTTTTTTTTTTTTTTTTTATACTCTTTCTCTCTTTCAACTTTTTAACTTTGCTGCCCGCAGATGACTGTTATATGTGAGTTAAAGAAGCTTCCTGCGATAAATAATAATGTGAGTGAAAAGAGAGGAAGCATTCAAAATATCAGAAAGTAGAACGTGACATTTTTTTAAAGTGATTTCCCATTTTTCAAACATTTTCTCTTTTTTTTTTTTTTTAATTATTCTGATTTTTCTTAATTTCCAATTATCATCTCAATGTTATGTTAAATTATCTTTTCAAAAGATTTTTTTTAAGAAACAAAATTTGTGGATTTAAAAATAAAAATATTTTCTTGAGATTTAAATAAAAATTTCATATTTTTATGTCAGACGAATTTCTAAAAATATACTTGAAAAATCTAGATTTTTATTATTAACATTGTCTGAGTTTTAATGGAAAATTTTTGTAATTTAAAAATAAAAATTAAATAATGCAATTAGGTCAAAATAAAATTGGTTTTTTATAAGATAAATTTTTTTATTTTCCAACACTTTGATATTTTGAAAAATCAAAGTAATTTATTTTCTATGCTCAAAAAAAAAGAAAAAGATTGCGCAGCGTCTCACTTTCAAGATTCTTTATCGCGGTCTAATTATCAAAGAGAGATGTTTGATTGGTATCGTGAAGTTCGATGCCTGTTGCACGCGTTCTTCATTGGTTATTGCATCAACGTTCAACGAGCGTGAAATAGCCTTTACATCCGTAACTGCATAGGCGATTTGTCCTTTCGTGCTATGGGGATTTACCTCTTGTCACGCTCGGTGGGAGCAAAGTAGACGATTGAGTCACTAAATAAAGCAAAATTTTATTCGATCTACGAAAATAATTTACCTCAATGACTATCGATATAATAGATAAATCCTCTTTTTTTTCCCTTGATACTGAAAATTTATAATTAAATATTTAATATTAAAATTTTAAATCTTTAAAAATTCCCTAATGACCCAAATTTTTATTAATTTCTTAATTTTTTTCACGAAATATACATTTTAATTTTCATGAAAACAATTACAGTATGAGATTTAATTACTTGCCCTGCCTTATTTAGAAATTGGTAATAGAAGATGAAAATATTTCTGCGAATTCAAATGAACATAAATATAATTTTTTTATGACACTCATCATGAAAGAAACAATAGTAATTATATTTTAGTTGTGAATACGAATTTAACAATATATTTCAAAATGTAATAAATAATAATAATACTAGATTATAATTATTATTAGAAGAAAATTTAATATATATCTTTTTTTCTAATTTATATATTAAAATTTTTTCTATTTACATAAAAAAAAGGTTTAATCAAATGGCGGTAAAATTTACTCAACTTGATTTTCACTGAATTTTCAGATTGTTAAATTTAAGAAAGCATTTTTTTGACAAATTTTACCAAATTTTATTAAATCTCAATTTTAAGGATGTTTTATTGAAATTTATAATGAAATAAATGAATTTTTTTTTTTTTTAATTTTTCTTTTCTCTTTTTTGTTATAGTGACCACTGGGATCCAACACAAATATCTAATAATAATAATAACGATACGGACGATGATTTTTTAAATGACAGCGAATGAAATGATCGCGCCGTGCCGCACGAGACGCGCCAAAGCTGCCGCACAAGTCTGCCGCTTTGAAAAAATGATGAAAAAATCATCATCATCATTATCATCGTCGTCGTCATTGGCAGCAACGTAAGCCAGTCATCGTTCTCTCTTCTTCAAGTCGACATGAAACATTCGCGAAAACGAAAGAAACACATCTCACACAAACACTCACACGCAATTCGCTCCCACTTTTCCACCCCCCCTTTTCTTTAACCTCACTCTCTCTCTCTCTCTCCTTCAAATAATTTTCTTTCTTAATCTTTCCATTATTATTGTTATCTTTCTTTTTTCTCCTTGTCTCTCGTTCTCTTTTCCTTATAGATATTGAATTAAAACACTCCGTGTGGGGTCGATTTGAAAATTGCGTTTCTGTCGAGTTAAAAAAAAAAAACAAATAACAAATAATAACTAAATCCATCGAGCGCAACGGTGCGACTTGAACCAAAATTTTGTATTTTTGATCGCTTACGCGGCGCTTTGTTGACGAGGAAATGAAAAACACACATACATACACACACACGTAACTAAGTTAAGTGTAACAATAATAATTATTATAATTAATATTAAACTATTGTATTAGGTTACAGTTTTTTGTAGCTGCGATAAAAAAGTATGCGAGAGCGATAGAAAGAGAGAGAGAAAGGTGTTTAAAGAAAGAGGTAAGAGAGAGAAAGTGATAAATAAAAAGATTATAGAAGAGGATAAAAAATGGAATTGAGAAAAGAGAGAGAGGATTTCTAAATGAAAAAATATGGAGCCTCGGAGAGAAAGTGAGAACGAATGAGAGAGAGAGAAAGAGAGAGAAGAAAATAGGAGAATCCTTTTTTTAAATGGATGTGCGTGTGCGTGACTGTGCAGAGATGAGAGAAAGCTTTCTTATGACGAAAAAAAGCTCTTGAAGAAAAGATAAAACGAAGTACAGGACGAGTATGCGGCGGCGCGAGTAACACTTGCTGGATCAGAAAAAAAATAATTTTTTTTTTTTAAACTGGCTACGTATGTTCTCGCTAATTATAAATGCGCGCGGCCCCTTTTTAGCTATTTACTTGTCTTTATTAATTGCTATGTGTAAGGAAAAAAAAACAAATGGAAAATTCGCTAAAAAAAAAAAAGAAGAAATTGATGATAATGATGATGATTAAAGAAGAAATTGAAAGATAATATGTGGAAAAAAATAAAGAAAAGAAATGAGAGGAATGACGAACGACATGTCATATTGCTGAGATTTTTATCGAAAAGTTGGGCGTGGTAGCTGAGGATGAAAGGGCGAGTCGCGACACGAATCTACACCTACATTTTAATATAATATATACACACACACACACACTCTCGATACATACACTTATACATAAACAATTTTCAAATATACACACAAAAACACAATAATTGTGAGAGAGAAATAAGAAACCGCGATGTAAATGTCAATGGTACACGAAGGAAATCGTCTCTCTTATATATATATATATACTCGGTGAAAGAAAAAAAAATCCAAGAGAAATAGAGACGATTCTTAAAATAAATGCAATTTCCATAGGTAGGTGGGAAAAAATTGGTTTTATCATTTTTTAAATACTCGAAAATTTTTTTTAAATAAAACTACTTTTAATTTTGATAAAAAAAAATTTTTTAAATAACATATTTTACAGAAATTTTTTCTTGGCAAAAATAATAATTTTTAAAAAAAAGAGCTTGTGTGCCATATGAAAGAGCCTAAAGAAAAAAAAAAAATTGTGATACCGAAGAATAAAACATTGCGGATTATTTCCCCCTCGCGTGAATCTGTGACTGCGACCATTTTTCCCCATAATTGATTCGTTGTCACTCGGATGATACTGACTATTAAACTACTACTATTATTACTGCTATCGCTACTATTAAACTATTACTCTGGTTGCTTGTCGATTCGTGTGATGCCAAGCAGCGGCCCCCCCGAAAACTATTATGTAATAATTTTTATTTACAAAGAAAAATGAAAAAAAAAAAATTAAACTATAAAATAATATCTAATTGTCGAGGAGATTTAAATGACGCAATTAAAGACATTTCAGTCGTTCTTTCTTTTTTTTTTTGTCGTTTATTATAACTAATTCCCTTAAAAAAAAAAAAAAAAACGAATGTCTGTGTCGTTCGTATGAACTGTGCGCGCGATCCAACGTCGAAATGAGGGAGAAAACCTCGAATCTTTCACGAAAAAAACGTTATAGTCGATTTCTTCTCTTAAATGAAATTAAATATATTCATTCGTTAAAAACGTAATTTTGTTTTTGGTGATTTTAAGTTTTTTTTTTTTTTAATGTGATTTTGATTGATCTGATTTTGGAACTAATTTTCATCTGAAGAAATAATAGTTAGATTTAAAAAAAATAATTCAAGATCTGTTTGTGTTTTTTTGATGTTTGTTGATTATTGTATTTTGTAAAGATTGATAATTTCTCCTTTTTCGACGATCGGTCGGGGTGTATTTATTTTTAAAGAACGGGACAATGAGAGAAAGGGCGAGAGAGAGAGAGAGAGAGAGAGAGAGAATAGAGTGAGAGATAAAAGAAAGGGCGAAAAGCGGAAAAAGAACTCCGACGTTTAAGTGTAGCTTTGTAAAATGAAACTTTCTCCGAACATTTTTTTTTTTGCATACGTCGAAAGTAAGATTGTGTTAAGAGAGTAATAAATTTGTATAAAGTGGTGTACAACGCGTGTTTACTTTGACCTAAAAGAAAAACAAAAGTAGACAAATTTTTACCTTTTGAAATAAGTATAATTTTCATCTTAAATAAATGAGAAAAAATTTATCTTTAATTGATTTTTGTATTATGTAATTTTTTCTAATTTTTAATTTCTCTTATATTATAAAAAAGGGTAATTAGAAATACTTTAATTTTTACATAATGTTGGCATAATAAAAAAAAAATCATGACTTATTAATAAACTTGCTCCTCTTGATCTTTTTCAATTTCAATGTCTCTATATAAAATCGACAGCGGTTTATAGCAGGGCTTAAAAGTTTATGAGGTTTTGAAAAAAGGGATGTCAAAAAGAAGTCTTTCAAATATATAATATTTTTCTTTTTTTTTATTAAATCCGAGTGAATATGAGATGTTTCAAAGATTAAAGTAGCTTTTCAGAAAATATTTAGTTTCAATTTATTGTTTAAAAATGAATTTATTTTTCTATAAAGCAAAATAAATTATTAATTAATACTCTTATATACATAATTAACTTTTTAATAATTCAAGATTTAAAAAAATTTTTAAATTTAGATTCAAAATTTTAAAGGTCTTACAGAAATCGAAAATTAAAAGAAGAATATGAAGAGGATGATGAAAATTCTCCACACTATATTTTTGTTCGCAGTACAAACATGTAAGTATTAGGCTGGGGTATTTTCAAAATTCTTTTCCCACCAATTTTGTAATATAAAATACAAAGATGGTTAAAAAATTAACAAAATGGTAAAAAATTTTGAAAAATATAAAAAATCACCGACCTAGAAATCTACCTTACGGACTGATGGTAATTTTTTTTGAAAAATGAAAATATAAAAAATTACCGACAGAGAAATCTACCTTACCGACTGATGGTAAAGAATTTTTTTTTAAAAATGAAAATATAAAAAATTGCCGACCTAGCTATCTACCTTACCGACTGATGGTAAAGAAATTTGTTGAAAAATAAAAATTACCGACATAAAAATATACCTTACCGACTGATGGTAAAGAAATTTTTTGAAAAATGAAAATAAAAAATTACCTACCTAAAAATCTACCTTACCGACTGATAGTAAAACAGATTTTTTGAAAAATGAAGATATAAAAAATTACCTACCTAGAAATCTACCTTACCGACTGATGGTAAAGAAATTTTTTGAAAATGAAAATATAAAAAATTACCGACATAGAAATCTACCTTACCGACGGATGGTAAAACAGTTTTTTGAAAAATGAAAATATAAAAAATTACCGACACAGAAATCTACATTACTGATTGATGGTAAAACAGATTTTTTGAAAAATGAAAATATAAAAAAATTACCGGCATAGGAATCTACCTTACCGACTGATGGTAATTACCTACTGATGGTAAATAAATAGTTTAAATTTATAAAATTTCAAAACTGTTTTACCGTCAGTTGGTAATTACCATCAGTCGGTAATGTAGATTTCTGTGTCGGTAATTTTTTATATTTTCATTTTTCAAAAAATCTGTTTTACCATCAGTCGGTAATGTAGATTTCTGTGTCGGTAATTTTTAAATTTTAATTTTTCAAAAAATCTGTTTTACCATCAGTCGGTAATGTAGATTTCTTTGTCGGTAATTTTTTATATTTTCATTTTTCAAAAAATCTGTTTTACCATCAGTCGGTAATGTAGATTTCTGTGTCGGTAATTTTTTATATTTTCATTTTCAAAAAATCTGTTTTACCATCAGTCGGTAAGGTAGATTTCTAGGTAGGTAATTTTTTATATCTTCATTTTTTAAAAAATCTGTTTTACTATCAGTCGGTAAGGTAGATTTTTAGGTAGGTAATTTTTTATATTTTCATTTTTCAAAAAAAATTTCTTTACCATCAGTCGGTAAGGTAGATTTCTATTCCGGTAATTTTTTTATATTTTCTTTTTTTAAAATATAATGGAAATGCAATTTTCTACGAATTATTAATAAAAACAATGAATTTAATTATTTAACATCCTTTTTTGTTTTATTTATTTTTTTATAATATGCAAAATAAGGAGAAGGAGGGGATTTTATGAATAAATAAACATTCAGATTGACTACGATTAATTTATTATAATTTAAAAATTATATTAAATATAATAATCGCATTACCGTTATCATTTTTCGTAATCATTATATTATCAGCAAGAATCTCAATAATAATCATATATTATCAATATTAATGTTATTAAGAATATTATTGTTATTTGTTACCGAGCTTGTAATCGCATTATTAGTAACTTTACAACATGTTAAATGATTCTATTAACTTGCAATCGTAAATCATTAATAACATTTTCTGTTCTATTCGCACTCTCTTTCTCACTTACTCACACTCACACACACACATACACATGAATCACAAGTATTCACTCGATTGCAGTCTCTTTTTCATTTCATATATTTCACATGTTACAAATCGTCTACACGTTTAAGTATGCTATACTCGAATACTCTTTTTTATTCATATATTTATAGTTAATCATTTATTATTCGTTACGAATAATTCGACGATTGCGGCGATATTAATTTTACCTTAATAATAAGGACGATTATCGCAGTTTTTTCTTTTTTTTTTTGCAGGGATTTTCTTCAACGTTTCAGGAAACACCTTGAAAAAATCTCTGAAATTATGTTAAGAGGTGAATTTTTTTTTTTTAAAAATCACTCGTAAATATATATTTTAACTTCGATGCCTTACACGCAACTATGTAGGGCCGAGTAAAACAATCACGCCATTTATCGATGTTTGTCGATAGAATAATTTTTTAAGAAATCAAAACAAATAAATTTTTCGTTAAGAAATTTCGATATTTTTTCAAAAATATCCTGAAGCTCTCATTAAAGTTTCAGTTTTTAAAGGCAATTTTTTTTTATTTTTAGAGAAACAGTAATTGAAAAAAATTAATATATTTTTTTTTTATAAATTAAATAAATTATTAATTCTCCTTCATGTAGAATTTGATTTCATGATGAGAATTTTGAAATATTTTATATTTTTTTCTTTTTTTATTTATAATCAATTAAAAAAATATAGAAAAAAAAATAGATTTTCTGCTTATGAACTGAAAATCGATCGACAAAAATTCATTGAAATTGATTAAAAAATAATTGAAATTCTTTTCTTAGAAAAACACGGACGATATTAGGCCGATTTTCTTTTTGGAAATTATAATTTCAGCAATTAATCGACGTTATTATTAAGCTAGGCTTTTAAATTCGAACTCGCTAAAAAAAAACAATAACAAAAAAAAGAAAAACGTTTCTGAATCACATTGCGTACTTTTACATTGTTCTGTGCAAAACGTTTAAAAACACATACCTCGAAGAATCCAGAGTCTACCAAACGTCACGACATTATTTTTTTTTTTATACATTATGTATTATTTTTTTACCTCTTGTATTGCAAAAAACACTTCACTACCCCATTTTTGCTTAAAAACGGTTTCACAAAAAAGAATCGGCTTTCTCTCTCTTTCTTTCGCTCTCACATTCGTCTATACGACAATCATGCGCGTTTTAGTTTTTTTTATTATATCTTTTTTCTTTGTTACTTAACTTTCTGTTATCAAAGGGCACCAGAGATGAACATTCGAACGATAGCGGATTTTTCTCCGTCACCGTTTTTTTCTTCTTTTTTGCTGACCTTGTGAATATCAATTAAAGCCCGTTAAGCGATGTGTGTCGCCCCAGGCTTGCGGGTATTAAAAAAAAAACGATTGTCCTGTAATTAGAAAAAAAAACTTTTAATTGTTAAAAAAAATTTATTAAAAAAATAAAAATAACTAAATAAATGTAACAAATAAATAAAAATATATAGATTTAATAATAAATAAGTAATTTAATTTAATTAATAAGTAATAGCATTAAAAAATAATAAATTATTATAAAATTATCTGAAATAAATTTGAATATTGTTCTAAAAGTAAAAAAGAAATAAAAAAAAAACGGAAAATGAGAACTTACTTCCGTTTTTAATTTTTTAAAAGTCCATGTGTTAGTGGATAATGCAACAGCAAGGGTTACTTGAAAGAGTTGTGGTGGCAATGTGGCGTTGATGATGATTTTCTTGGCGCTGTCGTTGGCGATTGGTTACTCTGGCGCACCTGGGCTATTGGTTTTCCAGAGAATAGTGACGTGACCTCTTCCAAAAATTCTTGAAAAATCCTTTCTTCTTAGGCGCATCACTTGCTTCAACTGAAACAAAAAAGAAAAATAAAACTTAAATTTACTTTTCTTTTAATCGACTTATGAAAAATAATTTTTCCCAATTAAAAATTACATCATTTACCTCAGTTTTTATACATCGAATTTTTTTTAATTTTCATTGTATCTTCTCTTATTTTTTCCAATTTTTATTACAAAAAAAAAAAAAAAAAATTTTCCCACATGGTTCAGTGTTTTAGTTTCTTTAAAAATTTATATTTTATAGATTTTTTATATTTTAAGGAGGTCAGAAAAATTTACATAAATACTGACATCACAAAGTATTGGAAAAAAAAGCAGGACGTGACAAAACTAATATTCCTCAGTAGAATTTGTTTATTTCTTCCTTTTTTTTTTATCGAGGTCGAATTAATTGAGCTGTGCGGGTATTATTATTCACATTATTTTAGCCACGTTGCTACACGTGCAATATGTTAAGCAAAGGGAAGTCTCACACTCTATGCTGGTCGAATTATAAGTAGCACCCCTTCCGGTAATTCGATTTAACAAAACAACGAAGCTTTTGTTTTTTTATATCAATCTGCTATAAATAATTTAATGCTCTTTACAAAACGAAAATTTTTTTTTTTTTTATTCAAACCAAATATAATTTATTTTAAATAAAATAAAAAATTTTTTTTTGTTAACTAAAATTATTCTTTTTTAAAAATATATTTTAAAAATATATTTTAAAAATAATATTTAGTAAGATATTTTTGAAATATCTCAACTTTTTTGAATATTGAATATAACTTAATTTCACGATTAAACAATTCTTATTTATAAAATCCGGAATTTAATTCTCTCAACTCAAATAATCAAGGCGACTCAATATTCTAAATTTAAAAAGTATTACGAGGTCTGTGCTTTGCAGCATGAATTCTTGAAATATTGAAAAATGCACATTCCAGAGCAACAGGTATTTTTAATTTTGAGAATTTTCAAAAAACAATCTTTATGTATTTAATTTTGTTATAAATCAAATATTTCAACAAAAAATAATTTCGAATTCCTAATTTTTATATCAAATGTTTCACATGAATATTTCTTTATTCTTATTAAATGAAAAGACAATTTCGTCTTAAAAAAAAATAGAAGGTAAAAATAAGAAAATAGAGTATGAAAAAAAAATTTTCCAAATTAAACATTTTTGAGAATCTTTTTAAAAATTAATTTAATTGGAATACGTGGGAAAATTATTATTATTTGGCTTTTGTAAATATATACATATATATTCGGGCCAATGAACTGAGGGAGAAAAGGAGAGATAGCGTTGGTCCAGAGTGAGAGAGGTGCGTACGGATCAATACCAATAGAGTCTGTATAGTGCATAGACGCACAGTCTCGGGTGTGTCCGATTTCTCGCGCAGCATCCCTCTGCACTGTATTCTCATCTGTATATGCTTATTTTTACTCGAAAGAGTTTCTATTCTTAATATCTTTCCTAAAAAAAAAAAAAAAAAAAAAAAAACACGTGAGAATCTATTGAAACACTCTAGACCCATTATTCTCCAACGAATTTGACTTTTATGAAAAAAAAAAAATTACAAAGCTTATATCTACGAAAAAGATAAATCTTCACGTATGTATAAGAAAGAAATCATCCTCGGATACTTTCAAAAAAAAAAAAAAAATTTACAAAACTATATGCCTTTTCTCGTATATTTAATTTTTGAAATAAAAATTAATTATTCCAAAACATAAAGAATTTGATTTTTCACAACAAAAAAAAAGAACAAAATAACTAAATAATTAATGGACAAGAAAAAAAATAGTATTTTGAAAAAAATAAATATGTCTATTAGAGGGAAACAGATGGTGGAAATTCAGAATTACGGAGATTCTAGTGAAAAAGTGAGCTAGCAAACAGGGTGAGAAGTTGACACGAAAATAACCAAGTAATATTAATAGTTTTGGTATTCACAACGAAGACGAAGTATTTAAGCAGTGGGAGAGAAAGATATTTTCGAGCTCTATGACTCTGCGTTTACTCTTATCTTGTGTCGCTCTAAATTCGGCCCTGGTTGTGGGAATGAAAGAAAAAAGACAATTTTTATCTCAAATATCCCCCAAATTTTCGAAATAAATTTCAAATTTAATATTTTTTTTCCCAAATTCAGATAATTTTATTATTATTATTAAAATTTTAAATATAAATTTTTAAAATTAATGGGAAAAAATAATTTAATAATATGAATTCATAGTTTATATTACATAAATAAAAAATTTTAACAATTTAAAATCAAAATTTTCGAAAAACTTTATATGTTTAAATTTTTTAACATTTGTAAAGATTGTTTTTATATATTTCATAAAACAATATTAATTAGAAAGTTTGATATTATATTACAAACTTTATCAAGAAACAAGAAAATAAAAGCCTGTGTCAAGAGACCGGAAAGTGTCTGAAATTTCACTTTCACTAACTAGTTTAGAATTTTATAAATCTCAATTTCTAGTTTTTGAGATTAAATTTTATTTTTTTGTAAATCTCTAAAAAAAAATTCATTTATTTGTTTACAGGTACAAGAAAGCAAAAAAATTTAATTCAAGTCAAAATTAATTAATTTTAATTAACATTTTCAAAAAATGGATTTAGGACCCAAGGACTTAAAAGATTTGTCCTTGAGATGCACGTGTTTTCCTAGAGCACAAAGACCATTAGATCCAAGAATAATCTGCAGATGTTCACTAAGACAGAATATGTATTGAGTTACTCACCCTTTTGCACGAAAAAAAAAACTTGACGTTTGAGATATATATCTTATAAAGATTGAATTTAAAAAAATAATACTTGAAAATTGTTTCCTTATTTCAATTTTTCACTTAAAAAAAAAAAAATTTTCTTTCATTTTTTAAAATGTTTTTTTGCCCTTGATTTTTAATTTGAAAATTTGATTTAATAATAATATCGAAATTTTGCTTTAATTTGAAAAAAATTGTTTTCTCGTATCAAATAAAAATGAGAGAAATTATTTTTAATTTTAAAAATTATTTATCGAAACAAAATAATTTTTACCCAAAAAAAAAATTCTATTCAATTTTTATAAAGTAGATATAATTTTTTTAAATTTCAAAAAAATTATTACCGAAAATTTAAATATTATTGAAGCAATAATTTTTTAATAATAATATTTTTTGAAAAAGTTTCCCTTGACTTTTTGGGATGCAACGGGACTAAAGATGGTCCAGTTTATTTTCGGTTGTGGTCCACGGCGGCAATATTTCCACGATTTCTTATTGCTGTTGACGTAAAGCTGGCAAGACTTAAAAATAGACAAAATTCACGTTGTCCCATTCACATTAAGTCACAAGAAACTAATCTTCAAAGAAATCAGATCCACATATCCAAAAATTTATCTTCTCAAAATTTGTTTCAAATATTTTTCGAAAACAAAATGAATATGAGAAAAATCGAAAATTTACTTCTTTCAAATTTTTTTTTACAAATACGAACATATTTAAAATGCGTATTTGTAATTCAAAAAGGGGGAAAAATTGTATACTATTTACTTGTAATTAACAAGTAGGAAAATAATTTAAAAAAATTTTTAAATCTTTATACACTCACCTGTATATGGACCAGAAGGTGCAACGTTGTCTTTTCCTCCTTTTCCATCTTTACTTCCGCCTCCTGAAACAAGAAAATAATTTCAATTTTAGTAAAACAAATTTTTTTTCTTAATTTTCTTCTCTAAAATTCAACATTCAATGTGAATTAACATCAATGACTAAAAAATGAAAAAACACGAAAACAGTTAAAAAAAAAATAATAATACCTAACATTGTTTTCAACTTCATGAAACATGAATGAATTACACAAACATAAATTCTCAATTTTCATATCATAAAAATTACAAATATTAACTGGAAAGAGAATTTATATATACAAAAATAACTAATTTATAAAATAAAAAAAACATTTAAAAAAAATATATATATTTGTAAAATAAAAAATATACAAGTTTTTTTGTATTGGAAAATAGATTACAAAAAAATTAACTATTAATTTAATTAGTTAACAACAAAATATTTCATTATTAATACAATAATAAAATTAATATTTTCAAATTAAATTATAAATTAAAAAATTTTTTATCTTCAATTAATTATTTCAATAATTAATGATAATTAAAATCCATGAAGAATTTCTTTTCATAGATGAACTTTTAAATAATTTTATTCTGATTTGTTCGAGAATTGATGTTACAGAGATGAAGGCACTTATAGAAAAAAAAATAAAAGAAAAATGGTCCGTAGAGTGAATATTACTCTGATAGATTCGTTTTTTTTTCAAGCAAAAATTTTTTATAAAATTCTGTTTTTATCCACTTGTTGAACGATATTCTCTTTGGAAATTTAATTTTACATTGATGGAAACACGAAAAAAAGTATATATATATTTTATTTATATCACGAGACGTATTTATCAGAGCAGTCAATGATTATTTCTTTTCTCTAATTTCACAGCTACATGCTTATTGGATGAGGGGAAAAATTTAAACGTGCTCAAGATATATTCTAATTGCAATATTTTTTTTTTTTTTTTTTTTTTGGTTTCATGCATTGTGACTTTATTGTGTAAAATGATTCCGTTAAAGCAATGAGCAACAGACATAGTTTTTTTTTAATGTATATCACTCCTCCGGAAATAATAATTGATAACCAAAGATCTGTGACAGTAGAACGATAAGATGAGACTCGTTTCGTGGATAGTCAAAAATATAAAGGCTTTTAAATATCTCATTTTTACATTTATAATAATAATAATAATATAACCCATGTGGAAAGATTTTCGGAAAATTTCCAGAAGCTGTTTCCGAATTTTTTTTCGGAAATTCTAATAAGTAATTTTTACAGAAAAAATCTGCAAATTTTCCAGAAGTTATTTCAAGAATTTTTCCATACATCTTTCCATATGGGAAATAATTAGTATAATTATATTTGTTATTTATGAATTTAATTAAAATAACGAGAATTAAGTTTGTTTCAGATCAAAAAATTACTTTAAAATAATTAAGAATTGAATAATTTTGAATATTTTTTTTGACATATATTTGTTTCGAAAAGGAGGACAAATTTATATATTGAGATAAATAACAATGACATTTGGATAGATGACTATCTAAGTAGAAGATTATACAGTATGCAAAGCATGCCATTTATCATTTTACTAGTGTCACGCTAATGATAGTAGAGAGACTGTCAGTCCAAGTTCTAAGAAAGCAATCTCACCAAGAGGAAATGAAGCACACCTACGACACAATCGATATGAGAATAAAGTTCGATTCGAGTTGGTCAGAGAAAAAAAAATATAACAACAAATCGAATAATTTCATTATTAGTTGAAATTTTTTCATTTTCCACATTTAGAAAAAAAAAAAAACAAAAGTTAAAATAATATTCTGCTAATAAAAAAATATAACAAAAATTAATTTCTAGAAACGAAGTAAAAAAAAATATTTAAAAATTGGTAAATTCAATTATAGAATTTAATTTTTGACTTTTTTTTCATCAAATTATTAATTTTTATATTTATGAGATATTACAATGTATTGTTTATAGCATCAAATTTCATAAAATATAATAAATGGTAACAGAATCTATTCGCACTTGTAAGGAAAAAGGACCAATCGAGGAATCACTATAGGTTTGCCTTTAAACGAATCTCTTTTTTTTTTATTCTACATAACGAAATATAACGGTATAAAGATTCGAGAAACTGGTATATCGAGAGACGAGTTCTGCGCTCACGTACCACAACCTCGTATTATATATATGTACATCTAAGGAAATAATTTTAAAAGACTAAACACACCATTCAAAATATAGATTATCGATTTTTTCAAAATTCATTTTTTAAAATGTATTTTTCAATTTTTTCAAAAATAATTCGAACTTTATTTTTGTTTAAAAACTATTTTTTTACGAACTCATAAAATTTGGAAATGAACAAAGAAATTTATTAAAAAAAAAAAAAAAAAACAAATAAAGAAACTGAAAAAATTTAGAAGAAGTATTGAAAAAATAAAAATTCTGATGAAAAATGAAAATCTATCAGGGACAAGGAAGAAAGTCAAATGTGAAATTTATCAGTTAATAAAATAAATAAAGAAAATGTTTTTCAAGATTCTGAAGAATTTAAAAAGAGAAAATTTTTCCTATACTTTCTTCCTTTCAGATGCATTTGCACTCATGCGGATGAATGCTTTAGCGAAGCAATAGTTGTGATGGTGGCTAAGAAATAAAGATGTGATAACCCGCAACGATGAATAAAAATAAAAATAAAAAAAAAAAAAAAAAAAAAAAAAAACTAATACCACGATCGGGTAATCACTTGCTCTAAGACCGGTCTACCCATTTCCCTACATAACTACTTTAAATACCACTAACACAATTCTTTTATATATATACATATACAGAAAATATACACAAGCAACGAAATCAATTACTCTCGGTGAGCTAAGAGCCATCGAGATATTAAAAAATGGAGACAACTTTTCCATTCTAGTTTTCAGGGAATTTTTTTCTTATAAATGACTCTTTGCTATTTTTTTATCCATAATTATTATTTTTTTTTTTATTAAAATTTAAAAAAATTGATTTTATTCAAAATTAAAAATCCCGATTAGAAAAATTATTTCATAATTTAAAAGGATTTTTCTTTTTTGTAAAATTGTTATTAAAAAAAAATTCCTAAAGATTATTCGAATTTTTCCTTAATTGAAAAAAGTAAATCGTGTATAATTGACAGATTACACTCTTGTAGAATCAACAAGCTATATAAAGGGGTGGAAGAAAAAGAAAGAAGCACTTTTTATATATGGCCTCTCGGTTTATTAAGGGAGCTTTTGAACGGTAAAAAAAAGGAGAATCCCTCCAAATTATGAAAACAATTCCAAAAGTGTTCCTTCATATTAAATGTCCATATCAAGTGATAGTCAAATGTTTATACATGAACTTTTTTGACCTCCATTATGATAAAGAAAAATGTCAATTTCATAAGTTCATAAAAAAAATCTCTTTATATATTTCGTTAAAAAAAAAAAAAAAAAATTATTATCGTTTCAAAATAAACAAAATTGTAATAATTTTTTTTTTACTTTTAAAAAAACATTTGCCTCAGAACTAAATAAACTGTTTATTTAGTTTGAATAAAAATTTTGTTATAAATAACAAATTTAATTTGTAAATGCAATTTTTTTGATAATTTTTTTTTTTAAGAAACAAATATTTTTTTCCTTACTAAATATACTTAGCTTTGAGAAAATAATTTTTTTTTCTCATGGTGTGAAATAATGCGAATTAATTATACAGTGAGATACTGTTTTTAGTGACGATAATGAGGATTAGGAAGATTTGTCCTCGGGGTTTATGACACACGGTTTAATGCACCTCGGAGCTCTTCTTCTCATCCACGGTCTTATTGATTTATATTCAGAGGCCGAGCAACCACCCTCAGCTGCCGACATTGCCCTCGCGACCACTCTCACTCTTCCCAAAGCCACACACACACACATGCCATTAAAGTTTCAAGTTTTTATCTAATATTATAAAGAACAAATAATAAGAAGTTATAAAACGATAAAAAAGAAACACAATTTTTAAATCGTTTTTAGAAAATTTTTAACGAATAAATTTATTGCTCTTTTTCTTCCCTGAATAAAAAAATAACTAACGTTTATAATACAATCCATGATTAAAATGTTCATAAAACTATAAAATATTTTTCTCTACCTTTACAGACTCGAAATAATATACAATAAATATTCTATACCAGAAAAAAAGGAATCTTTTTTTTGGTCACTAAAATTCTTGAATTAATTTAATTTTTTTGTATACTAAAATAATTAAATGGAAACTAAAAATAAATTAAAAAAGAGGGGAACTTTTTTTTTTTTTTTTTTTTAAATCTAAAAATCGTAGAAAAATATATTTCAAAATGTCTAGTTTTAATTTGGAAATGAAAGTAGTGGAGAAAAAGAACAGCTGTTACAATAAACCTCCCCGAAGAATATGAAATATTCTATTTATAGTAAAAATGTTTAAAATAAAAAAAAAAAAATAGGGAATGCCCATTAAAATGGAAATTCGAGTCACACGCAATTTGAAAATTCGAAAATATAAATTCTCTTAGAATAAATCGATGCTAAATAAAAATTAAATTGAATAAAATTTCTGTTAATTGCTTAATAAAATTTGAATTGAATAAAAATTCTGTGAAAATTTGGTTGAATAAAATTTCTGTTTCTGAATTTTGTTAACTGAAAATTCCATTAAAGTAAACATTTTATTAAATATAAATTTTGTTAAATTCATTTAAATGCTATTTAATAAAATTTCTGTGTAAATAATATCATTATAAAAGCTTGATTTTTTTGAAATCGCGAAATTTTTTGTTTTTTTGTACTTTAATCAGTGAATTGAAGAAAATAATGATACTGTTATTTTTCGCACATTGTTAAAGTGCTAGAGTATTTGACTGAGGTTGAGCGATTGTGTGTGTATATATGTCTGGTAACATTGCAGCTGACGATGGCGCTTTGTACATATACAGAGATATATTACCATGCGTACATGCATATTCACCCATCAATTTCCGGTCATTACAATGACGATGATATAAATGTAGGC